TATTTTTGGAGAAGAAAAATGTGTGGAGGGGAGATAGGTGCCACTGGGAAACACTGGAAAACGAGGCCTGTGTTGTGTATTTTCTGGAGGGACATCAATTATTATTGCTATTAAAATAGCACCTGGAAACCCAGCTAAGATCCGGTCCCCATCGTACTAGGCGTTCTACAAACACATAGCGTGTCCCTGTCCTAAAGAGCTTACAATCGAAACAGACAAGACAGAAGGGAGGTGTTATGAGCTCCATGTTACAAAAGGGATACTGAGGCACAAAAACCTGCCTAAGGTCACACAATGAGTCTGTAACAGGGCAGAAAATTGAACTAGGGTTCCGCGAGCTCCAGCCCAGAGACTTACCCATTTTCCTCGTAGAAGCTTTAGTTCTTAGCAGTTCATTTGCTCCTGGTGTTTATTCTTTATTGGAATTTATCAAAAGCCTTGGAAGGATTTTTTTTAACATCCAAGTCATCTCCATAGCAACTAATGGTGATGTCACGAACCGATTATGATGGGAGATGAGGAATAAGGGGTAGGAGCAGGCTCACTGCTAGGCAACGAAGACCTACATTTAATGCACACGTTTCAAGAAATGGGAGGAAAAAAGAGAAAAACACATTAAAGGGCAGCGGAGTTGTCTGTACACAGAATAGCATTCAAAGCCTTTGGTCTAGCTGGGCCAGTGGAGTGACTTTGCACAGGGTGGACTTCACATTTCTAAAGATCTGTTTGTCCTTGCAGTAGAGCTGAGTGAAATTTTTTAGACTGATAGTTTATGTGATGAAAAATGCAGCGTTGGTCAATCCGGAACTATTTGTGAATTTGACACAACGGGTTTCAGCTATTCCCAAAACGGCTGGAGAAGAAGCTGCTGCTGCTGTCACAACACCTCACGACCATTAGCCAGTGTTTGCGACACTGCCCTGGGATCTGAGGGACTTACGTTTGAATCCCTGATCCGGAACAGACCTGAAACGGATTTTTTCAATTCACCGAAAAGTCCCCAAAATTTCAGTTTCAGTTAGAACTGAAAAATCAGTTATTTGCTGAGCCTCTAGCCCAGAGACAGCAACCATGTTATGGCTGCAGCCTGTTCTCTCTCTCTCTCACCGCAACCCGTACTCCCGCCTCAAGACTTTACTTTTGTTCTTTCTTGTTTGCTGTTTTCCTTCATCTAAAATAAATAATTTTAGACTGAAACACCAAGGTTGTGCATGGAAAAAAACCAAGAGGTTTTTCCAAGAGGAATCAGCAGCTTTATTAGGTACTCATATAGCTCAGTGATTGCATGTTATTTACTGTAGGGAACAGTCCTGCACTGGCAGATAGCTGGGCTGGATGATGTATTAGGTCTTTTCTTTCTCTAATGTCTGTGATTTCCTGGAAGTTGCCCATAGCGACATCTGTGGCGTGTGCTCAGTCTGGGACAAAGAGGAGAAGCTTAAAATAGGAGAAGATCTCCTATAGTCCCTTAAGAAAGAATAAAACCCCTTCTGGCAATGCTGCAGTTATTGCTACTTAGAGCAAGGATCCTGTAGCCTTAATGAGCAATCAGCATTTGTTATGGATTGTGTGCATCACACATGGACAGGAACAAGTGTTTTCCAGGTCCACAGCACAATGACGAGGGAAACTTGCAGTGGCTGTGTGCAAAGCTGCTAATTAGAGCAGTTCTCAAGCTACAAGCTTGAGGAATCCAAAGGTGAGTTGTAAAATAGCCTAATGAGAAGCTGAGTGTGTAGTGTAGGAAGCTGCTGTATGCAATGATCGCACATTGACTTTTGTGCTTTGAACATCTGAGACTTTTCCTTCCTATTAGAGCGACTGCTGTAATAAGGGTTGCAAAAGAGTTCTGTTCTAATACCCCTTTACTACACACACACACGTAACACTCACCGCTGGGCATGAAACAGCTCCTGTTTAGCCTCGGCCTGAAGGAGAAGGTTATTAATTAACGTTACGTAGGAGCTGTCATCCTGGATCAGATGTGAGGTCCATCTAGAGCAGTGTCCTGTCTCTGACGGTGGCCAGCACCAGATGTCTCTATGGAAGGTGCAAGAAAGTTTGAATTATGGAGCAACCTTCCCATAGGGCAGCAGTTCTCAACCAGGGGTCCGGGACTCTCTAGGGGGCCGCGAGCAGGTTTCAGGGGGGGCTGCCAAAATAAACCAGATTGCAGGGCCGACGTTAAACTCCCTGGGGCTCAGGGCAGAAAGCCGAACCCAAGGGGGCTGAAGCCAAAGTCCGAGCAGCTCAGCTTTGCGGGGCCCCTGTGGTGTGGGGCCACAGGCAATTGCCCTGCTTGTTACCCCCTAATGCCAGCCCTGGCTTTTAATCGTCTGGATATGCAGAAAAAACAGCTCTTGTGGCACAGGTGGGCCATGGAAGATTTTATAGCATGTTGGGGGGCCTCAGAAAGAAAAAGGTTGAGGACCCCTGACCTAGGGGAAGTGTTTCCTCACCCCATGAGTTAGCGATGCACCTTGTGCCCTGAAGCAGAAGGTTTTATATCCCTCCAGTAGCTGCAGTTGCTTGGGCCTTCAGAAAATCAGGACGTCTCAAGTTGGATCTCCAAAATTTCGTGGATGCTTCTGAAAATGTTTCTCCAGGTGGTGTTAAATCTGGTGCCAGTTTGGAGGCACAAGTGATACGAGTTGGTAGTTCTCCTCCCAGTTCCTTGGGGAACAGGTATCCCTTGGCTGTCTCAGCCGGAGGCTAAGGAACGAAGAGGCCATCGAGACTCACTCTTAGTGGTCATCTGGCTAAGTGAACACTGAGGCCCATGGACTGGGCTGGGTGAAGGAAGCTAATGCTGCTCCATTGTCCTGCGGATCACTGGATGATTTCACTCGTCACCCTGCATTACGCCCTGTTTTCTCTTCCAGACACATCAATGTTCGGCTTGTGCAATAACTCTGGTGACCTAGGAGGAGTTTCTGCCCTAGGAAGATGAGACTGTCATATGCCAAGATACTTACGCTAGCAGCCCTCTTGGCACAGGCCGAAGCCTTGGCTCCGCATGAAGGTATGTGTGTCACGTGCTGTGTCCAACAGAACCAAAAGCAGGGGAGCTAACGCTCGTGGCAGAGAAGTTAATGTCTTTTCCAGGTGGCTGTATTTGCTAGTGTAATGAGCTGTAGCTACCTGGGGGCACCAGTGGGGCTTGAACCTGGGATCTCTAGCCTCAAGATCACAGGCCACTGCCACTGGACACTAGCAGGCTAGTAGCTAGCAGGCTAAATTGTCTGTGCAGCCAGCCGCAGATAGGATCGTATCTACTAAGCCAAGACACGTGAGCTGTGAATTGTGGGAAACCAAAGAGGATTGTGGGAAGTGCCAGACTGCATCGGTCCCATGGTCCATCCTGTCTCTGATACTGGCCAGTGCCAGACGTTTCAGAGTGGAAGAACCCCACTGAAGCAGATGTGGGATAAGCCGCCCTTGGTCCCCCTGCATAGTTCTCATCCCGATCTCCATTAGTTAGACTCAGTCAGTGTCCATCTGAATTTGTCAGCCACCAAGAAGACAGCCTTGGGGTTTGCACTTGTTTTCTGCTGGCTTTTCTTAATGCCACACAGGTCTCATCTGCTCCCTCTCTTTCCCTCAGCCACAATCTCCCCTCTGATATTTTCTTTGGCCCCACGTATGGCATTAAAAAGGATCCCCAAGAACTGCGTGTCAGCAGGCAGGGGCACTGCCTGGTCACTTGGATCTGTGCAAATGAGCGTGACATGCTGCTGCTCTGATCTGCTCGTGTTTTACGCTCAGCACCAGTGTATAATGACTCAGACCATCCCAGGCACATGGCAGTGTAGAATTAGCTCTGCAGAGTCCAGCCCACTTCTCTGTGTCTGGAGAGGCCCTTGTCCATGGAAACCAGTGGGAAAGATGTAGGAGGGGGAGCTGTGTGAGTGAGTGGGTGAGGGAGGAGATCTGTCACCATTTGGGTCCGCCCATCTCCCCCCATGGCGAGGGAGGCTGTACCAAGGCCCTACATAGGCTATTTCAGCTACCAAGGGGGAAGTTTGCCTCCCCTTGTGCCCCACCTGCATCTCCCCAATGTCAGGTCCAGCTAGGTCAGCATAGGAGGCAGGTGCTAGGCACTGCAGTACCACGGTGATAGGATTTTAGTCTATGTGCTATCAGCAGCATGGGACTAAGCATAATGAGCTATCTCTCACTACCTAGCCCCCCACACCTGAGTGGGCATATTTCTACTCCGGGCACAATAGAATCGATGCAATGGGTTCACCAAAATCTGCTTTCATAACGTACCGTTGAAGCTTGTTTTGCACGGGTCTAGTGTCTGTGCACTAGAGGATAATAGCCTACTAGTGTGGTCAGCTGATAGCATTGCCCCTTGGCTCAAGTGGTGAACCCCTATGCTAGGTGTAGCGGGGCAGTCACCCTGCTCCTGTGAAAAGGCTAGGCTCATTGGGGAAGTAGCCACAGCTGGGGCCATGCCCCAGTCAGGCCACAGCTGGCCCTATAAAAGGGCTATGAGCCAGGAGCTAAGTCAGTCTCTCTCTAGCTCTTGAGAGAGAAGGACCTGGCTGCCTGGGAGAGAAGGGTACCTGAGGCAGAACAGTGCTGGGGAAAGGGGGGAGGAGCTGGGGTGGTCCAGCCTGGCAACTCCCCAGGCTGCAGGCCTTGCCAGAGGCCTACGCAGGTACGGGGGCTAGAAGGAGCAGCCCAGGGTTAGGCAGAGGCAGCTAGTCCAACCTCCTTGCCAATGATGAGTGGTTTACAGACTGCAGTCTGCCCCAGTGAGCGGGGGGCTAGATAATGACTGGCAGTAGCCACTGAGGCAAGGTGGGGATAGAGGGTTCCCCTGGGAAGGGAGACCCAGAGTGTGGGGGCACTGCCAGGGGGTAGCACCCCAAGGTAATGGGGTACCAGGGTCTGGGAGGGACACGGGGGGGGGGAGGGGGGAGGGGAGGGCAGCGCAGGTGAGACACTAGCCAGGAGGAGGCGCTCCATATGCTGGAGAGCTAATTCCCGAGATGACCTGCAGGAGATGCTGCGCCAGTGAGTCATTGCTTTGCTACGCTAGGGATGTTGAGGGCTATAGGTTCAAACCCTGCTGATGACCCATATGGGGTGTCAAGGCTGATTCCCCACTCTGGCACCTTGAGTGCAGAAGGTGGGGGCCTGCAAGGATTCTGAAAATTAATACTGGCCACTCCAGGCTTGTATTAAACTCCCAAGGTTACAGCTTTTCTCTGACCTTGGATGGGTAGATGCTGCCACCGCCCAAGTGCAAAAAACCCCTTAGGACTCAGGAAGGAGCACTTGCGAATTCTTCCCTGTGCGGTTCCCTCAAGCCCTTTCACACACCCCTCCGGGGAAGAGCTGAGAGAGAGAACAAAGGAAATCAGCTGTTACCACCAGCTAATTAAACTACATGTGCACAAACCTCTGAGGACACAAATCTAATCCTGTTCTTAAAAAAAGGGGGAAAAAATCTGGAATTTGGGTTTTTTGCTAGATTAAAAACAATTACAAAAATTAAGCATCAAGATAGCTCTCTTGAGGTCCAGCTTAAAGGTTACAAGCAAAACAAAAGCATTTGGGGGTTAGCACAGAGGCGTCCACAAGGCTTATAGAAATAAGAGAGAGAAACCTAATCATGTCTTTCTAGACATTTCCTGATCTACTTACGTATGTGGGGTTTCAAACTGAGTAGTTCTAGGTATGATCTGGTGATTTTCATACCTGGTTTACAGCTTTTTACAACAAAGCTTTAGCCTTGTCTGCTCTGTCCCTTCTCTCCAGAGAACAACCACAGACAGACAAAGGGAAAGTTTTTTTCCCAATTTTAAAAAGTTGTAGCCCTTCTATTGGCTCTTTTGGTCAGATGTCCACTCTCTTCCTTTTACTGATGGGCTTTTTTGAGCCTTTACAGGTAAAGCAAGTAGAGAACAGCTACTAACAGGGATTTTATAGCTAACTCTCTGGCTGGGTGCCCATAAAAGGGAGCTCCCCCTTCATTCATCACATGGGGTGAAAGGGCCACTACGACTGGGTAGTTTGAAGTGGAAGTGACTTTCTGCTGCTGAAACTCAGTCTCTAAGAAGTCCATAAGGGCCCCCATCCTGCAAGCTGCTTCTTACAGGCAGACTCATGCACTAATCCAGGGCCCTGCTGGTCTTTGGCTGGACATAAGGGTCCAGCTCCCTGGACCATGCCGTGCTCCACAGAAATCCAAAGAGGAACACAGGGCTTGCCAGACAGGACTGGGCTCTAAGCTTTTAAGAACGTGCCTGGAACTTTCTGAAAATTCAGCAAGGGGTTAATGATAGCTTAGGAATTGGCTGCAAAATTAACTTGATTAAATTCCTGCCCGTCAATTAAGCCAATATCTTTGACTATAATGCTATTTAATTCGCAGCCTGGAACTGTGCAATAAATCAGCGTTTACAGATGTCTCCGGCAAACCTTTGATGGATGAAACGGGGTAGTTTCGGAAGTGCATGGAAAATTTCAAATAAAATCATATCCCCCTGTGATTAATATAGCTGTCTGTGTTGGTATTTGCTCCAGAAGGCACCAGTCCAGATATGCTTAACATCACATGCTTTCAAAGACAACATCACATGGCTTTCAAAGACAGCATCAGGTGCCTGATCCAACCAGGCCGAATGCTCTCTAATTGCAGTGCCAAGCTGGGAGCCATAACGGGCTCTTATGAAGGGGTAGCTGCTTTTTACGGGGAGCTCGGGCCCTGCCTGCCTGTGACTGCCTGATGAGGGTCCCACGTGGGGGTAATTGACTGTCCCAGGGGACTGATTACTAAAGAAGCAGCTGGACCTAATAAAGGTAACCAGAGCTCAGTTAGCGCGAACTCCAAAGGGAGATAGGAGACTGAGGGAGGCCTGAGGCAGAGGGCAGAACAGGGAGCCTCGAAGGGGAGCTCTCTGGGGAACCTACCAGGATGGGGAGCCTGTAAGAGGCGCCCCTGGAGCGGGGAGCCTCCTAGTCAGAGGGCTTTACCCCTCATCCCCCAGACGTTGGCCGGAAGCCCGGCCTGGCAAGGATCTCCCGCTGTCCCTGGAGACGCATCACAGCACGCAGACCTCCCCGGACCTGAGACTCCAGAGAAGGATGTTACTCCGGTAGGGGCAAGAGGCCTAGCAGCGGGGGGCTGAGACTGGCACCAAGAGAACCCTGGAGGGAGACTGGGTAGAGATGATCGCTGGTCTCAGGTGGGGGACATGGTCGAAGAATGACCTAGTCACCCCACCGGGACGTTGGGGTGAATGTTTTGTTCATGTTTCTGCCTTGGCTTTTCTGTTGACAAATGGGACTCTCTGCAAGGAGGGGCTCTCTTGCATGTAACCGGTGTTGGTACTTGCTGATACCCTGGATGAGGGGCAAATTAAGCAAAGGCTCATCTGCGACACTACGCCCGCCCACAAGGGGGCGTGCTGGCTCACGGCGTATGCACCTCCTGTTATTCACAACAGAATTTTGACCTGCTGCTGCCCCCTGACACGAAGGATTTCAGTGACGCTATTCAGGATTGATCCGTCTTGAGTGGTCACATCCATCCGTGCAAAGGGGATGCAAACGACGATAGTAAGCGCCTACAGCTGCTCTGCCTGGGGTAAATGACAATTCAAGGAAGGCAGTGGAGGGTCAGGCCTCTTGCGGAGCACTGACTGTCTGTGCGGGTGTGTCTACACGCACAGCGAGCTGGAGGGGTAATCTCCACCTCAGGCAGATGTACCCACTCTAGCTCTGGTGGAACTAGCATGCTAAAAATAGCAGTGTAATCATGGCAGTACGAGTGGCAGGATGGGTTAGCCACCTCAAGCACAATCCTGTCTGAAACCTAACTCCAGCGTAGACATACCCTGTAAGTAATGATGACAGGATTACCTCCCTTGTAGGTTTTAGAGTAGCAGCCGTGTTAGTCTGTATTCGCAAAAAGAAAAGGAGTACTTGTGGCACCTTAGAGACTAACCAATTTATTTGAGCATAAGCTTTCGTGAGCTACAGCTCACTTCATCGGATGCATTCAGTGGAAAATACAATGGGGAGATTTATATACACAGAGAACATGAAACAATGGGTGTTACCATACACACTGTAAGGAGAGTGATCAGCTAAGGTGAGCTATTACCAGCAGGAGAGAAAAAAAACCTTTTGTAGTGATAATCAAGGTGGGCCATTTCCAGCAGTTGACAAGAACGTCTGAGGAACAGTGGGGGTGTGTGTGTGGGGGATAAACATGGGGAAATAGTTTTACTTTGTGTAATGACCCATCCACTCCCAGTCTCTATTCAAGCCTAAGTTAATTGTATCCAGTTTGCAAATTAATTCCAATTCAGCAGTCTCTCAATGGAGTCTGTTTTTGAAGTTTTTTTGTTGAAGAATTGCAACTTTTAGGTCTGTGATCAAGTGACCAGAGAGATTGAAGTGTTCTCCGACTGGTTTTTGAATGTTATAATTCTTGACGTCTGATTTGTGTCCATTTATTCTTTTACATAGAGACTGTCCGGTTTGGCCAATGTACATGGCAGAGGGGCATTGCTGGCACATGATGGCATATATCACATTGGTGGATGTGCAGATGAATGAGCCTCTGATAGTGTGGCTGATGTGATTAGGCCCTGTGATGGTGTCCCCTGAATAGATCTGTGGACACAGTTGGCAACGGGCTTTGTTGCAAGGATAGGTTCCTGGGTTAGTGTTTTTGTTGTGTGGTGTGTGGTTGCTGGTGAGTATTTGCTTCAGGTTGGGGGGCTGTCACACTATCAGCCACACTATCAGAGGCCATCTTCTGGTCACTCAATTACAGACCTAAAAGTGGCAATTCTTCAACAAAAACTTCAAAAACAGACTCCAACGAGAGACTGCTGAATTGGAATTAATTTGCAAACTGGACACCATTAAATTAGGCTTGAATAAAGACTGGGAGTGGATGTGTCATTACACAAAGTAAAACTATTTCCCCATGCTTATTCTCCCCCCCCCTCCCATTATGGTTCTTCACACGTTCTTGTCAGCTGCTGGAAATGGCCCACCTTGATTATCACTACAAAAGGTTTTTTTTCTCTCCTGCTGTAATAGCTCACTTACCTGATCACTCTCGTTACAATGTGTATGGTAACACCCATTGTTTCATGTTCTCTGTGTATATAAAATCTCCCCACTGTATTTTCCCCTGCATGCATCTGATGAAGTGAACTGTAGCTCATGAAAGCTTATGCTCAAATAAATTGGTTAGTCTCTTAGGTGTCACAAGTACTCCTTTTCTTTTTATAAATCCTGAGGACGGCCCTGCTGCCACAGGCCTCCCTATGTGACCTCAGGCTGGTCATTTAGGTTCAGATCCTTAAAGCAATACCATGAACGCTTCTGGACCGAGATCACCAACGAACTCAATGGCAATTAGGTGCCAAAGTACGTTTTGAAGATGTGGGCCTTAGTCTGTCTGTGCCTCAGTTCCCCAGTGAGACCACTGGAGACTGCGAGGTGCTCAGATGCTATGGCGACGGCAGCCATGTCATTACCTAAGCTGGAGAGATTTGCAAAGGGTTTGTATATCTGGGCCAGGTTCTGATCTCCGCCTCCTTTAGCTGCAGTATCATTAGGGGGGCTTACGAGACCCCGCCCCGCTGATGTTCCCTCAGATGGTTTATACGCTAGCTGGTCCGTTACAAGCTCTGTGGAACAGAACCAGCCTCTCAGCCCACGCAGCCGCTCTGTTCTTCTCCCCGCAGCATGTGGGACGGCGGAGGTGGCCGACATCTTGTTCCTGGTGGGTGAGTCCTGGAGCGTGGGGGAAGGGAACTTCCGGCTGATCAAAGACTTCGTCTACAGCGTGGTCCTCTCCTTCGAGAACGTGGCAATGGGCAAAGAGGGCGTTCGGCTGGGAATGGCACTCTATGCGGAGAAGCCAAGGTGGGACAAACCTTCATTTCCTGTCAACACAGAGAATCTCTAAGTCCCACCTCTGTCTGGCAGTGAGGCTGGAGTGGATGTATGTGAATCATAATCCATTGAAAGACACATTCAAATTTAAAACAGGAAAGGTGCATTTAAAAATACCGGGGCTTGGTCTGAGGCCCCACCGGATGCCATGGTGGTGGGCAACTAGGGTGACCAGACAGCAAGAGTGATAAATCGGGAAGAGGGTGAGGGGTAATAGGTACCTATGTAAGACAAAGCCCCAAATATTGGGACCGTCCCTATAAAATCAGGACATCTGGTCACCCTATGGGCAACCTTATGCACCCCTAGCTCTGGTGGTGGTGTTTGAAGGCTTGGAGAGCTTATATTGAATGATTACTTTCATTTGGCTCTTCCACAACTCAGCAGTGAGATTCAGCTAAAAGCTGAAGCCTGGAACCGTCCGCCTGCCATCCAAATACGCCCCCCTCCCCCTCCAAAATGGAGGATGACTATACCCTGGATCCTTACACAGCAAAGACACAGCGATCGTGTGCTGGTAGCTGACATGATTATTTAAGGGTTGGGCTTCCTGTGCATTTTCCAAGTTCCAGTCTGCAGCCTGCTGGATTGGGGTGACAAAAGGCCCAGACCCTCACAGGTTTCCTCAAACTGAATTCAATGGGAGTTAAGGGCCTGAATCCTTTTAAAAATCTGCCTCAGAGCCAGCAAGGGGCTGTCCCTTGTCCCAGTAAAACTGTTTTGGGGAAGCTTCCCAATGCTGCCCTCAGTTCCATGCATACAAGCAATGGCATTCATAGCCTCTTCGTCATCTCCCTTCCTGGGGAAGCCAGTGGAATTGCGCTGGCATAGAACCGGCATCAGGTTGAGGAGAACCAGTCCCAATGGGCTTGCGTGGTGGAAAGCACCATCAGCCTCCGTATCGTTTAATAAAGCTTTTCAGATTCAGCTCGGTTATTTCGCAGGCTGACCTGGGGCTGTAAAATGGGGGTGTAGGTGCTTGAGCTTGGATGTCTACACCTCAGCTTTGCAGCCCCGCGAGCCCGAGTCAGCTGACGTGAGCCAGCAGCGGGCGTTGAATTGCTTTGTAGACAGAACCTCAGAGTCATAGATTCCAAGGCCCGAAGGGACCATTGCGATCGTCTGGATAGTGCAGGCCATGGAACTTCCCCAGAATAAACCCTAGAGCAGATCTTTTAGAAAAACATCCACCCTTGATTTAAAAATTGTCTGGATTGGAGACTCCACTGTGTTTGACTGGTAGTAGTGGTAGATGCCTTACCCCCTGGGCCCCACCCCTGGAGATCAATATCCCTCATTCAGTGGCGTGACATTTCAGTGCGAAGAAGGGGAACAAAGAGAGCTGGCGTATCTGCCCGTGATGTCCTTTCACTGACCCTACGTGCCCTTTCCTTTCAGAAGGAGCTGAGGTTTGGCATGCCGGCCTATGCCTTCAGATGTTGTATTGTATGATCCCTACTGTGATTCACGGGGGATGCAAAATAAATGCTCTCTCTTTTGCGCCCCCTTTTCTTCCTGCTCCCAGGATGAGTATTGAGTTGACGGATTACGTCACCATCGAGGAGGTATTGGTGGCCGTCAGGGAGCTCTCGTTCCAAGGGGGCAATGCAAAAACAGGGGATGCCCTGGTGTTTGTGGCCCATGTGGTCTTTAGTCCGGCAGCAGCAAGAGGAGATGCGGCAAAGGTCAGTCCCTCCCATATGGTCATGGGTTGAATTCAGGACTTCTGCATCTAAGAGCATGGGCCTTTACCGCTTGAGCTAAAGGAACAGATTTCCTAGCTTGATGGCAGTAGCAGACTCAGGAATCTGTATACATGGCTTAGCCTCTAGAGGGGGACAAAGAGCCACCCTGCGTTAGGGCCGGTTACGTGACAAACAGCTGACATGGCGAATGGATCGTGTGTTCCTGGAGGGTCTCCTTGGAGAACATGTAGCCCAGAATAGCAATCAAATCGGGCACTGCTGTAATTTCTTATTAAAGAAGCCCTCTTCTGACTGGGTCGCCCGCTTCCCCAAATTGAAATGCTGCATGTTCCTTTCCCTGCTAGGGACTTTGGATTCTGGGAAGCCTTAAACGGAGACACAGTAGTTCTTGTTTGCTCTGCAGACCCTCAAGAGACAGGGCAAAGGGAACGTTGCATGGCCTGTCTGGCCCATTCTTCTCAGCTGACTGCTACAAGGAGGTTGCTACCAAGGTGGCACCGAAGAGTGAGCGGTGGGGTACGGGGCTGCTCACGTCAGCCACTGTTTCCGATCTGGCCCTGGTTGATAGTGGCTGAAAGTGATTACCATCTGATGGCTCATTGCTGGTCTCAGGACAGGGGGCCATGGGTTCCTGGTGTCTGAGATGCCCTAGCTGGGCAGTAGAAGGTGTGCAGGGAAGGAAGCTTGCATGGATGTGATTCCTATTCTGTGGAGAAGCAGCAGCCTCCCCTTTCCAGGGCCATCAGCCTGGCTCCTTCCTCGCCGGGCTCTGCGAGGAAGTGCCTCGTCCGCCGGTAGAGCACGGCGGTCAATCGCAGTACATGTTGCAGATTGCTCACGTTGGACACCCTGGTTACCCGGCTATGACTCTGCTTCCTTGCAGATCGTTGTTTTAATCACAGATGGGAAATCTGCCGATTCTGTCGAAGATGCGGCTCAGGCGCTACGGGACAGAGGAGTTACAATGTTTGCTGTGGGTAGGTATGGTAGAAATGAAGACGCTGAGAACGTCACCACTGTGGATTGTGTATACATGGCAGGGTGTACACGAATGCATGCTACATGTGTGTATATATATACCCCATAGAATACTGAATAGACCAAGGGCTAGACACTACAAAATATCGCATATCCCCCAGGGGAATACACAGCAATGGGAACTGCATCTACGCCAAGGGACTACACCTCTAAACACTGGGTCTGAGTCTCTGCTCCGCTTTGCAGGAAGCTGTAAATGGCAATGCCCGGTAGCAGGCAGTGACGAATCAGGCCTCTTGTTTTCCCTTCCTTTCCCCACCTCCGCGCCTTTAGGAATTAAGAATGCCGACAGGAACGAGCTGAGGAAAATAGCTTCCACGCCTGCCGAGGAGCATGTGCTTTACACTGAAGATTTCCACTTGCTGGGTAACTTGTCCCCTAAACTCTCTCGAAGGCTCTGTGTCACGGCCTCCGAGCCTCCGCGCCCCACCAGGCAGGCTGTGGATGGTGAGTCTGGACCCCGCCCACTCTTATTTTCCATTTCGTTGAATCAGCCCCTTTCTCTGGGGCAGGAGGGGGTAGGGGGCTCCGACATCCCATTAGACTTGCTCTCTGCATCCCATATATTCACATCAATAGACTTTTAGGGCTTGACAAAGTCCTGGCTGGGATGATTTAGTTGGGGTTGGTCCTGCTTTGAGCAGGGGGTTGGACTAGCTGACTTCCTGAGGTCTCTTCCAACCCTAATCTTCTATAAATCTATGTGAGACCTGTAGGGTATGTCCACACAGCATTTAAACTCCTAGGGCTGGCCCATTTCAGCCGATTCAGGCTCATGGGGCTCAGGCTACAGGGCTGTTCAGTTGTGGTGTAGACGTTTGGGCTTGGGCTGCAGGCCACCTGTGAGACCCTCCCCCCTCATGGGGTCCCAGAGCCCAGGCTCGAGCTGGAGCCTGCATGTCTACACTGCAATTAAACAGCCGCATAGCCCAAGCCCCGCGAGTCCGTGGCAGCTGACACAGGCCAGCCGCGGGGGGTAAACTGCAGGGTAGACAGACCCTTAGAAAGCAGCCAGCCGCCAGTGCATCTGGTTTGTCGTTCAGAGGGCAATGCCCACATTGTCCTTGATTGCGTTTATTTCACGCTGGTGACGCTGGATCACAGCACTGGCATTGGAGAGAGGAGCAACAGCAGGAGATGAGGGATAGTAGTTGCCTGTGGTTGGAAGCCCAGCCTGGGATATTAGTATCACCCCATCCAGGGAGCAGGATTTACCTCTATCCCAGGACCTGGTACAAAGCCCACTGAAGTCCAGTGGGGTGAGTAACTGAGTTTTCAGTTTTGTGGCCGAACCAGAAAAGAGAAAAAAAGTTTCAGGTCGACTCAAGACAAAGATTTTTTTTTGAAATTTTCAGCAAAATGAAAAGCTCGAGAACATTTTGTTTTGGGTGCAACTGACCATTCTGTTCAACCCAAAATGAAAAGTTTCCTAGCATTTTCAAGGTTTTTTTTTTTTTGTAAACCTTTCAAATAATTCATAAAATCGGGGTAAAATTCAAAATGAAAAATCGCTGTGAATCGAAAAGTGAAAACCTATCAATCAGCTTTGGGAATTGGTTTTTTGTTTGTTTTTGTTTCTGAAACAACTCGAGGAATTCAGCACAAATGTGTGAGCTGTTTCAGGCGACCTGAGTCTGCCTTTGTGGGTGAGAAGAAAGTTTCAGAGGAAAACTTTCACCCAGCTCTACAGAGAAGTCAATGGGGAGGGATTGCATTGACTCCAGTGGGCTGTGGATCAGGCTCCCAGTCCCAAGTGGTTCATCAGCCTGCATTTAAAAGTCTCTAGTGATGTGGACGGGTGTTTCCTAATGGGGGAAAAATGAGCCCCGCCCTTGCAGCCGTTGCTACTGCCCAGCAGACAGACAGACAGCTGCCAGACTGAGCAGGAGCCGGCTCAGTGCTAGGATCAGAGATGCCCAAGTGTTTTAACAGGCAGAGCTGCCATAGTAACTGATTTGTCTCTACCATGACAACAGAGGATCAGGGAACTGATACTTTGGGATTTAGCTGGGCTGTACCTTACCCATTACTGTGTGCCCATCTTTAAAAATCCCATAGGAACGGGACCATTTTCTATTGAACTCTACCACATTTTGAACCATCCTAAAGATTGTAATAGAGTATTCTAACCCTGCCACAGAATCCCATCCGGGAGCTTAAAAAGGAAGCTCGAGAGGAGCCCATTCTCTATTAATTTGTGTAGATTTTTAGAATAATTTCTGTGGAACTTTACTAAATGTTTCTAGAACCCTATTGGATTAATCCCATATCAATTCTCTAGGACCGCTCCATAGGGGTATGTGTGAGATCTTTAGATCCTGGCATAGGTCTAGAGCCCAGCTGCTCGTCCCCTTCAGTCTTACCAATTGGGTTGCTTTGGCTGATGTTTTCTTTTCAAGGCTATCTCTGGAAGGGGAATGGCAGCTTTGTTACTAGAGGCCCTCCCAGGAGTCCTGTCCTGCAGTGTCTCTAACAGCCCAAATCACGGAGTTTTATTTCTCCACCTGCTTTTAGTGGAGAAGATCGTTGGTCCCCGGGATTTACTTGTCAGCGAACAAAGTTACAGCTCTTTGAGGCTGACCTGGACTCCCGCCACGGGGAAGGTGATGGAATACCATGTCCTCCTGAATTCACTTTCTGCTACTGGGCAGCCTATTTCTGAGGACCAGCGGCAGGTAGACCTCCTCCCTTCCTCCCGTGGTCTGCATTTGGCACATGGAATGCTTGTCATCCCCTGATTTTCAGAGCCTCTGAGTGTGATGGCTGCTATCTTGGCCAGTGTACCAGGGCAGGACAGGTTGCCAACTTTCTGACCGAACAAAACCAAACACCCTTACCCCGCCCCTCCTCCGAGGCCCCACCCCGCTCATTCCATCCCCCCTCCCTCTGTCGCTCACTGTCCCCCTCACTCACTCACTCGCTCATTTTCACCAGGCTTGGGGAGTACTGGGGAGGGTCCCTTTCTGACCAGGTGTTCGGTTGAAAACTGGACTCCTGGCAACCCTGCCTGGGCAGCTGGAGGTTCCAAGGCTCCCCACAGTGGCTCAGGCTCCCTGGGCAGCTCTTACCATGGCCCAGCTCTAGCTTCCAGTCTTCTACCTGGGTTGGGTAGAACGTGAGAACAGCCCACTTTCTTGTAACACTCTTGCCCTTCTGTTTCTAGTCCTTGGGGCATAGGGGCAGTACAGAGCATGCTACCGGCACGTCGCCAGTAAACAATAGTAATCTCTTATCTCATTGGACCAGATGCTGCCACCCCAACTCACAATGAGCGGTATTCTACATAGCATCGGTTTCAGGGGGCCTACTCACAAAGTAAGGGACTTCTCAGGGTAAGAGTAGCAGATTCTGGCCCAGCATTCAGTGTTACCTTGAGAGTTGTTATTATTTACACTACAGTAGCCCCAACCGAGATGCGGGCCCCATTGCGCTAGGAGCTGTACAAGCACATAGCAAGAGACAGACTGCTCTGGAGAGTTTTCCTATCCAAATAAAACTCAGAAATAAATAAGCCTATTTTTCAGCCTACATTTTTTGCTTACCGATTTCATCCCCTTGCCTCAGATCCAAAGGCCTTTGATAATGGAAAGTCTCCCACTGACTTGAGGACGCGGCCTTGGATCAAACCAGATTCTCCTTTGTAATGGCTTCCCCTTCATGGTGTTTACACTCTTGGCTGTAAGTGTAAAGAGGGAAAATCCCCTTCCGACGCCCAGACAAATCAAAGGGACTATATCCTGCTGTCAAAATGCTTGAACTCCTGGTTGGCATTCTAGCACCGTCCTTCCTCATCTGCATGGCTCGTTGTGTAGCTCATCAGAGCCGGAGCCTGCTTCGCCCGACAGTGACCGGCTAAGCGCCTCTCTTCTCTTGTCTGTGACAGATTGTTTTGGATGGCAACAAAAGCACCGTGCTGGTGTCCGATCTGAAGCCCGACACAAACTATTTCTTCACGGTCCTGGCAGTCTACGCGGACGCCCTCGGGGAGTCAACGGCCGTCAAAGGGAAGACGAGTGAGTGTGTCCTTTGGAAACTGTTCCCCTTGTTATTTATTTGTTGACATGTCCAGAAGCCAGGCTGGAAAGTATGTGTGTTGGGTGCAGCCTTGGAAGCATCCGATACTGTCTGGTTTAGTGAATCATGGTATCTAATTTATCAGTGATGGTGTCCAATTTAGTATAATTTCCAAGTGCCTGAGAATGGGGGAGCTTGCTTAGGCCATGGCTCTGCATGTTGCTTTGTGCATTGGGCCCATGGGGCTTAGCACCAGTACAGAGGTCTGCTTGTGGGAGCAGGATCAGGGACTTAATTATTTCATGGAAATCTGTCATGCTGCAGGTCGTCCTGCAATAATCCATAGCAAGAATGCAATTCACCCCAGTGCAGAGAATGGGCACAAGGCCTATGCACGGCTTTGTGTTCCCCAGAAGCTCTGTTTTGAGGGTTGCAGTGGATTTAGGTCGTGTCATGGCCGGGTACTGGCTGTCTGCACGCAGGGGTGAATTTTGCCCAAGGAGAACACCATGTTGCACGATTAAGTTCCTGAAGTCGGGAAGTGACCTAAGTGAAGGTCACTCATGCCCCTGCTCGAGGAGCTGATCTGTGCATTGGGCTGGTCCTCTACACAGTGGTGACTTTCACCCAGTCACCTGAGTCCCTGAATCTTGCTCTGGATCATCAGATTGCCAAGACAGCAACTTCCTGTGGGGCTCTACTTCAGACATATTTTAAATCATTTTATCGGGATTTCCTCTGTACTCTAACGAGCGATGTCGAACCTTTCTGCTGTTACGTTACTGCCTTCCGTTAAGAGCCAGTTTCCCAGTGTCAGAAATATAGGCCAAATTCAGGCCAGGTGCCACACCAGCAAGGCTCCTGTTTACTCTGGGTCTGGATTTGGCTGACTGTGTGAGTCTTGAACCAGGTGTTGCTGCACGGCAGGTGTGTTAAGGCATTGCACCAGTTCAGCTCCTCTGTTTTGTGTGAAGCGTCTAGTCTGCTTTTCCTGAGGGACCTACTTTTTTGAGTGGTGTCTGTCTTCTTGAGGGAGGATCTCAGACAGGATTAAATAAATAATGAGTCTTAGATTCATAGACTCATAGACTTTAAGGCCAGAGGGGACCATCACGATCATCTAGTCTGACCTCCTGCAGGTTGCAGGCCACAGAACCTCACCTACCCGCCCCTGTAATAGACCCCTAACCTCTGGCTGAATTACTGAAGCCCTCAGATCATGGTTTAAAGCCTTCAAGTTATAGAAAATCCACCATTTACACTAGTTTAAACCTGCAAGTTACCCAAGCTGCAGAGGAAGGCGGAAAACGCTCTGGGCTTCTGCCAATCTGACCCAGGGGAAAATTCCTTCCCGATTCCAAATCTGGTGATCAGTCAGACCCTGAGCATGTGGGCAAGACCCACCAGGCAGATACCTGGGAACAAATTCTCTGTAGCAACTCAGAGCCCTCCCCATCTGCTAGTGTCTTGATAATGTTTTCTTACATACACTTACCAAGAATAAGATGGAATGTTTTGGTGGGAAAAGTAAAGTCACCCGATATATCTTCTGATCCCCACTAGTGTAACCCTTCTGCCTGTCAGAGTTAGCAGCAACAAGGGCCGGGTTCAGTACCTAGGGGTTCCATTCCAATAACACAATGCAAAACCAGCTCAAGCCCCCACCCAGTGACCTGGGACAAATATATACCACCCCCGCTGGGCACCTCCAAGAGGCAATACTTCCTCTCTTGCAAGCAACATAGTCAGAGTGTAACAAAAAGCCTTTTAATAACAGAGAAACAATGTGGCATTATGTTGGGGAAACACCACCAACAGGAGTCATAACACAACCCATGAGCAAAAAAATCCACCCCAAGCAAATTGGGGCATGTCCTTTCCCTTTAGTTCTTGAGTCCAGCAACCCCAAATCACCCAAAGTCCCAAAAGTCCAACGACCCAAAAGTCTCTGTCTATGGTCGGGGAGCCCCAGAGTTCAAAAGTTTACCTGCAGAGTTTTACCTCCCAACCTGGGTGGAGATTGGAGGGGGGGGTAAGGGGCACCTTACGTGGTCCAAAGCTGATGGCCCCACCTCTCCATGGGGCTCTGCTCCACCAGCCGCTCCGCTCGCCGTCCCGCAAACTGCTCCACTCCACCAGCCACTCTGCTCACCGTTGCACATCATATAACTGCTCCACCATACATCTTCAGGCTCCCCCACCACTTAACACAACACTCAGTGATTTCAGCTTGTAGTAGGGGAGCCTCAGTGCTGGTGCACCATTAGCCCAAAGTGAATTCCGCTCAGCAGCCTGTAACTAGACTCCTAATGGAATCAAAATCAGTTCTGATATTCCACAGTGGAGAGAGGAGGAAGTGCAATTAGCATGTAAGGCCTTCACCAAGGGGGCCCATGCCACCAAGTATTAATACTTGTCCCCACCCTCTCTCAATTCACAGAGTTTTGGAACCCATGTCCCTTGCCTAGCGAGTGCTACTTAGTTGATGGCGAGTCCCTCCATCATAACAAAAGGCCAAGTGCAGTTCCACTGTCCTTGATTCCCATAATCCCCGGTAATAACAATTTATTCTTCCTGCCCCACTAACAGAGACACTGGGGATCCCACAGCAGCCAAAGTGACCCTTTGGGCAGCTACGGCCTCATGCTAGGCGGGGTGGGTGTGCCTATGCAAATGAGATCAGCCCCTGAAGTTCTTTTCCGCAACTTGCCACACCTCACCACCAGGTGTCAGGGTGGAGCGCATCCTGACTCTGCTTACACTAGTGAGACGGAGACAGGAGCTGTATCTCTGGCTGCTGTGGCTGGTTGGATCAGTACAGAGCCACGTGAGTAGGAGTGGACAAGATTCAGGGCATGCCCCGTTGCAGCTTTGCCCCGCCTCCAAGCAAACGCTACCCTCAGTAGAGCCAGTGGCAATGCCGTGAGAGTAGAGATCCTCGAGAGTTCCCAGCTCTGTACGAAGCAGTGGTGCATTGTGGGTGATCCTGAAACAGTCTCATCCTGCAACATTCACTTTGTACAGCTGCCAGTGACCCTGCAAGGTATGAGAGGGCAGGAAGCAAGGAACTAGGGATGTTAGTGAGGGGATGGAAGGGAGCATGGGGGATCTGATTCTGTGAGAGGAGTGTCTGTTCCCCGCTGTGTCCCTTCACCCTTGGAGAACACGGGAGTTTCTCTTCTTTGTACGGGGTCTTTGCTGTGGGGCAGCCTTGACCCTTAACCTCTGGGTCCCTTTTGTGTCTTAAAGCGCCCATACCTCCAGTGACCAATTTCCGGGTCATCGAAGAAGGACTCTTTAGCCTCAAGGTAGCCTGGACTCCTCCCCTAGGGAAGCTTGAAGGCTACAAGATCTACATGCCCAGATGTAAGTTGTGATCTGCTAGGTTTTCACACCAGTGTCAGGTATTTTCATGTAAGTCCTGATGCTTGGGAAAAGCAACTTCCCCACTTCCAGAGCTCTGTCCTCTGAGGCCTAGCCCGGGCATCGCAATGCAGTGGGGATCACATTGCATCGCTGATGTATCTGTGTCACCCTGGGGCAACGTGGCGTTGGCCTCCCCCTGGTGAGTTTGGAGCCTCTTGTAGAAAGCGGGGTAGTCCCATCAAGACAGGGGCTTTCCATTGCAAACCCAGATGGTGCAATTCTGGGGCTAATTCTCTGATGCTGACAGTAGACTGGCAAATATGCCACGCTCCTCTGTCCACAGGTGTCACTCACCAGGGTGTCCTATTTGCTTCTGGCCCCTACAGCAAACAGACCCGGGATGACCTATGAGCAGATTCTGGGCGGAAAAGTCACCTCTCACGTGCTTGGCAACTTGCAGGAGGATAAAGAATATACTGTCAGTATCTATGCTGTGTACCTCCAGGGCTCGAGCCATCCGGTGTCCGCTACAGGGAGAACATGTAAGAGGTTTGATCGCTGAGGTGGCATTCTTAATTGCACTGGAAATCGGGCTCATGCCTGCTCTCCTTTGCACTCTTGCTCCTGCTCTGATGCTTGCCCCTGTGCACATGGATGCTTTTCTTTGCATGCTTGCTGTCATGCCTGTCCCTGTGCACATGTCTGGTTTTCTTTGCACACTTGCTTCTGCTCTCACACTTGCCGCTGTGCACATGGATGCTTTTCTTTGTATGCTTATGCTGCTGCCATGCCTGTCTCTGTGCACACATATGGTCTTCTTTTCATGCTTGCTTCTGCTCTCACGCCTGCCCCTCTGCTTATGCACGCTCACACATGCTCATACACACTGTACCCCTATTCTTGTGCTCTCACGCACACTCAGACCTGCTTCCATCTGTTCCCGTGCCCCTGATACACACCCTACCCCTATTCTTGTGCTCTCACGCACACTCAGATCTGCTTCCATCTGTCCCTGTGCCCCTGCACACTTTCCCCTGCATGCTCAACCCTGCTCCCATCCCCCATTCTTGCTCACATTCCCCGACACGTCACACTGGGAGATTGCTCTCAACAGTTCAGCCTCCGCTCCAAACCCATTCCATTTAATAAAGGCTCAGTCAGACTCTCCTCTCACTGTCTGAAGTCAAGGGAAGCAGCAGGTGTTCGATGTTTTTGACGTCCAGCACTTGTTTAGCTGCCTTAATATGGACTTAAGAGCCTAACTTTAGGAACCGTTTTTTAAAAACTCTTGGCCTTAGGGGTTACTTGAACCATCAACTCCACTCCTCAGCAGTGACCTGTTCTTGATGTTTCAGAGAAAGCCCCACCCCCTTCACTGCCTATAACTCCAAGCCCATCCTCAGAGCTAGGTGGGAAATGGTTTTCCCATCCTGGAAAATGTTTTGAGATTTCTAAAATGTTTCCTGTCCCAAATCACTAGATGAGGGGCTCAGACATGGATCTAGAAGAGGGAAGCTGGCCGTGCTGTGGATAAAGAGAACGCCTCTCGTTCACTATAGCTAGTTGCTGTCTGGGCTCCATGGCCCCGCCCTTCAACTGAGGGGGCAGGTCTATTGTTCATTTAGGCTCCACCCACCCACCCAGAATTGAAATTTCATGAGCACTCAATTAAATTGTTCCGGATCTTTCATTTCATGGAGGTCGTTGTGATTTATGCAGAGATTGACCCCAGTTGAGAGTCTGGCCTAGTACTTAAAACAAGTAGCCTTCCTTTCTGCCCCCTCCCTTCATTTATCCACTCACCCTGTGTGCCTTGCTCTCTCTTTAAGCCCCGGGCCTGCTCCCTGCCTGCAAATCTGTTGGCATCTCAGCACTCTGTGTAAATCAAACCAGATTGGCGCATCAGTGGTGCGGGCCAGAAAAAGCGACCGTGACAGCTCGCGCAGCTGGCGTCCCTGCAGCTTGGGCTCAGAGTGACTGTTCCTGATGAGCGGCCACAGCCTTTTACTAGATGCATTAAAACCGACAGGCTATGAAGGAACTCTTCAAAATCTCTCTCCCCTCTGGCTATTGTAGGCGGGAGGCAGCCCACGGTTCCCACAGGGGTGCATGGGTTGTAATGTAGCTTCTCTGAAATGTCTGTTCCCTTTAACCCTTCCAGTGAAGCTCCTGCCAGTGAAAAGCATCTTGCTCCAGAATGAGACAACTGACACCATCCAGGCCAGGTGGACCTCAGTTAGGGGAGCATCAGGATACAGGCTCACCTGGGTGTCGGCAGGTACAGTCTCCAGGAACCAGAGGAGTGTGTCATTGTCATGATGCTCTGTTAGCAGCTTGCATCATTATTGAATCTGCTTTTGCTTTTGTCATCACCCTTGTTTAGCAGCACCAGGGTGCATGTTCCCACCCAAGCTTCCCACAATGAGATTAGAGACAGACCTGGTCGAAATCCTGACCCTAAACACCTGGGATTTGAATCCAGATCTGAGATTTGCACAGGGGTCTTTTCTCTGACCCTGGATTCAAACACCCTTTATGCTGTTGTTAGGGAAGTGTTAGAAATCTAGATGTTCTTCTTTTATTTTTGCCCCGCAGGAAGGATGGTTTGGTGGTTAAAACAAAAAACAGGGAGTCAGGACACTTGCATTCTCTTCCTGCCCTGTGACCAGCTTCCCGGGTTGACCTAGGGCAAGTAACTTCTCCTCCGGGTGCCTCAACTTCCCAAGTTGTAAAATAGGGATAACACCCACTGTACAGGGGTGATTTAGTTGGGGTTGGTCCTGCTTTGAGCAAGGGGTTGGACTTGATGACCTCCTGAGGTCCCTTCCAACCCTGATATTCTATGATTCATTCAATGGTATCTCTGAAGCACTTTGAGATCCTCAGGAAGGAAGGTGCTTTAGGGCAGTGGTTCTTAATCAGGGGTCCAGGGGCCCCTGGGAGGCCATGAGAAGGTTTCAGGGGAGCTGTGAAGCAGGGCCAGTGTTAGACTCACTGGGGCCCAGGGCAGAAAACCGAAGCCCCACTGTATGGGGCTGAAGCCTGGGGCCCTGAGCCCCACCACCCGGGGTTGAAGCCGAAGCTTGAGCAAGTTAGCTTTGCGGGGGGTCCTGTCACATGGGGCCCCAGGCAATTGCCCTGCTGGCTACCCCCTAATGCTGGCCCTGGCTTTTATATGCAGAAAGCCAGTTGTGTGGGACAGCTGGGCTGTGGAGTTTTTGTAGCATGTTGGGGGACTCAGAAAGAAAAAGCTTGAGAACCCTTGACCAAGGAGAGGGTGAAGTACCACCATTCCTGCTACTGTGTAATAAACTAGTAGTGAATGGATTTCCAAAGTGCGAATAAACACTCCAAATTGCAGAGATTTAGCCAGTCCTCTCCTTTGGCTTTGGATCGTTTGGCTGGAAATCGGGAAAGCAGGCACTTGTGGGTCAGGGACAGTCTTTTTTGTTCTGCGTTTGTACAGTGCCAAGCACTATGGGGCCCAGACCCATGACGGGGAATACAAATCATAATAATTTCTTTTCCTTCTGGACTTGTTCCTTAAGAACAGGTTCTTGTGTGGTATTTCAGCCCTCGCAGAAATGCAGCAAAAGGTGTGTATTCCTCAGTTTTTTTTAAATCTCAGGACTCCTGGGTCTTACTCCCGCTGATGCACTATGCGACTGTGGGCAAGTTACTTTACCTCTCAGTGCCTCCTGTTCCCCATTCTACAACTGGGGAGAAGGCTAGATGAACTGGCCAGTGTGTATGTGTCACTACTGCCCTCTGCTGGATGGAATCAGAAACGTTCTACTCTGTGTCATAGGCCCTGCATCACATTCCTAGCTAGAGGGCTATTTGTGTGTGTGTGTGTGCGTCCATCGTATCCATTGTCCGTAATCAAATCCAACACCCGCAAATTTCCCTGACACGCAACTTTGTAGCGGACGCCCAGAAGGGAACGGGACCATTGGGTGTTGTCGTTGTAACTCATACATATTCGCCCCTTTTGTGATTAATACAACAGGGGTCATTTTCCCACCCCGCTTCTAGAACGCTGGTTTGAGGGATAATTCTACACTGCAATGTACATCCCAGGAATGTGTTTCCCTGGATGGGGCTGATTGTTCTTTCCCATCTTCCAAGACAGAGAGCTGTAGCTCACGAAAGCTCATGCTCAAATAAATTGGTTAGTCTCTAAGGTGCCACAAGTACTCCTTTTCTTTTTTAGATTAAAATAGCCGCTCATGCGGGAGGGTGTGTTGGCAGAACAAGGATACTACTGACACAGACAGGAAAATGAGGACATGGCACCCCCTAGTGGCTGAACTAAGAATAGCCACCGTTGGCTTTACGCATGCAAGAAGAATGAAAGATGCAGTAACTTTTAAGAGTAGCAGCCGTGTTAGTCTGTATTTGCAAAAAGAAAATTTGTACTTGTGGCACCTTAGAGACTAACCAATTTATTTGAGCATGAGCTTTCGTGAGCTACAGCTCACTTCATCGGATGCATACTGTGGAAAATACAGTGGGGAGATTTATATACATAGAGAACATGAAACAATGGGTGTTACCATACACACTGTAACGAGAGTGATCACTTCAGGTGAGATATTACCAGCAGGAGAGCGGGGGGAGGAGGGAGGGGAACGGACGACCCTTTTGTAGTGATAATCAAGGTGGGCCATTTCCAGCAGTTGACAAGAACGTCTGAGGAACCATAGTGGGGGAGGGGAGAATAAACATGGGGAAATAGTTTTACTTTGTGTAATGACCCATCCACTCCCAGTCTTTATTCAAGCCTAATTTAATGTTGTCCAGTTTGCAAATTAATTCCAATTCAGCAGTCTCTCGTTGGAGTCTGTTTTTGAAGTTTTTTTGTTGAAGAATTGCCACTTTTAGGTCTGTAATCGAGTGACCAGAGAGACTGAAGTGTTCTCCGACTGGTTTTTGAATGCTATAATTCTTGACATCTGATTTGTGTCCATTTATTCTTTTACGTAGAGACTGTCCAGTTTGACCAACGTACATGGCAGAGGGGCATTGCTGGCACATGATGGCATATATCACACTGGTAGATGTGCAGGTGAACGAGCCTCTGATAGTGTGGCTGATGTGATTAGGCCCTATGATGGTGTCCTCTGAATAGATATATGGACACAGTTGGCAACAGGCTTTGTTGCAAGGATAGGTTCCTGGGTTAGTGGTTCTGTTGTGTGGTGTGTGGTTGCTGGTGAGTATTTGCTTCAGGTTGGGGGGCTGCCTGTAGGCAAGGACAGGCCTGTCTCCCAAGATCTGTGAGAGTGATGGGTCGTCCTTCAGGATAGGTTGTAGATCCTTGATGATGCACTGGAGAGGTTTTAGTTGGGGCTGTATGTTATGGCCAGTGGTGTTCTGTTACTTTCTTTGTTGGGCCTGTTTTGTAGTAGGTGACTTCTGGGTACTCTTCTGGCTCTGTCAATCTCCTTCAGTAACTTTTAAGAGTCCTGGAAATGTGAGATTTGCCTATCTCCTTCCAGCCAGGACAGGAGTGTCCCCTGCAGATCAAATAACATTTTAGTCTGAGCATGCTTTGTGTTTTGTGATATTCCCTGGAGGAGAGGAGATGACCCTTTCCCATCCTTCCCAGAGCTCCACAGATATTCCCTGCCCTGCCCTGTACCCCCAACCTCAACTTCCTGCTTTGGGGTAGCCATCCGTCCAGCCAGAGGACTCCCTTGGGAGCCCATGGACAGCACTGCCACCAGCTGGGCCCCTTTTGAAGCAGACAGGTTTCCCCCCTTCTTCCAACAGGAGTGAAGCATGTTACCTGCCCAATCACACGCAGCTGTTTGTATTTTGTGGGTTTGGTTTATTCTCCTGTGCCATCGGGGCACCCTAATGACTGACTGGCCCCCAGGAAGTTTGTGGGTATCAAAGCTGCCATATTTCAGAGTAGCAGCCGTGTTAGTTTGTAACCGCAAAAAGAACAGGAGGACTTGTGGCACCTTAGAGACTAACAAATTTATTAGAGCATAAGCTTTCGTGGGCTACAGCCCACTTCATCGGATGCATAGAACAGAACATATAATAAGAAGATAGATAGATAGATATACATACATACAGAGAAGGTGGAAGTTGACATATAAACTGTAAGAGGCTAATTAATTAAGATGAGCTATTATCAGCAGGAGAAAAAATCTTTTGTAGTGCTAATCAAGATGGCCCATTTAGACAAGAAGGTGTGAGGGAAATAGATGCAATATGTGTAATGACCCAGCCACTCCCAGTCATTGTTGTTGTTTTTATTTACAGTAGAGCCTGTAGGCCCCAAGCGAGATCAGGGCCCCATTGTGACAGGCCCGGGACATACAGCCCCTGCCCTGAAGAGCTGACAATCTACATGCGTGAGGCAGAAGAGAAATATGATCATCTCCATGTTACGGCTGGGAAACTGAGGCACAGAGCAACTGGCCTGCCCAGCCAGTGTAGAGCTGGGGGGAGAAATCTGCACCCCAGCTCCCTCATAAGGGGCAGGACCCAGGGAGGCTGTAGCAGGGGCTGGAATTGAACCTAGAACTTAAGTCCCCATCTGGTGCCTTCACCACAAGCCCAACCTTCCTCTTCTCTCTTCCCACCGGAGCTGACCACACATTAGGGTGGCCACCGATGGGTCTGACTGTTGGTCAGTGTGTGGCATTTAATTGGTGGTGTCCTGCATGCTGTATTCTGGGGGGTGTGGGAAAAGAAGGGGGGAACCAGTCACAGGTGAGTGTCCCTCGAGAGCTAGACTTGGGTGTATCCAGCTGTTGTCTCCTCTCCGGGGCAGGGGGCAGCGTTGAGACCGTGAACCTGGACGACACTTGTACTGACTACATGATCCCGGGGCTGCAGCCTGGGCTGGAATACACCGTCACTGTCAACCCCGTCTTTGGGGACGTGGAGGGGCCCGTGGTGAGCAGCAAGGCAACCACCTGTAAGTGCCCTGGGGTGGGCAAGTGGGAGGGGAAAGGCCTGGGAGGGCAAGTGGGTGAGATCATTCAGTTCAGATCAGCAAGAGCTCAGGCATGGAAGGAACAGGGACTGGGGATGGGGGGTGGCAAAGGAGGGTGGCAAAGGGGCTGAACAGGCAGCTGGGGATGTGGGGGTGGGAGAGGTTGAGTAGCGCTGCTGCCCAGAAGAGAGTTGAGGTACACGTACGGGGAAGGAAGCGTACAGGGTCACAGGACTCCCTTTGGGGACGCCTGGCCTAGGTTCCAGAGCAGGGGATGGGAAGCCAGGAAATGTGGGGGTCTAGCTCTGCCGCTGACTTGCTGGTGAACTGGGGGCAAGTCATTTTGTCTCTCTGTGCCTCAGTTTCCCTATCAGGAATACTGGGGGTGATGTTAGTTATCCTCCTTTATGGAGTACTGTGATAGTGCTGAGAGGCCACGGTGACGGGCCGCAGTGTAGATCTCTAAAACAGATGATCAGCCAGGCTGATCCCTGCATTGCTTGTACCCAGGTTGGCTCCCAGGTCTCCCGGTCACGCACAGCCACCTCCTAGCCAGTATCACCCGGGGCTGACAACCTCCCTCTGGTCTCTTATGCATAGAGCAGCCTGGTGCATTGTGGTCTTTCTTAGGTCCCTTAGGACCTGATCCAAGTCCCCCTGAATTCAGTGAGAGTCTTTCCACTCCTGTTGCATCCGTCAGACCCATAACCTGCCCCGCTTACCCACACTGCTCGGCTCTCTTTCTTAAAGTGGCGGCGAGCGCTGTGCAGACCCTGAAAGTGACCGACGTAACAATCAACTCTGCCCTGCTCGCCTGGAATTCAGTGGCTGGGGCCACTGGGTACAGAGTGGCTTGGGGCCCTACTCCAGGTAAGCCGGTGTTTCTTGAGCCCGTAGCGCGGGCAGGCCCCCTCCGCCCAGCATTCAATGCAGCGCCAAAGCTGGAACAGCGAGCACGTAAAATCAGGGAATGGCAGATGTCGAGGCAGCTCAGGCAGGGGTCACTTGTCCACGTTGCACAACCCTAGAGTTGCTAACTTTCGAATGGCACAAAACCGAACACCCTAGCCCCGCCCCCTCCCCGAGGCCCCGCCCCCCGCTCACTACATTCCCCCTCCCTTGGGGGCTCGCTCTCCCCCAACCTCACTCACTTTCACTCGGCTGGGGCAGGGAATTGGGGTGTGTGAGAGGGTGAGGGCTCCAGCTGGGGGTGTGGGCTCAGGTGTGGGGCTGGGGATGAGCGGTTTGGGGTGCAGGAGGGGGCTCTGGGTTGGGAGGGGTCTCAGGGCTGGAGGTTGGGGCACAAGCTTACCTTGGGCGGCTCTGGGTCAGCAGCGGTAAGGCAGGGTGCCAGCTTGTCCTGACGCCATGTTGCATGCACCCCGAAAGTGGCCAGCAGGTCCTATATTAGTAGATGGGGGGCAGCAGGCTCTGCGCTCTGCTCTCGCCCACTGCAGGCACCGCCTGCCAGCTCCCGGTTCCTGGCCAATGGGAGTGCGGAGCCGGTGCTTGGGCGGGGGCAGCACATGGAACCCTATGGCCCCCCTGCGCTAGAAGCTGGACCTGCTGGCTGCTTCTGGGGTGCAGCATGGTGCCAGGACAGGTAGGGACTAGCCTGCCTTTAACGTGCAGCACCATTGACCGGACCTTTAACGGTCTGGTTGATGGTGCTGACCGGGGCCACCAGGGTCCCTTTTCGAGCAGGTGTTCCGGTCAAAAACCGGATACCTGGTCACCCTACGACAACCCACGTGCAACGGGGCAGGGAGCTTTTTTCACTGCGGGCCCTTTGGGTCCAATTCTCAGTTCCATTAAGGGCCCATTTGGGTGCTCTGGCAGCAGAAAAGCTCTCTGAATATCCCTGCACTAAGGGCCTGTCCAGCCAGTGGCGAGCTGGCGGAAGAATTCTGCACACAATGCCCCTCACTCTCCGCCCCCAGCATAAAGAGCATGGCCAGAGTGCACTGTGCTAGGGCTCCCTAGCTCCCAGGACTCATAAGGGCCATGGGAAGCAGTGTACAGACTAGAGCAGCCCAGAGGCTGCACTGACTTACACTGAGGGGGTCAGGCCATGCCCTTGAGTTTAAGGGGCCACCTGAACCCTGCTGACCCTCTCCCTGCATCAGGCCTGGGAAAGAGTTAGCAGACAATCAGGCCCCATGAGCAGGGGCTTATGGAAAAGGCTTCCTGACCTTGTGGCTTTTCTCCCTTGAGAGGCTGTAAATTCTGCAGACCACCTGCAACTCCAACCCTGGCCTTCCTTACAGGGATACTGTCCACTGGACTCTTTCTGGAGGGTGGAAACTGACTAATTTTGGCAGGTTTCTGCTTCAAACAGCACCTTCTTTGTTGGTTCATTTGTTTCTTTTAATCCCTTTAAGGGAAAATCCCCCTGTACAAAAGTGTTTCGATTCTCTTGCTGATGTTTTGTAAAGGTTACCTTCAGTGAGAGCGAAACAAACGAAGCATTTGATTCTGCAAAGGCAGCGTGGTCTAACCCATTCGGTCTGGGCTTTCCTGTTGCTCCCTGGAGGCTGGATTGGTAGAAATCCAGGTCTTTGACTGGGTCTTTGAACTTCTCTGGCCTGCGTTATACAGGAGGACAGATTAGATGGTCAGAGTGGCCCCTTCTGGCCTTAATATTGATTAGCTTTACTCTCTGGCCCCCAGGCTTCCTCCCACCTGCTCCACTTGCCAACACGGTTTACTCTTCAGCTTCTTTTTCTTCCCCCCAAAAGAATTCTTCCACAAAGACCGACCGCGGCAGCTGGCTCTGAACAGCTCCACCACGGCCTACCAGCTCCGAAACCTGGCCCCCGACAGCGAGTATGTGATTTCCCTCTACGTGCTCTTTGGCTCGGCAGAGGGGCCTGGGATCACCGCCTCAGCCAGGACGTGTGAGTACACGCGTGGCGCGGAAGCGGTGCCTCTCCTTGCCCGGGGAGCTCAGGTACCCGGTATATACCGACAATACAGAGCGCACCAAAGGGCCCTGGAGACGCACGCTTAACTTCTTGTGATCTGAGCTTTTCATTCCAAAGCGTTATACGAACTAGCTGTATCCCCGCCTCTGGAATGCAGCCACCTCTGGGGTAGAACATGACAACTTTAACCTCACAGAGCAGCATTACACCACAGTCTGGGACACAAATGGAGGAAAAATATTATAGCTAACTGAAATGCAGGGGCAATTGCCAGTACATGCCAGTGTTGGAATTTGACTCTGGGGTAAAACCCGTTCTCCTGTGAAAAGAGTGACGGGATTGTTAGAGATCAAGAATGCCAGGACTTTTGTTTTATATTTCTTCCAAAAGGCAACAGCACCTAAAGCAGTACAGAGCCTCTTAATGCCCTGGCGGGGCATTGGACTCAGTACTTTGCAGCCACTGAGCCACCAGTAATACTCCCTGCAGTAACCCAGGCTTCCTTTGGCTGTCTCCCAGCCAGCTGCTGACCCAACTTAATCTGATGAAGCTTGTGTGATCAGAAGGGATGACAGAATAAGATGATCTGCACCCATGGCTTGGCAGACTCCTGACATCAGTCAAAGGCTACGAGCCACCCCCTCAGCTGGTGTGTCTCGGCGGGGTTCCAGTGAAGGCAATGGAGCTACGCTGATTTACACCAGCTGAGGATCTGCCCCATGATTTCACAAGAAGAATAGCAGCGGGACTGCATCCCTGGCTGACCTACAGCAGCTCAAAGATAAGATTGCCACCATGTCCTTTGAAAGTCACTGTTCCCTAAAAGTCACTCCCCCCAGTGCTGTTAGCAGTGAGAACCCTGAGAGGCGCTGGCGTTTATTGAGCACATTACTAATCAAGACATCAGCTAACGTCACTTTCCCCTGGCAGCGCCGCTTGGCTACGTGTCCAATTTCAAGGTAACTTCCTACACGAGCACATCCATCTCCCTTGCATGGAGGGCCACCGCTGCAGCCACCGGATACCGAATCTCCTGGAGCCCAGGGGGAGCGGGCAGAGGTGAGTGCAGATCGGTCGCCATGGTTTGCTTAGGTTATACACAGAAGGGTGACAAGGACGTTCAAGCTGGCGATGCAGGTTGTCTGCCCATGTGGAATATTGCCTGGCTACAGGAGATTGCTTTATTCTAGTTCTCTGGGCCTGCAGGGCCAATATCTGCGGAGCTAATGCTCCGAATTGCCGGTGATGGGTGTGAAAAAGCAGGCTGTGTGTGTTACTGTCAGAAGGGTTTGAACCTTCAGCCCTCAGTGCTAAAAGCATAAGCATCCACCAGCTGATCTGAAGGAAAGAGACCCCTAGAATTTAGCGATAGCTCTGGGGTTCTCAAACTGGGGGTCGGGACCCCTCAGGGGGTCACGAGGTTATTACATGGGAGGTCGCAAGCTGTCAGCCTCCACCCCAAACCCCGCTTTGCCATCAGCATTTATAATGGTGTTAAATATATTAAAAAGTGTTTTTAATTTATAAGGGGGGAGGGTCTCACTCAGAGGCTTGCTATGTGAAAGGGGTCGCCCGTACAAAAGTTTGAGAACCACTGCTATAGCTGACTCATTAATCTCGTGCATGGACCAGCCACTAGAGGGGAACAAAGATCCACATGCGCCAAATGTAGTTTACATGAGCTTCCGTTTTTGGCCACCAGAGTAGCTGTGATTTGTGAGTATGTCAGGGATTGCGGTCTTGTCTTAATTGGTTTGAGAAATCTTTGGGCCATCGTCTCTTACTCTATTCGTAGAGGAATCAAGTGTTGTCCTCAAGGAATCCCGTTCATTCCAGGGGGTATTCCCCAGTGGAGATTTTGACTGGTTTCCAGACCATTTATGTCACTGATGACTTCTGTGCCTGGTGCCAGTCCGAGGCCAAGGGGAATGCGGCTACAGGGTATGAGGACTAGCTGCCAGGGAACCTTTCCTCATTCAGCCTCCATCTGCCTTTGTTCAGTTGAATCCCTTCCCTCCTACTTCTCATCCTTTATGCCTCTCTAAATGACTCGCTTCCCCCCACAACTTTGTGTTTACACCCTTCCCCAGAGAGCCTCGGAAATAATACTACTGGGAGGAAAAGCAGTACCCTTTGGAGAAGATCCACTGTTCTTGGTGAATTATATGCACTGTGGTGTCCTTGTCCTTTCAGGAAGAGGAGTTGCCAAGAGCCAGTACCTGGGCAGCAGGGGACTTGCTTATCACATTGACCATTTGCTGCCTAATACCCACTATACACTTGGTGTTCGTGCTATGTTCAACAAGTCCGAGGGACCAGAAGTGACTCTCACGCACCGTACCGGTGAGTTCTGCTGTAACGACCCCATCTTGCATGGGACATCAGGGTTTGAACCTACCACCTTCAGCAGAGACCTTTGCCACTTGAACTAAAGGAGCAGCCCTGTTAACTTGCAGCAGTAGTAGACTGTTATCCTTGAGCGGAATGCAACACACATTCTACCTGCATAAATGAATTTAGCACTTTGGGAACACTCAGTAACGTTATACTTGGGGACTCAAATCTTTCGGTCTCTCTCTCTTGTCCAGCTCAGTTCAGCAGGAGGCCCTGTTGTTCCTTATGGGAGCTGGAAACACCACCCAGCCCAACTAAACACCACCCAGCCTCCCCCATGCCCAGCCCAACAGCCAGAGTTAGGCCAAAGCGTTACAGCTCTCAGCACATTCAACTGTTGTGTGCCAGAGGCAGTGAACGGCAGGACTGAGGCGCTCCAATACCCGAGGCCCCTGCAATGGCAGGCATTAAGTGAGGTATGCCCAGAGGGTATATACCTAATGCTTCTGGTGAGGATCCTGTGAGATCAGGGATGTAGCCCTGGGCGTACCATGGGCTAGACTCTGATATTCTGACTCACAATGGGTAGCAGCGTTCTCCAGGCATAGAACCACGGATGTCAGCAGGCTTAGTCGTGGAGTGGGGTGTCATTCAGTGGCCGGAAAGGTATCGGAATCTGACTCAGGTCTCTGTATTTCATTCATTTTTGCAGCCTCGCTCGCAGACTCAAACCCCATCCAGACCGTCCGGGATTTGCGGATCGTTGACATTGGAGTAAACAGCTTGAAGGTCTCCTGGAAAAGGACTCCGGGCGTAACGCACTATAAGATATCCTGGGTCCCATTCAGTGGTAGGCATCCTACTCCACCGGCCACGTAAAGTACTGTGAGAGAGCGCTGGAGGTCCCTAATACTCTGGAAGTGACTCTCATCTCAGTGTCCCCCGCCTCTTCCCACGGGTGTTCAAGGACAGATTATAAACTGGCAGAGTGGGGACAATGCTTTTAAGAAATTTGGGGTCCTCACCCAGGCTCGTAAGAGTGGGCTGGACCCCTGGTGTGGGGAGTCTTTTGTTCTTCTCTTGTGCTCGTGGTAACTTGGTTTGATTTCCAGCTACAACCATTGTCCCTGGAGGAAAAGCTCCTCTTGGCTGCACCTGCTTTTTTGGCTTCTGCTCAGTTATTCCACCAGCTCACAAGTATGTTTGTGTGTTGCTGGGTGTGTGGGCATGCTAGGCCTGGATGGGTGTTTTCAATCATGGAAGAGGCCCCAGAAGGATCCTGCCCTTTCTCCCTTTCACTGCTGCTTGGCACAGGCTTTGGAGGGGAGGATTAATATTCAAAATTATCTGGACAAACTGGAGAAATGGTCTGAAGTAAATAGGATGAAATTCAATTAGGACAAATGCAAAGTACTTCACTTAGGAAGGAACAATCAATTGCACACATACAAAATGGGCAATGACTGCCTAGGAAGGAGGACTGCGGAAAGGGATCTGGGGGTCACAGTGGACCACAAGTTAAATATGAGTCAACAGTGTAACACTGTTGCAAAAAACCCAAACTCCATTCTGGGATGTATTAGCAGGAGTGTTGTAAGCAAGAGACAAGCAATAATTCTTCCGCTCTACTCCGCGCTGATTAGGCCTCAACTGGAGTATTGTGTCCAGTTCTGGGCTCCACATTTCCGAAAAGATGTAGACAAATTGGAGAAAGTCCAGAGATTAAACGATTAAAGGTCTAGAAAACATGCCCTGTCAGGGAAGATTGAAAACATTGGGTTTGTTTAATCTGGAGAAGAAAAGACTGAGAGGGGACATGATACCAGTTTTCAAGTACATAAAAGGTTGTTACAAGGAGGAGGGAGGAAAATTATTCTTCTTAACCTCTGAGGGCAGGACAAGAAGCAATGGGCTTAAATTGCAGCAAGGGAGGTTTAGGTTGGACATTAGGAAAAACTTCCTAATTGTCAGGGTGGTTAAGCACTGGGATAAATTGCCTAGGGAGGTCATGGAATCTCCCTCATTGAAGATTTTTAAGAGCAGGTTAGACAAACATCTGTCGGGGCTATTCTAGATAAGACTTAGTCCTGCCATGAGTGCAGGGGACTGGACTAGATGACCCCTCCAGGTCCCTTCCAGTCCTATGATTCTATAATCCAGGCTGCAAACCCAGTGGATGTTCAGGAGGCCGCACATCTGCAAAGCACAATCCCTGAAGCTTGATGCTCAGTCCTTCTGACTGGGAGGAGCCAGCCACGGCTAGCTCGAGTATGTCACCCTTGCTCCTGAGACAGCCGTGGAATCAGGGAGAGACATAAGGTATTTCTCCCTCTCTTTGCAATCTAGTCTTGCCAGATGGGAGGAGTGAGAGCTCCCGGCTCTGCACGCAACCTTCTCCGCTCTCCTCAGCGCACCCTCCTGGTCCCAGTCCAGTCTACACACCTCCACCGCCAATCAATGAGTGGCCAAGCAGGCCATAGGAGTAGCTCCCTGCACCATGCCATCTCTCCTGGGCCAGTCCCCAGGACTGGCAGCCTCTCCAGGGTCTATCTCCCATTCTAAGGGTATGTCTACACTGCAGTCACTGGGCGTAATTGCTGCTTGTGTGGACGTGCCTGTGCTCGCTTCAATCCAGCTCAGGTACCCGAACAGTGAAGCCATGTCAGCACCCATTAGCCATGCCAGGAATTTCCTAAGGTTCTTGATGGGCTTATACAGCCCGCACTAAACCATGCACTGCCATCGCTTCGCTGCTCAGGTACCGGAGCTAGCTAGACTAAAGCTACCTTGGAATGTCTAGGATACACCCTTGGAGGCGCTGGCAGGTGGGAGACCTCCATCAGCTGCTGCTGTTTTGCGCAAGTTGCAATTCCTGGCATGCAGGAAGTGAATGCAGGGGAAGAACTAAGGTAACAATGATCTCTTTTAACGTGAAGAGCTGGTTGAAAACTGAGCAATAAGCTTTGCAGAAACAATTCTAGAACCTTTGCGTTGCATTTTTCCAAATTATGATTGAAATTTTCTGTGTAACCGAGTATGAGCTTTACAAGCGTTTGGCCTGTTCAGACCCATCTTGGGATTTATTTAAGCAATTGTTTTAAAAACATAAAAAGAAATTAACTTCTGCACATGCCTCATTTTAAAAGCAGAAGATGATCCATGACCTTTATGGGTAAAATCGCCACGAAAAGTTTCAAGCAACGATTTTTCATAAAAAGTTCCCAATGTAGGAAAAAGGGAATTTTTTGGATGCAAAAAATTGCCATCTTTTTTTCCAGTGAAAGCCCAGCTTTCTGATTTCTCAGGAGCCTCCCAACTCTTGACAATTTTGTGCAGTGTTGAAAATAACAACCTCCACATTAAACAGGAAGAGCCTTAAGGGCTCTCTTTACCAGCTAGTACACCCACATATTGGTAAGGAGGGGCAAACTAAGGGAGTATGGGAAAAGCACAGCTGCCCCCTGTCTGCTAACGAGAGAACTCCCGCATTGCCCCTTGATTTGGACCAGCTCTGTCCATATTCTTTGGCTGTGTGGTCCAGTAGATAGAACATTGGACTGGGAGCCATGAGTCTGGGTTCTATTCCCAGCTGTCCCACTGATACATTATGTGACCTTGTGCAAGTCCCTTAAGCTCACTCTGCCTCAGCTTCTCCAGCTGTAAAATGGGGATAATAACACTCATTCTCCTTTGCCAAGTGTTTTGAGATCTGTGGATGAAAAGGACTGTAAAAATAATGCTCGCTACAGGAAGCATTGTTACTTTCTCCTGTCATTATCACAAACTGTTCTGTTTTTTTTATTGTTGTTATTAATTAGGTGGCTTGGAAACCTCACGGATTGTTCCAGCAGAGATCATATTTTTCACAATTACTAAGCTGCAGGAAAGCACAACGTACACCATCCGTGTGTCTTCAATGATCCAGGAACGGGAGGGAAGCCCAGTGCTTCTCAGTGCCAAAACATGTCAGTACCGAGGAGACGTGGGCAGACACCAGTATATAGTGTCACCATTGCAACTGGGAAGTAGATCTGTTCAGGCTGACGCTTCTGTGCTCATCTCAAAGTATCAAGAGTTTGGGATCAGTTCAAAGAAACAACCTAAAGCATAGGGATCATAGCTACAGCTCGAATAAATCGGCATAGCTCCATTGGTTTGGGGACAGCAACATTGATCTCCACGAGCTAAGGATCTGGCAGTTGCTGACTCGGATTTATGGAAGTTCTGTACCATGCTGTAATCATTCCCTCTGTTCCTACATACGCTGCTAGTGAGGCAGGCTGAATGTCAGTATCACAGCTGGCACATGGAGAGGATCCGAGAGCTGATAACCAGCTGGCAGGAATTTCCCACCCACGTGCGGCCTGGCACAATTGGCCAGGAGCAGTCTGGATATTTTGGATCTTTCTCTGAAGTATTTAGCAGAGGCCTCCCAGAGACAAGATACCAAACTCAACAGGCCAGCCATCTGTTTTGTTTCTGTAATGCCTATCTGGAATTTTTGCCATTGATTTCAGTGGGCCCAGGATTCCACCCTTGTATAATGTGTGAAATTTTGGCCCTGTGAAATTCAAAGTAGATTCTCCCTCTCGAGCTCTTTTGGCTCATGCCATCGATTTAAGCCTTTACACAGTAGCAAACGATCATTGTTTCTTTTCTCTTCCCTTTTAAATAGTGGGTTATCCTAAAGTGACTCAGTTTGCAGTTCAGGAGAGCACGGAAAGCAGCATTTTACTGAGCTGGACGGGCGTTCCTGGGGCCTCTGCATATTTATTAACATGGCGCCTGGCATCAGGTAACGGCTCTTAGGTGTCATTGATGAATGGCTGTGGGTAAGGAAAGCTAATGTAAGGAAAGAAGAAGAGAATGTGAGTTGGGGAGAGTTGTAGAGTGGGCTCCTTATCTGTCTCCTAAAGATCTCGGGAAGGTCCATATTGCCACAATATCACATCTTCACTATTCTTTGGTTCCCCTTGCTCAGACAGTTATTAGTTCACGACAACATAGGAATTGCCAGACCGGATCTGCCCTAAGGTCCATTTAATCCAGTGTCCTGTCTCTGACAGTGGCAGGAGTGCTCCAGAGGAAGGTGCACGGAACCCCATCATGGATTAAACCACCTACAGAGGAAGTGTCTTCCTAACCCCAGACAATCAGTGGCTGGATTAGGGGCTGAAGCATCAAGCTTTACATCCCTGATCTTTTTCTAATCCAATTTAATCCCACTGTGGATGTTCTCATTGTCCATATAAATGCTTGATCCTTCTTTTGAATCCTGCTCCGCTCTTTCCCTCTTACGTCATTCATTTCCCTCCAAGAAATAAGAGTCTTGTCTAGTAGTGAGAGCAAAGGACTGGGACTTTGGGCTCTCCCCACAATGCCACTCTTCCTGTGCCACTTTGGATGACTCATCTCTGGGCCTCAGTTTCCTAATAAATCCTGGAAGGAATGGTACCTTCCCTACAAGGGTGTTGGGAGACTTAATTGGTCTAAAATTTGTACAGTGCATTGAGATCCTTGTGTGGAAGATGCTGTAGACATGGAAGGTGCTGTAGACATGAAAGTTTCTGAGTACCCCCATCTCCCACTGCCCTCAGTGTTCAAGCAGTAACATGACGGTATTGATGATAGAACTGCCTTGAACTAACACCTCTGACACGCCCTCTCCTAACTGCCTCTAAAACTTCCCTTTTTGCCAAACTTTGTGGCTATAATTACAATGTAGGGTGCTCCAGACAGGGTCTGTCTGTGGTTACAATGAGTTTCTTTGTCTCTATATTAACATCAATAAATTTAGGCTTGAAATTAGACGAAGGTTTCTAACCATCAGAGGAGTGAAGTTCTGGAACAGCCTTCCACAGGGAGCATAGGGGCAAAAAAACAAACTTGTTTTAAGACTGAGCTTGATAAGTTTATGGTGGGGATGGTATGAAGGGATTGCCTACAATGGCATGTTGCCCATATGTGACTGCTATGAGCAAATATCTCCAATGGTTGAGGGATGGGACACTAGATGGGAGGGCCCTGAGTTACTACAGAGAATTCTTTCCCCGGTGTCTGGCTGGTGAGTTGCTCACATGTTCAGGGTCTAACAGACTGCCATATTTGGGGTCAGGAAAGAATTTCCCCCCAACCCGGTCAGATTGACAGAGACCCTGCGGGGTTTCTCCTTACACTGCAGTGTGGGGCATGGATCCCTTGCTGGTTTGAATTAGAGTAAATGGTGGATTCTCTGTAACTTTAAGTCATCAAATCACAGTTTGAGGACTTCAGTAAGTCAGTCAGAGTTTATGGGCCTACTACAGGAGTGGATTCTGTGATGTGCAGAAGGTCAGACTAGATGATCATGATGGTCCCTCCTGGCCTTAAAGTCTATGAGTAACGTACCCTCTTTCCTTTCTTTTTTCCAGCGTCTGATCTTTCCACTGAACTGTTGGGAGCAGCTTCTAGATCATATCGAGTTGCAAACCTGAAGCCAAGAGGGATGTACTCTTTTTCAATAAGACCGCTCTTCGGAGAGACGGAGGGGCCAGAGGTGGCGCTTACTGAGCGGATAGGTATGAGAAACGGGGCCTTGTGTTGCAATTCCTGCTGGTGTCTTTCCTGTCACCACTAGCTCATGAGATGGTTCTTGGCATGGCGTGTTCCCATGCAATCCCGATGCCTTTCAGGGCTAGCTGTGTTCTTGCTATGAACTAGTTATGCGATGGATGCAGTTCCCCTCCTTTGTTTGTTTGTTTTTTACAGTGGGATCTCGAGGGAATCCTTCCACTCCTGCTCCTACCGTTACTTCTTTACCACCTGCCACTACGAGAGCCTGGTCCGGGGGTTCTAGCAGCGCAAGGGCCACTCCTCTTCCATCAGCCACCACCATGACATTAAGAATGACCCCAGCAACCACAGTTGTGACAACTAAAGCGTCGCCACCATTGACCACTCTCTCTGGGCCAAGTGAGTTTCAATCCACATGGGATTCAGTGCTGACGAATTGGTGCATTATAACCTCTTGGATGCTGTGGTCTCCTCTGATCACGAGCTAAAACTGGGTTGCGCTGGGTGAATACTTGGCGGGAAAACCCGAGATCAAAAACAGGTGCTGCAGGAGGCATGTTGGCGATCATAGAATGATAGAATTGTAGGACTGCAAAGGGCCCTGAGAGGTCTTCTGGTCCAGTCCCCTGCACTCATGGCAGGACTAAGTCTTATCTAGAATAGCCCCGACAGGTGTTTGTCTAACCTGCTCTTAAAAACCTTCAATGACGGAGATTCCACAACCTCCCTAGGCAATTTATCCCAGTGCTTAACCCCCCTGACAGTTAGGAAGTTTTTCCTGATGTCCAACCTAAACCTCCCTTGCTGCAATTTAAGCCCATTGCTTCTTGTCCTATCCTCAGCAGTTAAGGAGAATAATTTTCCTCCCTCCTCCTTGTAATAACCTTTTATGTACTTGAAAACTGTTATCATGCCCCTCTCCCCCAGTCTTCTCTTCTTCAGACTAAACAAACCCAATTTTTTCAATCTTCCCTCATAGGTCATGTTTTCTAGACCTTTAATCATTTTTGTTGCTCTTCTCTGGACTTTTTCCAATTTGTACACATCTTTCATGAAATGTGGCACCCAGAACTGGACACAATACTCCAGCTGAGGCCTAAGCAGCGCAGTCCAGAAGGTGGAGCTCTTTCCTCTCTGTCAGCAGGTGAAAGAGCCAAGAGATGTTAGATAATCGCACCTGTTATAATCGTAATAATACTGAGACCACTGCTCTGAAACAGATTGATGAGCCATTGTGTCTAACGTCCTGTCTCTGATGGTGACCAGTGTCTAATACATAAAGAAGAGGCATAAAATGCATGTAAGAGCATTGAGTTTTGTGCAGCGTCATTCCATGGGGGTGAATGTATTATATCTTGTTCACTCAACACACCCTTGAAACCACAAGGTGTGATTGTGTCTCGGACTGTTCTCCCATAAAGAAGAATAGTCCAGCCTTTTATGACAAATCCCGTCCAATATGAGACAGATTGGAGACCCCAGGCCTTCCTGTCTGTGATTTACGAACATTCTACCTTCCCTTCGCAGTCTGTGGCAAGTTCAAAGCGGACATCGCATTCCTGGTGGACGAGTCCTCAAGCATTGGCCAGAGCAATTTCAATAAAGTGAAGGAGTTCCTTTACCGGATCGTCTCCTATTTCCCCAGAATTGGGCCCGAGGGAACACAGGCAAGAGACCATTATTCTATCTATCTATTGTAGGTACCTTTCTTCTTTTTATTCATCCTCACAACAACCCTGTGAGTTAAGGGAACGCTGTGAATCTTAAAGAGGCTAAATGACGTGCCTGAGGTCACATAGGAAGTCTGTGGCAGAGAAGGTAATTAAGCCCAGCTCTCCCAAGCCTGAGACTAGCATCCTAACTATTGGGCCAGCCTTCCTTTTGGGCCCCAGCTGGACATTCCCTGTTTTATGCCATTTTCTAGCAGTTTCCCCAAACCCCACCCGCACTAAAAAAGATGATCTCCACGCTATTGAAACCTTGCATTTCAGTGTGCTCACTTTGGGCCTAAGCCAGCGCCCAATGAAGTCCATGGAAAGACTCCTACTGGCTGCCATAGGCTTTGGTACGGGTTCTTTGTTTGTAATGATGCCCTTTGCACATATGATATCTGAATTGGACCTTCAGGCTAAGGCTCCATGTTGCTTTCTTTCACTTGACTAAGGAAGGTGGAGTTCCATGTTCTCATTGCCTGCAGACCATTAATAGCATCCCCCTCCCATGATCATTGCCTTTTACTCGTGTGCTTATATCCATGACCCCTGCTCCTTAGCTCCATCCTGCCACCTTTATCGGCCTCACGTGCTCTTTGGCAGATCGCTGTAGCTCAGTACAGCGAAGAGCCCAGGACTGAATTCCACTTTAACCAGCACAACGATCGCAATGGAGCTCTCAGAGCCCTCAAGGAGCTGCAGTACACTGGAGGCAATACAAAGACAGGTGCGTACCGTGTATGCATGTCAGTGTTTGCAGGCCACATACATTACAGCTAGAAATATGGGCCCAAGTCACCAAGTCTTGATCTGCATTTGGCTCTCACCTTGCCCAGCAGTCAGGTGGTGTGGTTTTGCTTTCGAGTTTTGAATCAGTCTGTTCTAGAGGTTGATTGGCTGCTTGTGAAGTTAAGATCTAAACTTCTTTAAAGTTTGCATTGGGGTGAGTCTAGAGTTTTGGTTTGGACCCATTTTTAATAATTGCCTGGCCATCTATTCTGGTTCTTTCATCATCATTCTAGTTTTTTGTCTGACCTTCTCTTTATAATTTTATATCCCATCACCCTCCTTAATTTAGTTTTTATACCTAACATGGAGCCCTAACCGTAAGGTTACCTATCGACTGGGAATATTTTAAAGAGTGCTTTTAACTCTAAAACATAGCCTTGATCCTAACGCTAATCCTACTAGTCTTACATGCAAGAATTCTCAGCGTTGAGTTTTATGGTTCAGCACCAGATTCTGTTTCCTTGGGATTTATTTAGATCACCGGGTCTGGTCCCTTTCGATGCATGTCTATAACTCTCAGTGATATTATTTATGTGTGCACATTAGGTAGGACTTTCAGAAGCTCTTAGTGCTGACCTAGCTCTGCTCCCACGGAAGTCAATGGGGGTTTTTACCGTTGACCTCAATGGAAAGAGAGGCAGGCCAATTCAGTGTTTTGGAAAACCCCTCCTGTCGGGGATAAAATTATTTACACATCCCTCACCTATGTTGGGAGCATCAAGGCTAGTAAAGTAGCAACTGACCCAAAATATTTCATGTTTTAAAAAAGAAATCCCCCAAACCTTCAGCCGTCTGAAGATGCGCTGTCTGTAACTACAGGCATGCTAGAGAAGGGTTAGCCATTTAGCTAGTCCGTTCAGACAACATAATTAGGTTTTACCTGGGTTGCTATTGCAAGGACACTGAAATACACACACAGGAGCTTTAAATTGTGGGAAGTTAGCCCTCATTTTATCCTTTCTAAGCTGGTCACCTAAATAGCTGCCCCTGTCTTGAAGGAGCCAGTTAACTAGGATAGAAATTAGAGGAAGGTTTCTAGCCGCCAGACCAGGGGGAGGTTCTGGAGCAGCCTCTTTATATTAGTAGTGGGGCGGGCAAACAACCTACCTAGTTTTGAAAGGGCGCCTGATAAATGTATGAATGGGAGTATGTGATAACGGGGGATTGGACTCAATGGCCTAGGAAGTCCCTTCCAGTCTTGACTCCCCTGTTCCTAAAGTGGCTTTGGCACCGATTAATCTCTCTTAATGTGGCCAGCCTGTACATTTTCTAACATGTCCTTTTTTCCACCTGCAAACTGGATCAGACGGACTCAGACCCACAGCACTACCATTCATACACCTGGCACTGCGGGATCTAGGCGTGACTGGTGTGGAGAAAGTAAAGAAGGACGTGTTATTTACTCCTTCTCATAACACAAAAACTAGAGGTCACCCAATGAAATTAATAGGCAGCAGGTTTAAAACAAACAAAAGGAAGTATTTGTTTACATGACGCACAGTCAACCTGTGGAACTCTTTGCCAGAGGATGTTGTGAAGGCCAAGACTATCACAGGGTTCAAAAAAGAACTAGATAAGTTCCTAGAGGATAGGCCCATCAATGCCTATTAGCCAGGATGGGCAGGAATCGTGTCCTTAGCCTCCGTTTGCCAGAAGCTGGGAATGAGCGACATGGGATGGATCACTTGATGATTTCCTGTTCTGTTCATTCCCTCTGGGTCACCTGGCATTGGCCACTGTCAGAAGACAGGAGACTGAGTTAAATGGACCTTTGGTCTGACCTAGTCTGGCCGTTCTTATGTTCTAGGCTGTGCATCTTTCTGCTTTCCTCTAGGTCGTGGCTTAGGCTATGTGCTAAAGGAGTTATTTCAGTCCTCCAAAGGGATGAGACCAACCGTGCCTCGCACGCTGGTGCTAGTGACCGATGGACAGTCCCAGGACGATGTGTTGCCACCAGCCAGAGTGGCGCATGCGTTAGGTAGGGATCTTTTCTTGAAAGCCCCAATCCTGCTCCCAGCAAAGTGAATGATAAAACTCCTATGAGTTTAGTTGTGCTGGATTGGGTCCTAACATAGTTTATTGTTGGCTTCCTGGGCTCTTATCTCTCTTATCTCTTCTTCCTTCATTAAAAGTTGTGGGTTTGCCCCTGACCAGACATAATGAGCCCAATGAGCCCACCTGGTATGAGCTTGACCTAATGTTTGTAGATGAAGAATCTGATCTGTACTGGCTTTAATACTCTGATGGCTGACAGCTCAGGGTGGCCAGGTGCCCGGTTTTCGACCAGAAAGTCTGGTTGAAAAGGGGACCTGACGGTGTCCGGTCAGATCTACTGACCGGACACCCAAAGTCCAGTCACTTCAGGTGGGGGAGGCAGGGAGGTGCTGAGTCTTCACCCGTCCCAGCCCCTACTTCGCTGGGGCCGCCTCCTACCTGCATTGGGCGGCTGCAGCTCCCGGCCCCGGCTCCGTGCAGAGTTGGGGGAGAGAGAGGAAGAGCAGTGAGCGACAGAGGGAGGAAGAAAGAGGAGCGAACAGGGGCGGGGTCTCAGGGAAGGGGCGGGGCGGGGCAGGGCAGGGCAGGGGTGAGACCTGGGGGAAGGGGCAGAGCCTCAGGGGTGGAGGAGGTTCTGGCATGTCTGCTGGAGTGTCCAGTTTTAAATATTACATAGTTGGCAACCGTACGGGAAACTGATGTCCACATTTTGTCCCAGGCAATGGCAGTGCCAGCTTCTCCCATGCACTGCCCCATGAATATATCTTGGTACTTCCTGGAGACCAGCTCTGGAGCGGGAGGGGAGTCCAGTCTCACAACCCGTTTGAGATAATCCAATGAGGTTTCCCTGCTCCCATGCTGAGGTCTGTAATGGACTTTCCGCGGGGTGGGCTGAGAACAGCACCACCTCATGGGCTTGTCACTCCCCTCTGAGCACTGTGTTGCACTAGTTTGGAGTCTCTGTCCAATCCCTAAATGACAAGAGTTCGTGTAACTGTTCTGTGCCCTTGCCGGCGGTCTTAATGGAGAAGCCACAGGTGGAGACCATGAGCTGGGCATGCCTTTATCAGAGCAAGCCTCGTACCCCCAGCTCCCTCCAGTGACAAAGGGGAACAGATGGCTTAGGGGTTAAGAGTTGACTCCTCACCTCAATGTGAGCAATTTCTAGTGAACCAAGACAAGCTGTGGCTGGGAGCTGAGCCTGACTTTACTCTGCAGTTGAGAATTTCCAAGCTGATGGGTGGATTTAACCCCACAACTCCCATTAATCGGCGTCAGTGGGCACTGCGGGGTGAACCCCCCTAACCAGCTTGGAAGATCTCTGCCCGTATGCCTGTCTAATGAGGGAGCCATTTGTTTCAGGAATCCGGGTCATCGCTGTGGGGGTCTCCAGAGCTGACCCCCAAGAACTGAACAGCATTTTGTTACACCGCAACCTGCAGAATGTTTTCTACATCAGCACCTTTGAGGACTTCCCCCACATCATCCGGGAGGTGATAGAAACCATTTGCTCTGACTCGCCGCATTCGGGAGCCCAACTGCAGCCCGGGGAGGTGAGCTGCTTTCTCCTACACTATTTCCATGTCTATGCTCTATTTCCTACAGAGAGCTTTGGAGAGAAGCCAGCTCACCTCCCAGAGGTTCCTTCTGGCAGCCTGTGATCGTGGTCCTACCCTGTGTTCTGGTTCAAAGCAAACCCAAAAGTTAAGAATCAGAGAATCATAGGACGGGCAGGGACCTCGAGAGGCCATCTAGTCCAGTCCCCTGCGGTCCTGGCAGGACTAAGTATTATAAACAAGTCTTCAGGCCTCTTTCTGATTTCACTTATCATCTATCGTTGTCAGCTGGCGGTCATGCCATCCAAGACAGCAGTGTAAAACAGGCACAGATGAAACCAGAATCTGGCCTTTTCCTGGTTATCAGTTAAGTCAGTGGCATATCCAGTGCAGGCTGAAAAAACACTTGAGGGAATTGCCAATGCACAGTCGTCTCCTGGTAACAGTTGTCCGCTCAATCTGCCCCGGTAGTGTGATATAGGTAGTTTGTAAATAACCAGGTCCTTGGATACAGCATGGCCAGAGGGCAGCAGGAGAGGATTCGAAGGGAGCCTTATTCCCTGTAGAGGGAAGAAAGTTTTCTATAGATGAATTAGAGCACCTGAAGCCAGTCACCTGGTAAAACCCCCCTGCTTCAATCAGACAAGGGAAGGAGTTGGAGCAGAGTGGCTTGGTGTTGGAGCAGAGAGCAGTTTGGAGGAGTTGAAGCAGAGGGGATTGGCGTTGGAGCAGAGAGCAGTTTGGAGGAGTTGAAGCAGAGCGGATTGGTGTTGGAGCAGAGAGCAGTTTGGAGGAGTTGAAGCAGAGCGGATTGGCGTTGGAGCAGAGAGCAGTTTGGAGGAGTTGAAGCAGAGGGGATTGGCGTTGGAGCAGAGAGCAGTTTGGAGGAGTTGAAGCAGAGGGGATTGGCGTTGGAGCAGAGAGCAGTTTGGAGGAGTTGAAGCAGAGGGGATTGGCGTTGGAGCAGAGAGCAGTTTGGAGGAGTCGAAGCGGAGCGGATTGGCGTTGGAGCAGAGAGCAGTTTGGAGGAGTCGAAGCGGAGCGGATTGGCGTTGGAGCAGAGAGCAGTTTGGAGGAGTTGAAGCGGAGGGGATTGGCGTTGGAGCAGAGAGCAGTTTGGAGGAGTCGAAGCGGAGCGGATTGGCGTTGGAGCAGAGAGCAGTTTGGAGGAGTCGAAGCGGAGCGGATTGGCGTTGGAGCAGAGAGCAGTTTGGAGGAGTCGAAGCGGAGCGGATTGGCGTTGGAGCAGAGAGCAGTTTGGAGGAGTCGAAGCGGAGCGGATTGGCGTTGGAGCAGAGAGCAGTTTGGAGGAGTCGAAGCGGAGCGGATTGGCGTTGGAGCAGAGAGCAGTTTGGAGGAGTTGAAGCGGAGCGGATTGGCGTTGGAGCAGAGAGCAGTTTGGAGGAGTCGAGCGGAGCGGATTGGCGTTGGAGCAGAGAGCAGTTTGGAGGAGTCAAGCGGAGCGGATTGGCGTTGGAGCAGAGAGCAGTTTGGAGGAGTCAGCGGAGCGATTGGCGTTGGAGCAGAGAGCAGTTTGGAGGAGTTGAAGTGGAGGATTGGTTGGACAGAGAGGAAGCAGAGGGGATTGGTGTTGGAGAGAGAGCAGTTTGGAGGAGTGAAGCAGAGGGGATTGGTGTTGGAGCAGAGAGCAGTTTGGAGGAGTTGAAGCGGAGGGATTGGGTTGGAGCAGAGAGCAGTTTGGAGGAGTCGAAGCGGAGCGATTGGCGTTGGAGCAGAGAGCAGTTTGGAGGAGTCAAGCGGAGCGGATTGGCGTTGGAGCAGAGAGCAGTTTGGAGGAGTTGAAGTGGAGGGGATTGGCGTTGGAGCAGAGAGCAGTTTGGAGGAGTCGAAGCGGAGGGGATTGGTGTTGGAGCAGAGAGCAGTTTGGAGGAGTTGAAGCGGAGGGGATTGGCGTTGGAGCAGAGAGCAGTTTGGAGGAGTTGAAGCAGAGGGGATTGGCGTTGGAGCAGAGAGCAGTTTGGAGGAGTTGAAGCGGAGTGGATTGGTGTTGGAGCAGAGAGCAGTTTGGAGGGAAGCAGAGGAGAATTTGGAGAAGTGCTGCAGTGGGCTAAGAAGACCAAGACCCTAGGTAAAGGGATACATGGTTTGTGCAGAGGGAGGGCAGGAAGCCCCACAAGCTGAAGGGCAGGAGAGGGAAGTAGTCCAGGGAAAGGAACTGCTAGTTCAAGTGGTTTACTGCTATCCCTAGGGTCCCTGGGTTGGGACTCGGAGTAGAGGGCAGGCCTGGGTCCCTCCCTCTCCACTCGCCTCCTCTAGGACACTAGTGGGGCAGTTAATACCCCAGTTCAGGGGCAAGAAATGGTGCCCTGAACCCTCCCCAAGAAAAGAAAGCAGAGACCCATCAAAGTAGTGCCAGCAATTTGCCACAACACCCATAATCCTCTGTGATAAGACAAAAATCTAACTGAAGCTGTGTGTTGTAGGTTGCTAGACAGGATATGGTCAAACTGCAGCAGGTTGGTGGCATGGAGAGCAACTCATCGGTCCATGATCCAGCTTCCGCTGATCCAGAAATCCAAAGACCAGAGGGGCCATGCAGTCTCAGGTGCTCAAAGGTAAGAAGAGTGATAACAGCTCAGTAGGGTGTACTTGGGGGAGTATATTGCATAAGACACATGCAGTGAGCGCACTCATTAGTTTGGGGTTAATCCCCTACCACCATAAAACCTCCAGTTTTATGCTGGTGTAACTGAGCTGTCTTGAATGGAATTGCATCAGCATGAAATAGGAGCAGTGACCAGTCAAGGCTCTTTACCTCTGGAGACATGGGCACAAGCCATGGTTAGGTCACCAGTTGTCCACCTTTGGAGATCTCATCCTCAGACCTGTCATTTGTGCACTCCACAAACACGCAGCATCTCATTGCATGAGGAGCAACCTGTGACCTCTCATCATTATCAACTTGTTTCTCGTGGGCATTGCAGATGAATTCATAGATTTCAAGGTCAGAAGGGACCATTATGACTATCTGGTCTGCCCTCCTGCATAACACAGGCCAGGGAACCTCACCCAGTAACTTCTGCATCAAGCCCATAACTGCTGTTTGAGCTATAGCATCTAATTTAGAAAGACATCCAGTCTTGGTTTAAAGACTGCAAGTGGCAGAGAATCCACCATCTCCTCAGGCAAGTTGTTTGAATGGTTAGTGGCCTTCCCTGTTAAAAATGTGCCGTGATATTTTAGGAGGATTTGAATGCCAAGCAGGATATGGTCTGCTGCATTTATTTAATAGTCTCCTATGAGCCATTGCCTTTCCCTCTGTTAAAAATAAAACATCAGTCAGTTCTTGCCTGCATTGGGTAGCACCAGCATCTGACCCACCATAAAGGCAGGGAGAGAGGAGAAGCAACTGTAACAGTTGGCATGCTAACCCACTGGAAGGGATGGGGAGCCATTTCTTATCAGTTCTGCAATAAGGGGCCGGGGGAGGAAGTGCAATTATTTTTCTTCCTATTTACTGTGTTGCCATCACAGCTTCTATTCTTATTCTGTTACAGGCGCCTAAGGGAGAGAAGGTAAATATTCTAGCCAGCTGCGAGATTTCACTCTTCAGCGGGAACACACAAGCCTTGGCATTTACATGCTACGCTGGAGGGGACCAGAGAAATACCCAAGACAGACATTGTAGATAGGCCTCCGGCTAGAGCCATGAAACAGCCAGGAGGAGATTGTTGCCTACATTGGGCTCTGGATGAGAGATCTCTCCAAGTCAAAATAGTAACGGAAGGGCAGGGCTCAGGGCCTGAACCCCTTGAGTCACCTTGCCACAGGCTGACATGTACCAACTATCTGGGCAACTCAGAACAGGAGAGGTGTGTTTGGATTACGAGGGTTGGGTTGGGAGCTCACCTCCAGCTGAAGTCAAATTAGGGACTGTATTTCTAGATCCAAAATCCTGGATCCAAACACTCCTACTCTCTGCTGGACACTGTTTACCAATCCAATGCGACAAGCACATACTCTTCGGCCTTGTCTAGATTAGGATAAAAGGTGTTTAAAAAAAAACGTGATTGCCAATGCATTTTACAACCCTGCTGTAAATAGGACAAGTTGTAAGTTAGCTGATAGGGGTGACCCCTGTGGGATTAGAAATGTGCTTCTCGGATTAACAGTAGGGCAAGACAGTACGGTCAGATACTTCCAAGCTACGAAGCTGTTGTTCCATATAGAGAAAGGGTAGTCCAGTGGTTAGTGTCTAGGAGACAGGGGTTTAATTCCCAGCTGTGCCACAGACTCCCTTTGTGACCAGGGGCAAGTCACGAAGGCTATGTCTACACTGCAGCTGGGAGCATTGCTGCCCAGTGCGCACCGATGGATTTGAGTTAGCTTGCTACAAGAACAGCATAGGGAGGCTAGATTCCCAGGCCAGAAGGGACCAATGTGATCATCTAGTCTGACCTCCTATAGAACAAAAGAATTTCTGAGGAGAATATTTGTTGGAAAAGCATCCAGACTTGATTTTAAAATGGTCAGTGATGGAGAAGCCACCACAACCCAATGGTTAGCTACTCTCTCTGTTACAGATTTATGCCTTATTTCCAGTCTGAAATCAGAGAATCATAGAAGATTAGGGTTGGAAGAGACCTCAGGAGGTCATCTAGTCCAATCCCCTGCTCAAAGCAGGGCCAACCCCAAATAAATCATCCAGCCAGGGCTTTGTCAAGCCTGATCTTAAAAACCTCGAAGGATGGAGATTCCACCACCTCCCTAGGTAACCCATTCCAGTGCTTCACCACCCTCCTAGTGAAATAGTGTTTCCTAATATCCAATCTAGACTTCCCCCACTGCAACTTGAGATCATTGCTCCTTGTTCTGTCATCTGCCACCACTGAGAACATCCGAGCTCCGTCCTCTTTGGAACCCCCCTTCAGGTAGTTGAAGGCTGCTATCAAATCCCCTCACTCTTCTCTTCTGCAGACTAAATAACCCCTTCTGCACACTGAGCACTCCCTGGGGTTCTGGATCACGCCTTACTGCTCTATCAGCCTGGATTCCTCCCTCACTAGAATGAGCGAGCTGGCCAGGCCCCAAAGCAGCAATGAAAAGGTTAACAGGCTAGTAATCACATGGTCAGTGCCTGATGGAAATTATGGACATTTATCCCCTCTGGGTCACTAGGTTGAACTCAGCCTCTCTCTGTACCTAGGGCAGGCATAGCAAGGGGGGCAGCTCAGCTCACACACACACACGAACCCGCTGGCTACACACTCAGGTGATCCCCTGTGCTACCCTAGTCTCATTGCTGGTTTTAGCGGGCTGGCTCGAGCAGAGCTGACATATTCGCAGTATAAACCTTACTGTTGTCTCTCTGGGCCTCAGATCCCATCTGTACAAGGGGATCGCAGCACTACCCGACACACTGATCCCACAGCAGGTTTTTGCCACTATCTTCAGGATCAAGCCCTTAGCAGTCCCACCCATCTAATCAGAACCCAGTTGGTTGGGTTAATTAAAAGTAGACGAGAGAAAGCAGGGCAGAGAACGCCTCTGAGCTAGGAGTGGGAAGGGGGCTCTTCTTTATTTCATCTCTGCCAAATTCTGTTCAGTTCCAGTGATGTAACTCTTGCGGGGATAGGAGGAGGAGGAGGATGTTCTGAGTCAGTGCCTAGAGGCTACAGTCTCATTGTGCTAGGCGCTGTACAAACACGTAACAAAGAGGGGGCCCCTACCTAGAGAGCTTACCATCTTGTTGCACCTGTGCAGCTGAGAACAGGATAGGCTTGTAATCGGTGGAGTATTTCCCAGGCCCTGTAACTGAGCGGACCCCTTCCCTGCCCCAGTTAAAGCTCTCTCCACCCTGTTCTGCAGCGCCTCCTCGTATGACTCTAGTTCTGTTTCCTTGTCGTGCAGGGTGAGAGAGGCCCACCTGGAGAATTGGTGAGTCCGATCAGAGAAGATCCTCCACGTGAACCAGGAAATACATTGTCCCAATGGCTTGAGGCTTGGGACAGGCTTCCTGGGACAGGAGGAAATATAAGCAAAGCATAACATCCAGTGGAGGCTAATGGGCCTGGGGTATGAATGTATCCTCTGGGGAGTGAAGTTCACCCTTCTACAGAGGATTGGATTTCTAAAGGGATCCAATAACTCTTGTTGTAAATGGCTGAGTAGTGGGCTAAATGGCCCTTCCCAGGGGTCTGTTGGATGGGTTGATCTGTGTTTCTTTGGAGGGTAATAATGTCTTGAATTTTTTTTTCCACTTTTCCTTTTCAAGAGCTTCACCGGTTTGCTGACTGGAGGCAGTTACGATCCATACAACTTTGTCATAAAGGGAGAGAAGGGAGAGAGGGTGAGTCTCGCAGCAGGAGTGATGCACTGGATTAATTAGCACATGGCTAGGTAATTAATAGTTACAAAAGGCTGCCCCAGAGCATGGTGCATTTAATGTGTCCTGTTCCCTGTTGGCTTTGAAAATCAAACAGGAAGGAAGGTGTGTGTGAGAGAGGGAGAGAGAGACATGCCTGGGCGTGATGCTTTATTTTTCATTTCTCAGAGATCATTCTCCCTGCGAACAGAAAGGGGAGACCAGAAACTGATGTCTCATTAAAAGGGGAGAAGCCATTATATCCCATGGGCCACAGCTTCCTGCATGGCTGAGCAGGATTGGGCTGCTGAGGTCAGGGCTGGGGCATTGTTGAACCCAAAAGCCAAAACAACCCAGAATAAAAACGCTGAATGAGTCCCAGCAGGCTGTTTGGTTGCTAGCTCAGGACTCCTGTGTCCCAGAACATGAGGAATCCACAAGGAATTAGGGATGGATAATCCCAGCAGAATTCAGGCCTTTGCAAACCCCGTCAAACCAATTTTCAAATTCACAAAACTTATCTGAGCTGGGAAATCCCATGTGCTCATGGCTGGTTTTTCCCCAAAGGGCATCCAACCTGCGATAAAACACTGATGAATTTTTCTAGAGAAAGGGAAGCCAGTGCTGTTCATAGAATATCAGGGTTGGAAGGGACCTTAGGAGGTCATCTAGTCCAACCCCCTGCTCAAAGCAGGGCCAATCCCCAATTTTTGCCCCCGATCCCAAATGGCCCCCTCAAGGATTGAGCTCACAACCCTGGGTTTAGCAGGCCAGTGCTTAAACCACTGCGCTATCCCGTCCTCCCTCCCACATTAGAACATCCTCTCCCACCACTGCACAAAAAAGTGACTGTTGACCAGAGTTATTGGAGGTTGGCAGTTCTTTCCACACCACCCAAGCTCTGCCCCATCTTTGACCTTGTTATTTTCCATGTATTTAGGGGCTCCCTGGGAAAGATGGAATTCCCGGACTGCCAGGTCGACCTGGGCGAGTGGGGCCCCCTGGCTCCGTTGGGCTGATGGTAAATATCTGGACTAATGAGAACTATCAACGCTGGGATTAATAAAAGGGGAAAAAACCCTTTTCCGGTGTTTGAACATCTATTTTTCTCTCCCTCAATTTACAGGGGCTCCCTGGTATCCAAGGTGATCTCGTAAGTATTCCAAACCATCAAAGTCTCAGAAACTCAGCGGCACCCAAATAACCCTCGCTGGATCCTACACCGTGCGGGTGTGGAGGGCTGCATGGGCAACAGCCAGTCGTGCTGAGCTGGATGGGGAGCCCCGGGGAACTCAATTTTGCATTTTTTGGGTATTGCCGGGGCCAAATGACTCCTGCCCTGTAGCTGAAACAAGGCCAGTCAGAGACGCATACAGCCAAGCGCCTCATCAGTTTGAGCAGGATCATACCTGAGGCTGTATCCGTCTTTCTGTCCCTAGGGAGCATTGTACAGACTTTCTACCACTCAGTGCAGAGGGCAATACCTGTGACTTACGCTTACTTGCACCGACATGTAGCGTCCACTCACACTCGCTGGAGCTCAGTGCTTGTGATAAGACATTGGCTAAGTGCTTGTGATGATGTCTCCTGCTAGTGGCTGGCTCCGAGGAAGATAACAGCCAACTACTGGAGCTCTCCTTTTGGCTCAAGGGCTTCATATCCGCAGCCCAAGCTCAGCTGTGTAAGTGTAGAGCATGGAATTGGGATAAGGGTATATTTATTTCACTCTGATACTTTTTGTTTTCCTGTGCAAGGCATTTTCCCAGTGGTTGTCATCACAGGGTGTCCAGTCACAGAAACCGTCATTGCAAACGAACACCCCATCTGACTCCATTCGGAGGGGTCGTTTTTGGCCCTGTAGAGTGCATATACAATGACCCGCCACCCATCATAGGTTGAGTGTGGACTGAACATGTGAGCTACAGTGCTAAAAGCATGGCTTTCGACTGCTTGAGCAAAAGGAGTAACTTCAGTAGCTGCTGGCAGTAGTAAGCTCTTATGTTATGTGCATCAGCCACTAGAGGGAGACATGTAATACACTAAATTAGTGGGTACGTGGCTCCTATTGATGTTGGCACCACAAAGGAAGGAACTCTACCCACTGAAACCTGTTTAAGATATCACTCAGTGGGCCAACAAAAATTTGTCATCTGGTGGAGATGGGTTTATAGTTTAGGATCCAACAGAATGGAACTGACGGCCTTAGGTTTATAAGTGATCACCTCACCTAAGGGATTGCAGGTTGACAATGATTCTGTGAGCCAGTTTCTCTCTGTTGTTTAACTCTGCGTGATTTATTTTAAATTCCAGGGACCTCTTGGATATCCAGGGCCAGCGGGGCCAAAAGGAGACAGAGTGAGTTCCCTTTACATGTTTCAATAGAAAATGCCATTGTAATGCACTTCCCTCTTATTAAGGTGTGTATGTCTCACTGCCCTCTACTGGATAGAATCAGAACTTCTGAAGTGCATGTCACTGGCCCTAGATGGCTGGCAGCTGATGGAGATTCTCCTCCAGCTCAAGGGCTACAGGCCTTTACACTGGGAACAGGAGGTCTGAGTACCATCTCTGCTGAGGCTGTGAAATTCCCAGTGACCCTGGTGTGCAGCCATAACGTCAGCAGTGAGCCGCTGTCAATGGTAAGGGAAACACGGCTGTCCAGGAGGTACAATCTATAAAATGAACAGAACCAGATGCAGTGTAACATTGGGAAAGGTCAGTTGTCTTGGTACCCACACACAGCTCCCGGTGTGCATTGTAGGTGGGCACTGGAGGGCAATGTAGACCTTCTGGCAGGTTTGTAAAATTGATTCAGATAAATCCCACAGAGGCTTTAGACTCTTTGCATCCAATCTGTGAGTCTTTAGTGAGGGTTAAGTCCTGCCAGGGTCAATGGGAGAGGACTACACAGGCATTAATACAAATCCCTGATTCATCTCACTTGGCTCAATAATTCCACAAAGAATCTAGTGCTCTGCTTCAGTGGGTTGGTCTACAGTTTTTAAGCATCATCTCTCAATTGTAGGACTAGAAGGGATCTCAAAATGTCTTCTCGTCCAGTCCGGACTCCTGGCAGGACTAAGTATTATCTAGTCCATCCCTGACAGGTGTTTGTCTAACCTGCTCTTAAAAATCTTCAATGACGGAGATTCCACAACCTCCCGAGGCAATTTATTCCAGTGCTTAACCACCCTGACAGTTAGGAAGATTTTCCTAATGTCCAACCTAAACTGCCCTTGCTGCAATTTAAGCCCAATGCTTCTTATCCTATCCTCAGAGGTTAAGAAAAACAATTCTTCTCCCTCCTCCTTGTAACAACCTTCTATGTACTTGAAAACTCTTATCATGTCCCCTCTCAGTCTTCCCTTCTTCAGACTAAACAAACCCAATGTTTTCAATCTTCCCTCACAGGTCATTTTTTCTAGACCTTTAATCATTTTTGTTGCTCTTCTCTGGACTTTCTCCAATTTGTCCACATCTTTCCTGAAATGTGGCACCCAGAACTGGACACAATACTCCAGCTGAGGCCTTATCAGCGCAGAGTAGAGCAGAAGAATTACTTCTTGTGTCTTGCTTACAACACTCCGGCTAATACAGCCCAGAATGGTGTTCGCTTTTTTTGCAACAGTGCTACACTATTGACTGACTCATATTTAGCTGTGATCCACTATGACCCCCAGATCCATTTCTGCAGTACTCCTTCCTAGGCAGTCATTTCCCATTTTGTATGTGCGCAGCTGTGGAGGTTTATCCTTATTGAATTTCATCTTGTTTACTTCAGACCATTTCTCCAGTTTGTCCAGATCATTTTGAATTTTAATCCTATCCTCCTAAGTATTTGCAACCCCTCCCAGCTTGGTATCATCCACAAACTTTCTATGTACTCTTAATGCCATTATCAAAATCATTGATGAAGGAATTGAATAGAACCGGACCCAGAACTGATCCCTTCAGGACTCCACTCGATATGCCCTTCCAGCTGGACTGTGAACCACTGATAAATACTCTCTGGGAACAGTTTCCCAACCAGTTTTGCACCCACCTTATAGTTGCTTCCACCTAGGTTGTATTTTCCAGATTTGTTTATGAGAAGGTCATGTGAGACAGTATCAAAAGCCTTATTAAAGTCAAGATATACCACGTCTATCACTTCCCCCCCCATCCACAAGGCTTGTTACCCTGTCAAAGAAAGCTATTAGGCTTGTTTGACACGATTTGTTCTTGACAAATCCATGCTGACTGTTACTTATCACCTTATTATCTTTTAGGTTTCTGCAAATTGGTTGCTTAATTATTTGCTCCATTATCTTTCTGGCTACAGAAGTTAAGCTGGAAGGTCTGTAATTCCCTGGGTTGTCCTTATTCCCCTTTTTGTATGTTGGCACTATACTTTCCCTTTTCCAGCCCTCTGGAATCTCACCCATCTTCCATGACTTTTCAAGCTAATGGCTCAGATATCTCCTCAGTCAGCTCCTTGAGCATTCTAGGATGTATTTCATCAGGCCCTGGTGATTTGAAGATATCTAACTTGTCTAAGCAATTTTTAATTTGTTCTTTCCCTATTTTAGCCTCTGATCCTACCTCATTTTCGCTGCCATTCACTATGTTAGATGTCCAATTGCTACTAAACTTTTTGGTGAAAACTGAAATAAGAGTCGTTTAGCACTTCTGCCATTTCCACATTTTCTGTAATTCTGTCCTTCTCCCCTCATTGAATTATGGGCCTACCCTGTCCTTGGTCTTCTCTTGCTTCTAATGTATTTGTAGAAAGTTTTCTTGTTACCCTTTATGTTTCTAGCCAGTTTAATCTTGGTTTTTGCCTTGGCCTTTCTAATCTTATCCCTACCTGCTTGTGTTTGTTTATATTCATTCTTTGTAATTTGACCTAGTTTCCACTTTTTGTTTAGACTCTTTTTTGAGTTTCAGATCATTGAAGATCTCCAGGTTAAGCCAGGGTGGTCTCTTGCCATACTTCCTATCTTTCCTATGTAGTGGGATAGTTTGCTCTTGGGCCCTTCATAATGTTTCTTAAAAACTGCCAACTGTCTTCAGTTGTTTTTCCCCTTAGACTTGCTTCCCATGGGATTACCTACCAACTCCCTGAGTTTGTTAGTCTGCATTCTTGAAATCCATTATCTTTATTCTGCTATTTTCCTTCCTACCATTCCTTAGAATCATAAATTCTACCATTTCATGATCACATTCACCAAAGCTGCCTTCCACTTTCAGATTCTCCACCAGTTCCTCAGTATTGGTCAAATGCAAGCCTAGAACAGCCTCCACCCCATAGCTTTCTCCATCTTCTGAAATAAAAAAAATGTCTCCAATACATTCCAAGAACTTACTGGCTAATCTGTGCCCTGCTGTGTTATTTTCCCGGCAGACATCTGGGTAGCTGAAGTCCCACATCACCACCAAGTCCTGGGCTTTGGATGAGTTCATTAGCTGTTTGAAAAAAGCCTCATCCATCTCTTCTTGCTGGTTTGGTGGCTTGCAATAGCCCCCTGCCATGACATCACCCTTGTTTTCTACCTCTTTTATCCTTACCCAGAGACTTTCAACAAGTCTGTCTCCTATTTCCATCTCAACCTCGGTCCAAGTATCTACATTTTTGATATATAAGGCAACACCTCCTGCCTTTTTTTCCCTGCCTGTCCTTCCTGAGCAAGCTGTACCCTTCTATACCAATATTCAGTCATGTGTATTATCCCACCAAGTCTCTGTGATGCCAACTATATCATAGTTGTGTTTACTAACTAGCATTTCTGGTTCTTCCTGCTTATTCCCCATCTTCTTGCATTAGTATACAGACATCTCACTTATGGATTTGATTTCCCCCTAGGTTCTCTCTTGTCTTTCCCTCATCCCTGCTATAATAGCCCATGCTCTGGCCAGATTACAGCCCTTCTCCCAGATCTCCCAGATCTCTCCTGCTTTTGCCTTACCTGTGTGCTTTTGTCTCCTGCCCCATCAAACCTAGTTTAAAGCCCTCCTCCCTAGGTTAGCCAGTCTGTATCCAATAAAGTCTGTATCCAGTCTGGCAATGAAGCTGTTTGCATCAGCCCTGTTCTTTGGGGATGATTGTTTATATGCCTGCCTGCCTGTCTGTCTAACAGCCTCTGGAGCAATAGAGTAACTGACTGAAGAGCGAGGAAGTCGGGACCACCGCCTCAGCTGGCACGAATGGGTGAAGTTCCATTGAAGTCAATGGAACCCTGGGGACTGACTCCAGCTGAGAATCTGGTCCTACGGTTTCCTATGTGTAATTGTGTACTGAGCAAGTTTCTCAGGGTTTCCTCAGATGAAAATCTGAGCGGAAAAGCTTCCTGACACCCCAGTAAACCACTGTGTGTGCTGCTTCCCATTGTACAGGGGGAACCAGGCTACGTGCTGGGAGGGGTGGAAGTGATTCCTGGCCGAAATGGACAACCAGGCTCTCCTGTGAGTAAACGCATGACATCTGGTATAACTCACCTCCCTTCTGCGGTCGGTGTCTCCAAATGGTGTGTGGTCACCATAGATCGCGCAACTGGGGCAGCCAGGCCTTTAGACTTATCTGTAGCTTAGTAATGGCCAAAGGGTCTCTCTTAGGATTGGGGCCCCCTTGTGCTAGTCTCTGTGCATGCATATATAGCACAAGACAGACCCTACCCCAGGTAGCTTAGACAAAACAGGAAAAATAGGTGCACTGAGGGAGAAAGGGATGCAACGCACGAGCTGACTAGGTCAGTGCTTTCCTTTTCCTGGGCGTCTCCTGTACAGGTGTTGGTGACTTGGGAGGCAGCGTTCTTTCCTTTGAGTCAGCACTAGAGGGCACTGTGCTGCTGGATGTGGACCTGGCCACGTGTGGTTGTTAAGGCTCTCATAGGACATTGTGTACGATTAGGGTTGTTAACCCACACATCCTGATGAAGTACAGTTTGGATAACTGCTCTCTGGCTTCTTAAAGTCCTCCCCTTGTCATTTCAATGAGATACAAAATCCTCCTTCACATCCTGGCCTGAGCTGCTGGCAGTGTTATTGTGTGCTATTAACCAGCTGCTGCCTTTCACCCCAGAGGTGGCAGTATTTCAGTGCTGGGTGCATGGATCTCAATGTGTATGTTCTAAATAATCTTTGCCCTCTCAGTGTTTCCTGCTGTACCCTCATCATCTCTTTTCACTGCAGCCATCCTCTATCCTCTTGAGAGCAGGGTTATGGATGTCTTTCCTTCAGTATCTCTCCGTGCAGCTCAGTGATTGGCCAGAGAGGTCGCCACTGAGTGACACGGGCACTTACTCTAGGCCCATATGCTGCTCAGCTTTGCTAGGAGTGGGAGTAGAGGTCACTGGGGTAGAGCATTTGTGTCTCTCAAATGTTTGGCTTGAATCATTTCAGGGACAGAAAGGGCAGCCGGGAGTTCCTGGAGCAGCAGGACCACCAGGGCCGCAGGGACCGCCTGGGATGTCTGTGAAGGTGTGTGTGACTGTGAGCTAGCCATTTGTCTGCATTGCTCTGCCATAGGCACCTGGGGGCGTGTGCTGAATGCGGGGTAACTAGGAGGGTTACCCTTCTCAAGGCAGGGGGAATCCACATCCCCCAGCCTGTCACACAGCGAGGGGTCAGGCCTCCTAGACATCTATAAATTAATCCTGTGCCATTGACGCCAATGGGGGCTTTACCGGTGACATCTGTGAGTGCAGGATCAGGCCCCTCTCTGTAGTCTGACGACTCATCACAAGACACTGGGGTCCAACTGCAGTTTCAGAGGACCTAGTGGGCCAGTTTGAATGCAGCCTGGAACAGGAGTGAGTGAAAGTTGTTACTATCTGGGGGTGGTTCCGTTGTTGAGGTGAAATATTTAAGCCCAGCTTCCAGTGTGCATAGTGCCGTTGTCCATAGTTGCCTCCCCACCCAGCCACCTTCTAGGCAGTTTGAGCCGAGGACAATGGTGGGTGCAAATGTGGGAGGCGGCTCCCCTCACACGCGTGGGGCAGAATGATCCCAGTGGGGGCAGACTGCAGCCCAGATTGCGTAGATCTTCGAGAGGAGGCTCCAGCGGAAATGGAGGGAGGGAGGGGGCCCTGAGAAGGAAACATGATCGCTCCTGTCTTGTTCTGAGGCTGTATCATTCTCTGTCCTCTGTTTCAGGGCGAGCCTGGAGATGCTGGTGGTAGAGTAAGTAGTTGAGATTTACTCCTAGTTTCATCCCGTGTGTGTATGTGTCTGTCAGACCTGAGGAAGAGCTCTGTGTGGCTCAAAAGCTTGTCTCTCTCACTAGCAGAGGGTGGTCTGATAAAAGACATTACCTCACACACCTTGTCTCTCAAATATCTTGGGACCAACATGGCTTCAACCAAACTGCATGCAACATGTCCCCCCAGCCCTGCATTTTATTTTTAAGCTGCCGAATGGATTGAATTTAGCTGGTGTTGGTCCTACTTTGAGCAGGGGTTTGGACTAGATGACCTCCTGAGGTCTCTTCCAACCCTAATCTTCTATGATTCTATGAATACATGCCCCAGTGATGCTCAGCCTGGGGACCTATCCAAGAAGAGACATTTCCTTTTTCCGCCCCCCTCCCACCCCCGTCAGCTCCCTGATCTGTCTGGTGGTGCTAGTAGTGTTGCTATGGCTACCAGTCAGGCATAGGTGTGCATGCGTGCGTGTGTATATATGGTGCAGGGAGGGAGCTGCCCAAGTACCATAGGCCTGCCACCATCACTGGCCACAATAACACAGTAAGTCAAGTATGATTCTCCCCTGTACTGCTGGTCTCCACTGCAGCTTGTGCCCTGTGGCAGGCTGAAGGGGGTCTCTGGGGTGCCATTGTATCCGAAAGGTTCTTTAATGCATGAGCATGAATCACTGGCCACATGATTGATGCTGAGGGCGGCTCCTGGAAACGTGCAGTGTTGTTCTAGTTGGTGAGAGTCTCTCATGCATTATACAGGGGCCTCGCGGGAAAAGCGGTGCCAAGGGTGACAAAGGAGATGCAGGAGAGACCGTGAGTACAGACTGGTGCTGAACTTTCACCAATAGTCACTTTGGGCCAGACAGTGCCTGTCAGATGCAGGCCGTCGCTTAGGGTGGGTGGAGAGCAATACATCCTGGGACTCCTGGGAAATGTCGTGGAGGCGTAGTCGGCAGGATCTACACCCTGTTTACTGGTTACCTGGAGTTAGACAACCTCTGTGCTGACTGTGGCCTGGAAGCTGCAGTCAAAACAATGAGGGGATAAGAGTTGTGTTCATGGACTATGAGAAGCATCCAGAAGAGTGCTGCAGTTAGAGCTGGCCAAGAGAGAGGCCCAAAAGCTGGAGGTAGCAGAGAAAGCCAAAGAGTGAGGTGCCTTTGGGTAGTGTCACACTCCCCTCTGTGGAGGGCAACAGCTTTCACTGGCTAAGATGCTGTATGAGCTAATTCCCAGCACTTCGTGGGGCCTCATTTTTATCATTTGGCTTGGCACTAACCCTAAATACCTTGGGCATGACAGGCACTGTGTTGAACCACATTCTGTTCCTCTTTTGCAGGGGAAAGCCGGTTTGCCTGGCCCTCTCGGGCTGGATGGTGCTCCTGGAATTCCCGGGCCAAGGGGAGAAAAGGTCATTACTCATGTAATATGTCTTTACTCTTCATCTGCCCAAAGGGGACAGAAATAGCCGAGTTGCCGTAATGGCAGGATGGACCAAGTGAGAGGAGGATGGAGAAGTGTCACCATGTCTCCCCCTGCTCCATGGACTTGCTGCAGCCAATATCATGGAATAGAATAGACATTGTCTGTCTAGCCAGCCTTCCCTGTTCCTCTGACTCATCTCCTATCTGTGCATCTGAAAGGTTTGGCCACTGTAGATGCCAGGACCTTCTCCTCTCCCACGGGATGGCCTCCTTTGGTGTCCCTGCCTCCTTTATCCCCATCCTCTTTCACATTGAAACCTCTACAGTCCTTTTCTTAACATGTCTCCCTTTCCAGGCAACTTAGGCTGACCTTAGAAATACAACCCTATAATGCTGAGGTTACATTAACAGACACTTCTCCAGACAAAATGGTCCTGCACTAAATTGCTGGCCCCCAGTGGGAGTTCAGAGATGCTGCTGTAGATAGGACTGATTTCAGTTATAGTCTCACCTTTTCTTTTCTTTTTTTTTTTCTTCTCCTTTCTCCCTTCTCCCTCTGGAGTGTTACCTTCACTTAGGCTGTGCTTGCTTTTCAGGGGGAGGCAGGGATCGGCATTCCAGGCACACCTGGCTTTAAGGGAGCAGAAGGAGGAAAGGTATGTTTTAGTCTTTGCAACCAGGTTTGTACATGTGCAATAGGCAACCTCTGTCCCTCCCCTTTTTCTTCAGTGCTCTGGATGTAGTTATTAACAGACTGAACCAAAAAACTAAATCTGTCCTTGTAGTTCTATGGCCTGGGTTATGCAGGTCAGATTAGATGATCACAGGTTATGTCCATAATTGAAGATAGGGGTGTGATTACCAGCTTGCCTAGATGCACTCATGCTAGACCTCCCTGAGCAATATTTATCTGCTTTCACAGGAAAATTTCTATATTTCTCAGTCAGAAGACCTAAATATTTTGACTGAAATCGACATATTTCAAATTGGACGTACTGCCACATTGCCTCATGGGAGTTATAGTTTACTTGCCTCATGTCCCCATTCTCCTCTGTGGGCTGAGCTCCCCAGAGTGACTACATCTCCCAGGAAGCACCATGGCCAGGGACTCCCATGATGTACTGCCTCCTGTCTCCAAAAGGGGAGATCCTGGTGCATCCTGGGAGATGAAGCCCTGTGTCCAAATTTCTGCCAAAAATTGAAATATGTATTTTTTTCCATTTTTGTCAAATTTTTCTGTGGAACCTCTTGCTTTTTTCCACCAGCTCTAGTGGGAAGGCTAGTGCAGACAAGGCGTCAGTGGCCACCAGCCTTTTTATCATGGTGTTTAGACCTTCTCTCATTAGGGTGGGAGGACTCAGTGGTTAAAACACCAATGGTAGTGGGAACCTTGGTACCCAATGTGGCTATTGCAGTAGAACTAAACCAGCAATCGCAAGGTGTTTGGCAGCAAAGCCCAGTGTAGATGCAGCCTCGTTTGTCAGACTTGGGCTGGGTGTTATTTTCTCAGAGGTAGGAGAGAATTTCAGCTGGCTGTGAGCACCATGTGCCTGCGGTGTTCCAGCTTGGGGAGGAGTCAGTATGAGCCAATTAGTGTCTGACCTGCACTGGCATTAATGCCCAAACACTGGTCCTGATGAGCAGCTTGAGCCGCATGGCCTCTTCTCTGGGGAGTTTCGGTGGGACTGTAGAGAAGGAAGGCACCTAGGCCATGGAACAGAAGTGGAGCTATTCCACAGTGTCCACTGCAGCCTGTGCAGCATCTGGCCTCCCCCAATGCCACGGGAAATGATTGGTGGCAGGTCCACCAGCTCTACCCCCAAATCCCTGCTCTGCCAGGCAGTGCCTGGAGTTCCCGTGCAGCTGGTCTTGTGGCACAAAAATCCTCCTTGGGCTTCCAGAATCCTGCCCTTTGCCCCTAAACAGCTGGTAGGAATTGCTCTGTCCTTACAAGACGCCTGTGTCTTCACTGTTTGAGGGCTCTGGATTTAGCAAACCTTTGGAGGTGACAATCTAATAGGCGAGAGATGGGACGGGTGTTGCCGAAATCAGCCCTTTGTAAATAGCTGGACCGCAATGGAGAGGTGTTGTTGAAACTAATGGACTGCCGCTGGAGTTGAAAAAGGAGAGAAACACAGAAGGGTGGTGATGATGAAGAAGAGGACAGGAGCCAGCAATGAGTCCTAGAGGCTGAGCTCTCTTCTCTCTTTGTTTTTCAGGGGGAAATGGGGCCACCCGGAGCACAAGGACAAAAGGCGGGTATTAAAAACATGCATCCAAGTTGAACCTGTGCTAGGGTGGTTGGAAATGGGTGGTGGTCTTGTGATGGGGAAGATAGAGGGACATCCCTTGTGGCATAGAATGCAATAAGAAAAGGAATACTTGTGGCACCTTAGAGACTAGCCAATTTATTTGAGCCACGCCCAGTCGTGGCTAAGTCATTATGCAAGGTAACCTTTTTCTCCTTGTTTTCCTAACCCCCCTCCCCCCCAGACGTTCTTGTTAAACCCTGGATTTGTGCTGGAAATGGCCCACCTTGATTATCATACACATTGTAAGGAGAGTGATCACTTTAGATAAGCTATTACCAACAGGAGAGTGGGTTTGTTTGGGGGGGGGGAAGAAAACCTGGATTTGTGCTGGAAATGGCCCACCTTGATTATCATACACATTGTAAGGAGAGTGATCACTTTACATAAGCTATTACCAGCAGGAGAGTGGGGTGGGGGGAGAGAAAACCTTTTGTAGTGATTAACACCCATTTTTTCATGATTTGCGTGTATAAAAACAAACATCTTCCTCATTTTCCATAGTATGCATCCGATGAAGTGAGCTGTAGTTCACGAAAGCTTATGCTCAAATAAATTGGTTAGTCTCTAAGGTGCCACAAGTACGCCTTTTCTTTTTGCGAATTCAGACTAACACGGCTGTTACTCTGAAACCTGATAGAATTCAATGACGCTACCCCAAATTCAAAATCAGTGAAAGGAAATCCTTCTTCACACAAGGCATAATCAGACGGTGGAACTCCTTACCACAGAATGACATTGAGGCCAAGAATCCAGCAAAACTCAAAAAAAGATTGGATGGGTAGAAACCGGTGATCAATGGCTCAATGTCTAGTTGGCAGCCAGTATCAAGCAGAGTGCCCCAGGGGTCAGTCTTTGGGCTGGTTTTGTTCAACATCTTTATTAATGATCTGGATGATGGGATGAATTGCACCCTCAGCAAGTTCACAGATGACACTAAGCCTTGAGGAGAGGTAGATATGCTGGAGGGTAGGGACAGGGTCCAGAGTGACCTAGACAAATTGGAGGGTTGGGCCAAAAGAAATCTGATGAGGTTCAACAAGGACAAGTGCAGAGTCCTGCACTTAGGATGGAAGAATCTAGTGCACTGCTACAGGCTGCGGACTGACTGGCTAAGTGGCAGTTCTGTAGAAAAGGACCTGGGGATTACAGTGGACGAGAAGCTGGATATGAGTCAACAGTGTGCCCTTGTTGCCAAGAAGGCTAACGGCATATTGGGCTGCATTAGTAGGAGCATTGTCAGCAGATCGAGGGAAGTGATTATTCCCCTCTATTTGGCACTGGTGTGGCCACATCTGGAGTATTGCGTCCAGTTTTGGGCCCCCCACTACAGAAAGGATGTGGACTAATTGGAGAGAGTCCAGCAGAGGGCAACGAAAATGATCAGGGGACTGGAACACATGACTTATGAGGAGAGGCTGAGGGAGCTGGGCTGGTTTAGTCTGCGGAAGAGAAGAGTGAGGAGGGATTTGATAGCAGCCTTCAACTATCTGAAGGGGGTTCCAAAGAGGATGGAGCTCAGCTGTTCTCAGTGGTGGCAGATGACAGAACAAGGAGTAATGGTCTCAAGTTGCAGTGGGGGAGGTCTAGGTTGGATATTAGGAAACACTATTTCACTAGGAGGGTGGTGAAGCACTGGAATGGGTTACCAACACCTAGGGAGGTAGTGGAATCTCCATCCTTCAAGGTTTTTAAGGCCTGGCTTGACAAAGCCCTGGCTGGGATGATTTAATTGGGGTTGGTCCTGCTTTGAGCAACAGGTTGGACTAGATGACCTCCTGAGGTCTCTTCCAACCCTAATCTTCTATGATTTTATGGTCATGAATACATTTAGGCTGGAAATTAGAAGTAGGTTTCTACCCATCAGAAAGAGTAAAGTTCTGGAACAGCCTCCCCATAGCAGTAGTGGGGGGCAAACCACCTAAGTAGTTTTAAGATGGAGCTTGATACATTTATGAATAGGACTATATGACGTGGCTTCCTGTGATAACAGGGGATTGGACTCAGTGACACAGAGATCCCTTCGAGTCCTGTATCTGGTGGTCTCCGCTCTGATCCAGCCTGGGAATCCCTAGGTTCCTGGTAGGGTTGCCAGACATCTGTTTTTTCACTGGAACACCCAGTCGAAAAGGGACCCTGGCAGCTTCAGTTGGCACCGCTGACTGCTCTGTTAAAAGTGCAGTCAGCAGCGCAGCAGGGCTAAGGCAGGCCTCCTGTCTGCCCTAGCTCTGTGCAGCTTCCTGAAGTGGCCCCCAGGTCCTTGCTGCCCCTATGTGCATGGGCGGTCAGGGCGGCTCTGCGCACTACCCCCACCCCAAGTGCCGGCTCCTCAGCTCCCATTGGCCAGGAATCATGACCAATGGGAGCTGCGGGGGTGGTGTCTGTGGGTGTGAGGGCAGTGCGCGGAGCCTTCCGTCCCTGGTCGCTCATGTGCCATGGGGCTGCAGGAACCTGGTGGCCACTTCCTGGGAGCTGCGGTAAGCGCTGCCGGGACCCTGCATCCCGAACCCCCTCCTGGACTCCAACCCCTTGCCCCAGCCCGGAGTCCCCTGCCACACCCAAACTCCCTCCTGTAGCCCGCACCCCCCCCCAACACTCTGTCCTTGCCCGGAGCCCCCACCTGCACCCCAAACCCCTGGCCTCACCCCACCTCACCTCAGAGCCCACACGCCCAGCTGGAGCCTGCACCCCCTCTCACACTCTGAACCCGTCAACCCCAGCCCGGAGCCCCCTCCTGCACTCCAAACCTCTCATCCCCAGCCCCACCCCAGAGTCCGCACCCCAACGTGCTACCCCAGCCCAGAGCCATTTCCTGCACCCCAAACCCCTCATCCCTGGCCCCACCTCAAAGTCCACACCCCCAGCTGGAGCCCACCCGCGCCCCACACCCTAACCCCCTGACCCATCCCTGTGAAAGTGAGCAAGGATGGAGGAGAGCGAGCAACGGAGGGAGGGGGGATGGAGCAAGTAGGGGCGGCTCCTCAGTGAAGGGGCAGGGCCTCAGGGCAGGGCATGGGGCAGGGGTGTTCGGTTTTGTGCGATTAGAAAGTTGGCAGCCCTAGTTCCTGGTGGAGGCTGGGAAGGCAAAAAGTGTTGGTAAAGGCATATTAAACTGTATCGTACTGTTCAGCCACTAGGCAACCTACCTTTTTAAAGCTAACCTCAGTCATTGCTGGCAATGCATTAAAGGATCTTCTAGTGAACACATCTGGTGTGTATCTCTCTGAGAAGGGAGCCCTGCAGCCAGTCCATATCTGGTACCGAACCCTGACTTGCTGGTAAGCAGCCCTACTGGGTACAAAGTGTACATGACAGAGGCCCCTCACAAACGGGTGGCAATGATTGTTGGGGAAGTGACTCGGGGAGAGTGGGGAGGATTTTGCTGCCCAGGGGTGAGGAAAACATTGATGTCTTAGCCTGTGACATTCACTGCTGGACAAGGATCAGGGAGTCAAAGACTGTGATTTCTTGATGTAACAAAAAAACCCTGAGAGTGGCTTAGGTATGTGAAAGATAATCAAATCTCAGGGCATGAAGTGGTCACCTCCATGGGCTGGAAAGATCTCCAGGCCCCTACATGTAGCACTGAACAAGTAGCTAAATGCATGATTGAGTGAGCCTTTTGCCACCCCCTGAAGCATGGGACGTCAGCCACTGCTGTAGGCAGGATACCGAACCTAACTGGCCAATGGTCGGGTCTGGCTAATTCAATCTTCTTATCACAGTTTCTCTTCCCTGCCTCTCCAGCATCAACTGGCTTATTGCTTGGAGAGGATTCTGCAGAGCAGCGGCTCTGGGAGACGGACATGTGACTCACTTCAGACCGTCTTGTCTAGCAAATGGAAAACTTGCTTTCTAAAGAACTGCCCCTCCAACACACAATATTGAGGGCCAATCCCTGCTTGCCTGTGGAAAAGTGCATGTTTATAACAATGCATGGGAATTGTGTATTTGCACGTTCAAACAGCCATCTCTAACTTGCCCTTTGCATGTGCAATCATGGCACTGTGTGCACAAATGTGGGCATGCACTTGTGTGGGCATTTTTGCATGTGCAATTGCACCTCTTTAAGAAAAGAAAAAAGTGTGACTGAGTGTTTTCTGTAAGGGGCCTTAGGCCTAGAACTACTGGTGTTTTTAAAGAGCTCTTTCGGGGACTGACTACATGGGACAATCAGGGAAATACATTTTGTTTTTGTTTTTGTTTAGGGTGAACCAGGATTGCCTGGAGAGGAAGGACTGACTGGCCCAAAGGTAGGGTTTGGGTGAACCAAAATCAAAGTTAAAAAAAAAATGCAGTGAATTTGGAGCCCAAACTACCCTGATAAAATGGGACCCCAATCTCAGCTGATGTTACCATAATATACACAATATTGTGAGAATTAATTATTGTTTGTCTGGCTCTTTGAAATCCTCACCTGAAGGGCAATATATGAATGCAAAGTCTATTGATATTAAAACAAAGATATATTTGTCTTCTTGCTTTGCAAACTCCTGGAGAAGGAATATCCAAAGCTCTTTCTCCTGCAGAGTGCAGGGCTTGCTTGTTCGTTGGTTGATATTTCTTTGCAAATGGATCTTTGTCTTAACAAAAGCATCTTTCATTTTCCAGGGTAAAAAAGGCCAAGCAGGTGTCAAAGGGGAGAAGGTGAGAGGGGTCCTTAAACTGATAGAAATAAATGATGCTTGGACATAGGAGAGGAGAGAGAATAGGCCTGATTTGCTCTTGGTTACACTGGTATAGATCAAAGATAAATTTGGTGGAGTTACACTGGTCTAAAACCAGTGTGGTTGGCAGCAGAATTGAGCCCAATATCTGAGTTGTCTTAGCCTGTTGAATGTGCATTCAGTTTTCTTTTGAGGAATATTTCCCATGCATATTTGTTGTTTTACAAACCCCAAAGTCACATTCCTTCTGCATTTTCATTTAATTATTAAATCAAGGATCAAAATAAGATTGGGCATTTTTATTAGCATTTGCAGCTAGGATAAAAATAAGCTATCAATCCTCATGCTTCAGGATATTGGCTTATCACCAGCTGGGGACAGGAAGGTATCTCCCCTGAAGGTGACTTCCTCTGCAGTTTTGAGGCTCTGTCAGAGATTGGATGCTGAAGTAGATGGACCCATTGGTCTGTTCTGGCAACTCTTATGCACCTAATACCTCTACGTATTTTCTGTCGCTTGCAGGGGGAGCGTGGAGAAATGGGGCCGAAGGGACTTCAAGGAAGTGCTGTAAGCCAATCAAGTTGCTTGACAAGCTGCTGTCAGAATGACCCTGCATGTAACAAATGGAACCATCCCAAACCCTTTCTTGATGAGACCATCGCAGAGCCGGCTCCTTCCCCGTGTTGCAATGCCTTTGGAGCCACTTGCCACAGCTCTTGCAAACATTGTAGTCTCTGTTTGGCATCTCCTGTTGCTACAGATGCTCTGCCTGGCTCTCATTTACATGAATGCCCCTTTATGCCACTCTGGGTAAAAGGGCATTAAAATGGGCCTTTTACCTGCCAGAATACTGTGAAAGAAACCTGGTATTAATGAGAATCAGGCTCTTCATTAACGTGAGTCTGCAATGGCTGCATTCAGGTTGAAGACTAGCCCCATCCCCTTTTAGCCTCCTGGAATGGCAGGGAGGTGGTGACATTTGGGTGTCTCAGGGTTTGATTTAGGTTTCCTGCTGACTGGCAGATCTCTCTCTTGACCCCAAAAGCCCGTAGAGTGGGTGCTTGTATGGGTGCCTTCTGGTCTTGTATTCAACCTTCTGACGGTTAAAAATTGGGTGGGAAATCTCATAAGAACGGAATTTCTAGTGAGATTTGTACATGCGGGTGGATCTGGCTGGAGGTCCCCAAAGAAGACTACTGCATGGTGTGGGGCCTGCTTGTGTTGAAAAGCCTGGCAGTGGGACATAGAGCATATCGCTTCTAGGTCGCCCTATTCAAATCGGGCCCAGGTTCAGGATAAATGTTCCCATCTGATGGCTGAGGGGTAGCCTGTGTGCCGGGATCTGGTGATCTCATTCCACTCCCTAATGGGCGAGTTTTCATGGGATTAAAATCATCATCATGTTTAGCCCCCTTTTTGGGAGCAGTCTTGGCAGAGAAGCCAATGGCTAAATGTCCCATGAAGACACAACTTGACACTGCTGTTGTCCCTGCTGTACGATGTGGTCCCTTTGGGACCCCGGAATTAAATGACTGAAATATTTTTAACCTGTTGGAAATGTTCCTTTGATGTTTTACAGGGCCTTCCAGGAGTGGTGGGGCAGAAAGGAGACCAAGTAAGTAATATGGGGCAGTGGGGGTCATTTAGATCAAGGAGCCAGGGCAAAGAACAGGAGTCAGGACTCCTGACAATCAGATAACAGCCTTAAAATAGTGACTGTGTTTAGCTGCCTTTACAAGTTTCCTCTCTTCTGGTACAGCGTGTTCCAAGAAGAGCCCGGAGAATAACTGATTTTTCAGTTCGCTGACAGCTCCAACATTTTTGTTAAAAAATTCATTTTGGGCCAAACTGAATCGGAAAACTGCAAAAAAATTTCGGCAACTAGAAAAAAAAATCCATTTTGAGTCGAACAAAAATGTCTGGCATTTTAAAAGAACTAGATTCACAAAATGAGTAGCGGTGGGGTCTCCTTTAGTCCTGTAGTTAGGGGTGCTCACCTGGGATGTAGGAAACCCTGGTTCAATTCTCCCCCTTCTAGTTCAATTCCCCCCTCTGCCTATTGTGGGAAGGAACTTGTACTTGGGTCTCCCACCTCTCAGGCGACCGGGCCATGGGCTATTCTGCTGCAGAGCTCTCTCAACCTGTTCCACTTAGTGTAAACAGTAACTGGAGCGGGGACCCTGTGCCAGTGACCATTCTTATTCATCATAGTCATTCATAATTACAGTGTCTGGTCACTGGGCCAATGAAAGACATTCAGCATCATTAGGGCCCTACCAAATTCACGGCCGTGAAAAACGCGTCACAGACCATGAAATCTGGTCTTTTGTATACTTTTACCCTATACTATACAGATTTCACAGGGCAGACCAGCTCTGAAGGCAGCGCAGAAGTAAGGGTGGCAATACCACTGCCCCCCTACAAATAACCTTGTAACACCCCCCCACAACCTCCTCTTGGGTCAGGACCCCTACAGTTACAACACCATGAAATTTCAGATTTAAATAGATGAAATCATGAAATTTACGATTTAAAAAATCCTATGACCGTGGAATTGACCAAAATGGACTGTGAATTTGGTAGGGCCCCAAGCATCATCCCATTGTTTTACTTCTGTCCTTCTGTGCCTGAGCTGGGGGCTGGGTTAAGAAATGATGCTTTAGGTTTTTTTAAGCATAAAAACTTTTAATTTTCTAACTATTAACTTTATGTATTTAATCTTTCCTTACAGGGAAGTCAGGGCTTTCCAGGTGCTCCGGCCATGGGGGTAACTATGAGTGGACAGTAGTTCTGGTAACCCCCCTGAGCAATAGATACTGCATCACTCAGTGTACAATACAGACATGGCTTGTGCCGCTTAACGCACAGCTTTCCAGCGGGCAGCATGAACAGCTAAAGAACTAGGGAAGTCTTACTGAACCGTCTATTCACGCTCACTGTTAAAGTCACCTGGATTCACGGGGTGCACTGACTTCTGAAAACCAGGCTCCTTGGTGGTGGAATTATGAAAGCCAGTTCCACATTAGTGATTACTGCTATTTCTTCTGTAATATGCTATTTCCTGGAAGGCCCTGATCAAGACTGGAGCCGCGTTGAGACTGGTGCTAGAAAGACAATCCTGGCCCCAGAGATTTTGTAGTCTAATCCTATCCATTTAATCTGATCTCCTATTATGAGAGTTAGCACAGGGCTGATTTTGGCACTACGAGGGCACTTAAATTTATTCTGAGAGATACTGAGGCCTGCTGGAACCATCGAGGCTCAGCCCTGGTGTAATTAAAGTCCTTGGGCTGTTCTGGGTAAATCTTGACCAGTTAACTGGCCCCGCTGCCCTGAAGATGAATTACTGGATCCCACACTTGGGCTTACAGAGGCCCTGATCCAAAGCCTATTGAAGTAAATGGGAGTCTTTCAATGGGTTTTGGACCAGGCCTATAGTCCTTTCTGGTGTTGGATACAGTATAGGAGTCGGCTTTTGCCACTCAAACACAGGGTACAAGGTCCTATAGGGTAATGGGGTAATGGAGGTAGACTGAGCTTTTTTTGTTTTGAAACTTGAGTTGTGTCCCCCCCACATTCTTCCCCCTCCACCTCCATAAAACCCCCGTGTAACATGATCTGAATATGGCAGAGAGAACTGGGCTTATTTAGTCTGCAGAAGAGAAGAGTGAGGGGGGATTTGATAGCAGCTGTCAGCTACCTGAAGGGGGGTTCCAAAGAGGATGGAGCTCAGCTGTTCTCAGTGGTGGCAGATGACAGAACAAGGAGCAATGGTCTCAAGTTGCTGTGGGTGAGGTCTAGGTTGGATATTAGGAAACACTATTTCACTAGGAGGGTGGTGAAACACTGGAATGGGTTACCCAGGGAGGTGGTGGAATCTCCATCCTTCGAGGTTTTTAAGGCCCAGCTTGACAAAGCCCTGGCTGGGATGATTTAGTTGGGGTTGGTCCTGCTTTGAGCAGGGGGTTGGACTAGATGACCTCCTCAGGTCTCTTCCAACCCTGATCTTCTATGATTCTAATATCCATCTATGTCAAGGAAATCCATCCCTCTAAATAAAGAGGACACTTATGTGGCTTCCTTTTCTCCTAGGTTGTTGGACCTCCAGGCAAGAAGGGTGCCAGAGTAAGTTAACTAAGCAGCACAATGTTAAACTTGCATGAGACCTTTAACTAAGAAGACTAGGGCTGAGTACCATGTTACTCCCTGAGATTCCTGGGCTATATGGAGACCTGGTCTCATGAAATGACAAAGCTCAAGTGAACAGAGATTGGAACATAAGAACTCTCATACTGGGTCAGACCAGTGGTCCATTTAGCCAGTATCCTTTCTCTGACAGTGTCCAAGGCCAGATGCTTCAGAGGGACTGAACAGAACAGGGCAATTATTGAGTGATCCATCCCCTAGTGTCTAGTCCCAGCTTCTGGCAGTCAGATGCTAAGGGACAACCAGAGCATGGTGTTATGACCCTGACTATCTTGGCTAATAGCCATTGGTGGACCTATCCTCCATGAACTTATCTAATTCTTTTTTTAACCCAGTTATAGTTTTGGCCTTCACAACGTCCCCTGGCAATGAGTTCCACAGGTAGACTGTGTGTTGTGTGAAGAAGTACTTCCTTATGTTTGTTTTAAAGCAACTGCCGATTAATTTCATTAGGTGGCCCCTTTGTTGTGTGTTGTGTGACAGAGTAAATAACACTTCCTTATTCACTTTCCCCACACCCTTCATCATTTTTATAGACCTCTAGCATATCCCCCCGTAGTCTCTTTTCCAAGTGAAACAGTCCCAGTCCTTTTGGTCTCTCCTCATATGGAAGCTGTATTCAAGTTGTGGGTGTAACGACACATGATCAACAATGATGATTCTGCCCCATTAATCTTTCTCTTGTTTATATGCAAGCCAATTTAAACCCTCACGTAACATCTAGCCCAGGGGTAGGCAACCTATGGTACGTGTGCCAAAGACGGCATGCGAGCTGATTGTCAGTGGCACCCACACTGCCTGGGTGTTGGCCACTGGTCTGGGGGTCTCTGCATTTTAATTTAATTTTAAATGAAGCTTCTTAAACGTTTTAAAAACCTTATTTACTTTACATACAACAATAGTTTAGTTTAGTTATATATTAAAGACCTATAGAACAAGACCTTCTAAAAACGTTAAAATGTATCACTGGCACGAGAAACCTTAAATTAGAGTGACTAAATGAAGACTTGGCACACCACTTCTGAAAGGTTGCCGACCCCTGGTCTAGCCACATGGCAGATGTAAATTTGCTTCCAGCCATTCTGTTTCCAGTGTCAGCTTGTGGAAAAGGCTTAGATCTTGGGGTACTGGTTAAGGAGGTTAGTAAGGCACAGATCCAGTGCCCAAGATAGAATCTGGACTCTGTCTAGAGTGGAGAGGTGTTGACCTTGCTAGAGTAAACTCAGTTTCCAAAATCCAAGGACTTCTTCGAGGTGGAAGAGACCACCTGCTGCATTAGCCATGATGGCAGGATTGATTTAATTTCCCTTCCCCCCCCCCCCCCACCCTTATGGATGTGTTGGGTCTGGAATGTTCTAACTCTGGAACTTCCCTTAGCACAGTGGTCCCCAAACTGTGGGGTGTGCCCCCCTCGTTCGGGGGGGCATGGCGGGGCCCCAGCCAGCCCCCATGGGGGGCAGGGCGGAAGCACCACCCAGCCCTGTTCTGCCTCCAGCTCTGCTCTGGCCCTGCCCCCAGCCACGGCTCCTGGCCCTGCCCCCCAGCCCTGCCCAAGGCTGGGGCTCTGCTCCCGGCCCCAGACCTGTCCCCAACTGCGGCCCCAGCCTCGGCCCCCTTACCTCTGTCAGCATCCTCCGCCCCCCACCCCAGAGCCCCAGATCCCGGGTGAGGCTTCACTCCCAGTCCCAGACGTGCCCCCAGACAGGGCTCTGCTTCCGGCCCCGGCCCCGGCCTCAGCCCCTGGCCGCGGCTCCATTCCTGGCCCCGGCCCCAGACCTGCCCCCAGCTGTGGCCCCAGTCTCAGCCCCCTTACGCCTGTCAGCATCCTCCCTCCTCTCTCCCCCCAGAGCTGTGGCCCCACTCCCAGTCCCGGCTCCTGGGTGGGGTGCAACCCTGAAAAGTCTGTGGACCACTGCCTTAGCAGCTCATTGCCAGACTTAGAACTACAGAACTTAGGTTCCATTTTCCCTCCTGCAGCCCTCCTGGCTAGTACTCATATCTCCCTCAACTACTCTTCCTAACACCCCCCACCCCTTTACAACATGACAGACTTCTGCTTTGCTTTTCTTCAGGCTTGAGCATGCCCAGTGCATTTATCCCCATTGTTCTCCAACCGTTTCCATTCTATGGGGCACGCCTATAAGAAGATGGATCCTCTCATGAGACCCACCTCCCATTATGGGACTTAGCAGTACTCTCTTGGTTGCTGTCCAGGTCTCAAAACGTTTCATTACATTCTGTGGCGCGCTGGCAGAGGGGTCTGCGGGGTCCTTAGCCTTCTCCTTGCCTCATACGTCCTATTCTTCTGACCTTTTATCATTTTTGTTGGTAAAATACCAGTCTCTTTTGAAGCTTCTTAGCAGACAACTCCCGGGCCAGATTCTCATCGCATTTACACCAGCGTGAATTAGGAGTTGTTCCAGTGGAGTTAAACCGGTGTAAGTGAGAGCAAAGTCTGGCTAACTCCGTTAATTCCTTCCCCTGTTACACAACTTTCCACAGCTAAGGACTCCATGAAATCCACTAGGGACTTAACTAGAGATATTGATTTTACATAGTAGGCCCCCAGATACTACGGTGACGGGCAGCAGGATAAAATCCAAAGATAAATGGGTAGATTTCTCAAAGAAATTAGTCTTCAGAGTGGATTGAAAACTGGATTCCAGCAGCCACACAGGAAGGGCAAGCCCTGGCTAGGACATGTGACTAACTGTGTGACTTCTTCACACTTAGGGCGATATTGGACCCGTCGGCCCCACAGGACCACAGGGAAACAAAGGAAAACAAGGAGTTAAAGGAGAGAAGGTAAAGGCCTGTGCTTGTGGCACTGGAAAGTTTCCGTTCCTTTGTTGGTTCAAGTTGTACATTGTGGGTCTCCACGAAGAAGGCCACAATGTGGATTGAGCTTCTCATTAAGCCACACTGGTGTGCATGGTCCATGCATGGTAGCCCCCGATGTTTGCAGTGGTACACTGAGGCTAAAGGCTTTGAGACAGATATGTTGTAAGGCACGAGGGTGACAATGAGGCCCTGAGGCCCAGCAATACAGGTCTCCTCTCGCTTCCTACCTCTCTGCGCTGGAAATGCACCGGGTGGGAGAGGCCTCCTTTCCGTCTGGCCCTAAACGCAGAGGCTTGTCTGTTGAGTTGGAAGCTGTCTGGGGGTAGGACAATGTCTCCCTTTGTGTCTTGTGCAGCACAAAGCACACTGTGTGCAGTCAGCCCCTGGTAATTACAGTATGAACTGGAAGTAGGTCAGTATCTCTGAACCCCGCGTGGATGGGCTCAAGAGGGCGGGAAGAGAAATGGCTGAAGCAATGGCTACGCTGCATGACTTGTTACTGAAGCAGGGTGACACCAGGAGCAGGGGCAGACAACCTCCAACTGGTGCTCAGGGAGGGGAATTCTCAAGGGCTGTAGTAGGTTGAGAGCAGAAGGGTGATGCTAACGCAGAGTCGGACGGGCAGCTGGCGTGACGATGGTGAAACAAGAGTGAGGCACTCGCTCCGTTCACTGATCAGAATTCTAGCAGCAGCGTTTGCCCCCAGATGTGACTTGTTCAATGTGGATACTAGCCCAAAAGAGCTAAGGGCCTTTCCATGAGAACTGCCTCCTCCTGAAAACCTCCATGCTGGCTGCCGAGACCCGGTCTGGATTCCTGCATGTTGCTGAATGCTGCTGATGCCCAGTGGGAGAGACAGTCTCATTTCAGTCTTCCTAGGGATGCAGGAAAAGGAAGGAGGGCAAAATAATCACTACGTTTTATTGCAAGCAGCACGGTGAATTTGATGAATTTGTGTTCATTGATCTCCTCCCAGGGAAGTCCAGGTTTTGGCATTCCAGGGCAATCAGGATTGAAGGGGGACATGGGCGAAAGGGTGAGTGGGGGCCATGTGATGAATGGGAACTGAGAGGGGAAAGGACGGAAAACAAGAGATGCTGAGCTCGATTCTGCTCCATTACCTCTGGGCAGCTGCACTGAATTCAATGTGACGTCAGCGGGGACTGAGAGCGAAATCTGGCCTCACCCCGTATGGCCTGTCATTAGCAAATTAATCCAGTAGCTTCTGATACAAAAAAAGATGCACCTTAAATGGTCTACAGAGCCCGCAGGGCAGCTCACCCCAGGGTGTGGGACTGCAGAGCAAAGGTGATGGGGTTGTAGTGGGTGAACTCCCCCTGTAGTGCAGATCCAGGGTCCCTTGGGGCACCACCTGAATATTACTTGATCAGGTCCCTGCCATTGCAGGTACCTCGGGCATGCTGCACCCCAGTCCCTCCTGTTCTCTGCCTGTGGCTCACCACCGTTTAGTGTCCTGAGGGCTGTGGCGCTGTTGGGCTGGGTGTGGGGATGGCTGAGTGGTGGCCTGTCATATACAGGAGGTCAGACTACACGATCTGGTCAGGTCCCTTCTGGCCTTAAAATCTAGGACTCTGGCTATTATGAAACACAGTAACGTGGACAATCAAAGCCCTTGCTATTAAAAAAACGTGCTTTCTCCCCCTCTCCACATGACAGCATATTAGTCCAGCTGCTAACAGAGCGCAAGCAAAGAGCAGAAAGTAGCTCATCTCAAATATTGTCCACCCCCCTTCTTCAACAACTACACGCTGTCTCTAAACAGCAAAGAGCAGGTAGCTGCCCAGAGTGGCGCCTTGAAGAGGTGCAAAAGGCAGCTTAGAACAGCTTCTAACAGTTCAGCCAAGGGAAGATGCCACTTTGGCTCACCAGGCAGAACTGCTGCTTAGAGACCCTAAGTGTCCTACTTGGTGTTGGCCACTGCAATTCAAAGACATACACACGCATTGTGTCCCAAGTTGCAGAGCAGCCATTTTAGAGCCTGGCCACCAACTGGCAGACTTGGGCACACTTAGGCCAAGGTTTTGAATTGTGACTGTCATTTCAGGGAGCTCAAATTGCGACACTTTCCAGGGGCCTTAATTTCAGAGAGCGGGTGCTTAGTGCTTTCCAACACACCCTTTAATGTGTCTCGGGGGGGTACCCAAAATCACTAGCCAGGTCTAAAAAAGTGGGCCACCGTGCCTGCATGCCCAGGGTGTCTTGGGAATTACTTGCGTGAGTTGTATCTGCTGCTGATAGTGTTTTGCTAGGGTTATGAGATCAGAACTCAGTGACGTCTTCGGGTATTGTTCTTGCCCACTGACTTACAGTCTCATTTCTCCGCAGGGGAATGTAGGTTTATCTGGCAAACCTGGCCCAAAGGTGAGTGAGCACAGACCGCAGAGTGTGCAACGCAAAATCACAACTGTTGCTTGTATCGCCCAAATGGACTTCGGTCAGTTGGGTTTTGCAACATAAAAAGCGATGCCGCTAAAGTGGGATTAGAGTGGACGTTCACGGGGCGGGGAAGCTGTAATGATTAAAGAGGCTTCAAGGCAAGTTGTGGCTCTGCTGGAATCTCCATTCAGCAGTGCTGGGGCCTTGCACACTGCAAGACGACAGGCTAAAACTGCCTCTTTGTACTCTCCCCTTGCTTAACCCTAACTCCCCAGTAGGAAGGTGACCAGGCCATTTCTGGGTGTGCAGAAACCTAGAGAGACCACGATCCCAATGTAACCCACTTTCCACCCCTTCTGGAGACATAGAGGGACAGGTTGAAATATCTTCTAAAGGTAGCTTCAAAAATACCTCTCAGTGTCTCTTTGCCAAGTGCCAGACCGGTGGACAAGGGCATGGAAAACAGCCTAGATGCAGATTCACAAAGATACTCAGGCAGCTGGCCTTCCCCACCACAGTGCCTCTGTCAATCTGGGTCCTCGGGCAGAAGATCTGCTTAACGATGATATTTCTCTCACGGTGTTCCCTAGACTTTGTTGAAGGGGAATTTTGTTTTGGGAGACTGGTCCTTCACCAAACATAGCACATAGTGTGGGCTGCTTTGGGATGGGTGCACTTCGGGGCTAGGGGAAGGGTGCACCTACATGATTGGGAGATGTAGGCCAGAGTGGAAGTGCAAAGGTGAGGCCAAGAGGTTTTAGCTCAATGTGGTGGAGAAGTGGGGGAGCCAGTGGAGAGAGGAGAAGGGTGTTTGGGTGAGGAAGGATGTTACGGCTGCTCAGTCTTGGAGCTCCGATGTTAGCTGCACTGGCTGGGAATGCAGCGTGCTGATTCAGCAACGTCACTCGATGTTACTCATAAAGAACGGCCACAGGCTCGGTTCGGCGGTGAAGGTGCTGGGCCAGCATGGTGCCAGCACCCCGGCTCCGTGGTTACAGGTACATTCAAATAAGGTACGTATTACTCTCCAGATGTTGTTAGCTAGCACCTTTATCCTTGTACCTGCTAGTTAGAACAAAATATCCTCATCCATTATCCTGTCATTCCCTCCTTATCTTATGAGGGGTCGATGTGTTCTTGTACTATCCCTTAAGAGTGAGTTTACATAGTTACTTGAGAGATCTGTGTGGTTTTGTACCATCCTTTCCAGACAGGAACGTGCTAACGTCGTTAGCTGACACCTGGTGCATTGCTGTTGTGCTGAAGCCCGGCCTACTCCGGATCACAGCCTTTGGTTCATACTGTTACTTTTGCATAGGCCTCCAGCATGGCCTACAAAGGGGACATGGGGGGCAATGATACGAATGAATATAGAATGCCTCTTTTACAAACCCTACGCAGGTGAGATGTTTAGATGCCAAACAGCGTGAGCTGTTTTGCATCCCTAAACACAGCTGCCATGCAGAGAGAAAGAGACACCCACATCACACAGCAGCCTAGACCACCAGCGGTACAAAATGCAGTAGAAGAAAACAACAGTTGTGTTCGCTGTTTATTTCCAGGGGGAAATGGGTCCAAGGGGAGAGAAAGGTGAACCAGGAATACCTGGGAAACCAGGAGAGACCGGACTAAGAGGTAAAGATGTAAGTAGAAACTAATGGCCCAGTAAGACCGGTCATGTCGGTACAACTTGCTGAACTGCACCATTTTCTTAAACACAAAAGGAAAAGGAAGCTTCCAAATTAAAAATGGCTCCTTGCCACCATCTGACAAGGGTGGAGTGGTTTATGTGGAAGGAACTGGTGGGTGTCAGTTTTGTTTTGGGCATGGGAAACGGGAACCTTTAATAATTAGGTGAAATGTCTCAGTCTGTGACCCGTTACACTACGTGAAATTCAGGTACAATCCTGGACTAATAAGCAACTCAAGCAAAATACAGCTCTGCTCTGTCCCAGCTGGTGAGAAGATGCACCCTTCAGCAATGTGGCTGTGTCCTGGGCATTCTAGGGTACATATCTGGGCAGAGCTCTGCCAGTCAGAGTGCACTGGCTCTTTAACTTCAGCTAAAGTGGGACAAATGTGTTGCACCATGGCCTTTGTGTTGCAACATCTTGACATCGCATCATCACATCATGACATCATATCATCAACTCGTGACAACTTTACACTGCACCATGACATCTTGGTGTGATGATGATGCACCAGCTCTCAAGGATATTTTAGGGCATGCTAGTATATTTTGCAAGACGTGAGATTGCTCCGTTAGAACTGGGACAGGCAGCCAAGCCAACGTTCCCTCTAATTTTTTCCATCCACGTGCGGAATAAATTTTGTAATGTGCATCGAGGATGTGGATGTGCACCACCAGTAGAAACAAAAAACCTAGATATAATATTTAAAACGTCACCATAGGGATAATTACTCCAGCCAGGACAGGTTAGGCATTTTAGAACTCACGACTCAAAGAATTAAGCTTAAGTGTAAGAGAAATAAAAATTATTAAATGCACAGACCTGTCAAAAAACTAAAATAACAGCACTTTGAAAGAATAAAATTACAGAGAATATATGTGCATGCAGGAAGTACCAAGAAGTAACAACAACAATAATACAATAATGTGTTGGGAGGTGAGTGTGAAAGATACAGAGACTGGGTGTGTGTGTGTGTGTGAGAGAGAGAGAGAGAGACAGAGATTGCGTGAGCTGGCTGCTGGGGAAGTCTCAGAGACCATTTAAGAGACCACTTTAAGAAAGGCACTCAGTCACCCGGAAGGCTGGTTCAGATCTCAGACTGCAGCAGCTCTCTCCTGCTCTCGAGTTCTGAGCCAGGCTGGCCCCTCTTCCCTGCTCTGTGGAGATGGGGTACAGGGGACACCCTGACATCAGCACCTCCTTTCGCCCCCTGCTTTGCACAGCCAGCAGGAGGGTCGCCGGGAGCAGCTGCAGGAGCAACATGGCTGCAAAGCAGCAAGGGGAGGGGCACCTGAACGCACGCTGCCGGATGTGTGCAGCTCTGCTAATCAAGTGCATGGCACTTGAATCTCTCCTGGGCGGCCGCCCAACCGCGCAGCTTAGAGGGAACACAGGCAGCCACCCAAGAGAGTTTCATTCCAGGCCTCGGATAAGACTCTTTACTAATGACAGCCAATGGCCGTGCTCCTTTAGTTCAACGAGTTTGCACATCCAAGAGTCTTTCCATCATTGGAGTTACTATCACAATGTCCTGTGGCAGAGTAGAGCCCAAGTGTCCCTTCTATGTACTGATCCATGAAGAAAAGGATTAAAGGGAAGAGCCCTGATCCTCATTTCCGGTTACACTAGAGTAATGTCACTGACTTCAGAGGAGTTACTCCTGGTTTACACTGGCAACAGTAAGATCAGAGCCAAGCCAGGCACTTTAATTCAATTGGGAAATTCAGAATAACAAAACTGGTCACAAACTGAACTTTAACCTGACACTTCGTGTTATGTTCTAGGAACAACCAGGGCAGAAAGGGAACCTGGGGACCAAGGTAGCATAATGGGAATTCTGTGCTTTCCCATAGCCATGGAGATGATTGAGCTCTCTCTGCTGTAGTCTGTAGTAGAATGCGGAACCTCCTGATAAATATTAATGTGAAGCTGTTCCGATGTGACTCCCACGTCGTCCGAAAGGACCCTCTTCTTTTCCCATTTTGGGGGCTTCGATTCAGATGAGAGGTGTGGAGGTCAGGTTTGCATTTGGTTCAGCCTGGCTCAACCAACCCAAGTTATTGAAATGTCCCCCAAACTGTCTCCAACTCTGGGTAGGTTTTCCTTCTGGGTTTGATTTCACCTGCCAGAGTTAGAGACTGCAACCGACCTGTCAAACGGGACTTCAGAACCTTTTTCCTTCTGGGAAGATTCTTCAAGTTCTGGGGGGTGGGACTGACCCCGGGGGCGGTCACCCGCTTGTTAAGGCTGTGGAGGTGGAAAGCAGGAGACTTTCCCAAAATCCCATTGGGGACTGGTGGAGAATTGTCAACCTCCTCCCACCTCTACTAGCATTATTGCAACTCTGACATCTCCCTGCAACATCTGACCCTATTTACTCCAGCTCCAGGCACCCTCTGAAAAGTCACCCCCATTTACTGCACCTCTGACAACCCACCCCATCTTTATCATTGCAGGCTCGTCTGGTGGCTGCTGGGGAAAGAGACTGGCCTCATTCAAAGCCACTAGCCACACAAGTGGGCTTGACTCTCTCTCCATTTGAACTAGCTTCTGCAGGCATAAGTGCTGCACAGTGAATGTCCCAAGTGCTGGGGAAGCCTGACACACCCATTTTCCTGAGGCTGCTAAGCAGGCTTTAAAAAAAATTGTCCTTCTTTCCTTTAGGGAGAAGCAGGCGCCCCAGGAGAGCCAGGAGAGAGAGGAATCTGGGTAATGATTCATTCCAGGGTGCAGAATGGGATCTTTCAGTGCTTCAGTGGCATCCTTCAGGCACTATGTTTCCATGTCCAAGCAGTTATAGAAGGGAATTAGTGAGGGAAAAAGAGATCTGTGCAGTGAGTTTGGTGGTTCCCAGCCCAGGGTTTTCTCCTAGGGCTTTCAATCCAGCACATGTCAGCAGCATTGGAATTCACATGCACAAAGAGTCCCCTCCCAAATGAAAACCACAGAGAGTTCAGGCTGGTGCCTAGGGTGAAGTCTTCTGCACTTCCTGTGCTGCTGGTCAGGTTCTGGAACACCCATTGGGCTGTGTGTGCGAAGATCAATCTCTTGTTTCACTCATTATTGTTTCTTTGAATCATTTTGCAGGGACCTTTCGGGCTTCCGGGACATCGTGGAGAACAAGGGATCAAAGGCGAGATGGGAAAACCAGGACAGGATGTAAGTCAGTCATCGAAGGTGTGGTGGAAGGAGCGGGAGCTTGGGAGACAATACTGTAGCTGGCAAAAGAGAGGCCCATAATTCTGCTGCTTGCTCAAAGGCTGCAAGCTCCCTCAAAGGCTGCAAGCTCCCTCCCTCTGTGTGATGTAGCATGGCAGGCTCGGCGTTGAAGGGCTGCTCCCCAGCAGGAAGGGATAGAACCAGTTTGAATAACTGGTCTGACTGGGTGGACACACAAGACATAAGGCAGGATTCTGCCATGGGCACCCCTGGTGTGCACACCGCTCGAGTGTGTGAAGTCTCCTCTGCCCACCTCTGAGGAAGAGTCACTTGCGTTTTCAGCCTGTTCGATGCTGAGGCTTAGTTTGCATTGAGCTGGCCTGAGGCGGGGGGGGAAGCTGCTTTGACTTTGTCCCACCCAAGGCCAGTTCTCACGTTGCCTCTCTCTCCTCCTCCCAGGGAGTCGCCGGAGAGAAGGGAGACAAGGGTGAAGCTGTAGGTTTGCACGTTCTCCTTTTTAACCTTGCATGAGAGAGGGTCCAGCTCTGGGTCTGACATGCTGACTTTCACCACTTGCCTTTTTGGGGGATGGGGGGTGTTGTGTCTCTGCAGGGGAACCCTGGGCCGCCCGGGTCACCTGGAAGCATTGTGAGTAATACTCCTTTTCCGGAGGTGCTCATTGGTGGGAGGGAAGGGGAACTGGGGTGGAGGGGGTACGCTGTCCTGGAAACGGGGGGAGGGGCGGGGGGGCTCCTATTCCTTGGCAGGCAGCTGTGCTGTGAGTCTGCAACGGCACTGAGGTTACTCATGGGTAGTGGCCTGTACCTAGTGCCTGCCACGAGAGGCCAGAGTCGCCATAGTGGAGACCACCGTCCCGCTGTTGCAGTGAATACATCACAGCAATTCATTCAGCACATGTGTGCGTATAACAGTCCTTCCGGACCTGATTCAAGAAAACATATGAGTACATGCTTAATGCCATACCTATTCCAGAAAGCACATGGCTAACTTTAAGTACATGCTTTAGTTCCACTGAAGTCAATGAGATTTAAACACATGCTTGACTTCAATGGTTTAAGCATGTACTTAAAGTTAATCAGGTGCTTTAACTAAATCAGTACCTGTGGGGATATGCCATGGAGGCTCTTGGCTATTTCACAAGGCCTTTGGTTGCCCCAGCCTTATCATCCTTGCCGTTCTCCCATTCGCTTACTGCTCATGCACCTCTTAGGCCTGGTCTACACTGGGGGCGGAGGAGGGGAGGATCGAGCTAAGTTACACAACTTCAGCTACGTGAATAACGTAGTTGAAGTCGACATACTTAGACCTACTCACCGCGGTATCTTCACTGCGGTGAGTTGACAGCTGATGCTCCCCCGTAGACTCCACCTGCGCCTCTCGCCCTGGTGGAGTACCGGAGTTGACGGGAGAGCGCTCGGGGGGGGAGGGGGGGGTCAATTTATCGCATCTAGACTAGACACGATAAATCGATCCCTGCTGGATCGATCGCTGCCCGCCGATCTGGCGGGTAGTATAGACATACCTTTAGGAGGAGTATAGACATACCGGGGCAGGCAGCGATCGATCCAATGGGAGTCAATTTCTTGCATCTAGTCTAGACGCGATAAATCGACCCCCAAGTGCTCTCCCGTTGACTCCGGTACTCCACTGGAGCGAGAGGCGCCGGTGGAGTTGACGGGGGAGCGTCAGCCGTTGACTCACTGCAGTGAAGACACCGCGGTGAATAAATCTAAGTTATTCACGTTGCTGAAGTTGTGTAACTTAGATCAATTCCCCCCTGAGTGTAGACCAGGCCTTAGTGAAGTACTCTCCTCCGAATTTGTAATGCCACTGGGGATGGCGGTGGGGAGCACAGTACGGTCTACGCTGCCTAGTAGGTTCGCAATTCCCAGCTCCTGTTGGAAGGGCAAGAGGCTCGACTCCTGTGGCTCTCTCGCCCTGGTCTGCCTTTGCTAGCACAATGACCATCGCACCCAGTGATCCAAGTATATCGTCTTCCGATTCAGAGGGGAAGGAGCTCGTTCTAAACTGTGCAGTCATGTGACTATTTATTCAGTGCAAACAACTAAACTATATCTAAACAAGGGCAAAAGTTGAGTCAACAGCAAAGAGGGGCCCAAACAAAATCCTAAATCTGAACATCCCTGAGCTCTGGGGAAGTTTAGATATTGGATTTGCTGTAGGCCCCAATCTCTGTAATGGGTCAGACTAAACACTTCAAGCTTTGTGGAAGTGCAGCTGCAGACCCAAACTTCACAGCTGGCTCATATCTCTACAGCTCATTGTATGAAGATGCTCTCTAGCCCCCGATCCAAAGACCCAGAAGGTTTGGATCCAAATATTGCAGCTCAGATTAAGGGCTAATTTTTAGAGGAGGAAAGAAAGTGAGTTAATTGATCCGTGTGCCAAGGGGGTGTATCAGAACCACAAGGAAGGTAGGCAGAGATGATGTTGCTCATTGGAGATTTGTTCCTAATTGGGACCAACAACACTTTGTGACCTGTCTTTCCTCCATCTGGTGTAGGTATCATCTCTGGATAACAGCATCACCAACAAAGGCAATAAGGTAAAGTGTCTCCCTTGCCGGAGAAGCAATGGCGCGTTGAGATGACTGTCCCCTAAGACTGGTTGTGTAGTTGTTTTGCATGAGAGTGTTTTACCCTCCAACAACAATAAAAAATTTTAAAAACTTTTAAATAAGCTGTAAACAGTTGCAAAGGATTAAGTTAAAAAGTAAGAAATTCTATGAAATAGAGATGATAGAATTGACCTCAAACTTTTCCAGATGTGAGGGGCACATAACCCTACGCTGCTGTGTAAGAAAGGGCATAGCTACCCTGCAATCACACCCAGCTCGAGTAGACATACCCAAGGTAGCTGTAATGTAGCTAGCTCAGCTACTGGAGGAGGGAAGCTGCCTCAGCATGCACGTCAGTGCGGGCCGTACAAGCCCACCTGGAAGCCTGGGTAATTATTCGCAGGACTAGCCCGCACTGCTGCACCTTCGCTCCTCTGGGACCTGAGCAATCACAGGTGCTGTGAGTGCAGTCTTGACTTATTCTGTGACTTCCTGACTTCCAGATCAAGTCTTCTCCACTCAGGTTGACTTTTGCAAGTCAAAATCCACAAAATTCAACTTGGGATCTGAAACGCTGAACTTGGAAAAGCAAACTGAGTTCTCCTGTTCACTTTGCCAGTAACAAAGGTGCTGCAAATGGAACGTAGTTGATCATGTTGTTGAGGATGCAAGAGGCAGAATGGACTCCAACCCTCTTTCCAGAGCTGTGTGGGTTCTGCAGGGCAGACAGGAATAAACACTCAAGCCCCGATTCAGCAAAACATTCATTGAAGTCAATGGGACTCAGGCAGGTACTTGGAATTAAGCATGTGCTTAAGGGCCAGATTTTTAAGGGTATTTAGGTACCTAACTCCCATTGTCCTAAGTGCTTTGCCAAATGGGGATAGGATCATTTACATGCTTAAAGTTAAGCACATGCTTGAGCACTTTGCTGAATTGGGGCTAAGGCAACTGGCTTCTCATTAAAGGGGGACAAAAATTACTTGTTTGTTTTATGCCAGCTCTGGCAAACAATTCACTGCTTTGCATCTTTGTCTAGGGTAAGAGAGCCATATCCAGGTGTATTTTGAGTAGCACCTTTCAAGGATTAGTGCAGTGCAGTCAGACAATTGATCACAGTAGGATGGCTGCAAGATGCATGGAAGGCCTGTAATAAAGATCAGCAGAGAGGGATTCCACCCATATGGGGTGTTTGGGTTAAAAAAAAAATGGAAATTGAATACAGTACCTAAGAGCAGGGGAGCGCAGAGTTCAGGGAGAAGCACCCTTCAGAAGATGCCAATGTAGTGGCCGAGAGACGTGGAACACCATGCATTCTTTGCTTCATGCCATTTTTCTGTACCATTCCTCCGCTCAGAGAAGCAAACAGCAAAGAATCCAGACTCTTTCATGCACCACCCACATCACCACATGCAGCATCCGATCTGACCTATGCGGGAGGAGAGTTTGGTTCAGGTGTTAACCAGAGCAGCCATTTTGCCAAGGAACGTCTCCCAACTGAGTGGAGATAAAATATGACTTGAAATCACAGGGTTTAGCAAAAATTGTGAATCGTCTTCATTTTCTGGCATCTTCACCCTCTGTGCAGCAGGGGACGGGGAGAGGCAACTTGCCCATCAAGGGGGTGGACCTGCCACAGCATCAGTTGCGTGCTAACATTTGCTGTGCAATGGAGGAGGAGGGAGATAGCTCAGTGGTTTGAGCATTGGCCTGCTAAACCCAGGGTTGCGAGTTCAATCCTTGAGGGGGTCATTTAGGGATCTGGGGCAAAAATTGGGGATTGGTCCTGCTTTGAGCAGGGGGTTGGACTAGATGACCTCCTGAGGTCCCTTCCAACCCTGATATTCTATGATTCTATGATTTGCGGTAGTGGTTGTTTCCTTGCGGGCAAGGAAGGGGTGGTTCTGGAGGGACCCCGGGAGAACAAGTGTCTTAAGCAATAGTCCTGAGAGTTTGTTCCATTCCCACGGCTAATGGCAAAGCATTAAACCAAAGCTCTCCCCAGATACCTGCATTGCTTTATCAGTCATGCTGCAGTGCCAAAGAGAGAGCGCTAACCCATTCCTGCTGGGTTACAGGGAGATCCAGGGGATACAGGCCTGAAAGGAGAGAGAGGCCCTCCAGGTCCCAGGGTAAGTGTGGGAGTCTGGGGGTGAGTGTTTTTGTTGGGCGTGCAGGTGGACGGACAATTGGGTCAGATCTCTCATGTGCTTTGCCCCAAAACCTTAGGGTTTAAACAGAGCTTTTGAGCTAAGCCGCTAAAGTCCTGGCCAAACCCGGGCCTGGATCATGCTAAGATTTCTGCACTGGCATAACTTCATGCAGATGAGGAGTCAGATAGAGACCAAAGGAGCTATTTGCATGCGTAAAGTTACCGACTGCCTAGGCCTTTGCAGAGACATGGACTTGTATGGTGGATCTTTACTTTGCCACCTGACCATGGGATCTGCTGCTTTTAGCATTTAACATACACATTCATCTGCTATCACAATACAATTCATAAAGAATCATCATCATCCAACCTGTCGACCCCCAAATATAAATACTGGGCCACTCCGCTGGAAATTTAATAGAACTGGATCTAACCCAATTTTGGCTAACCCTAGAGAGCCATTTCCTCGGTGTCCAGCTGACTCCAAGCTGCGCAAAACTCTTCATATACACACCCCATTTCTGCTGGACAGCTGTGATCAGCTGGGAAGGGGCAGCCCACTGTGCCTAGATTCTGTCAGCACCAGGCCATTTAGTGGGAACTCTTTCATAGCCTGAATTATAACCAGCTTGGGACCAGCAATGTGGGTGGGGGGGCCTACGCTTTGGTCCTCGGGAATAGGGGCAGTGGCAGCATTCAGAAATTACTCCTTACTGTCATATTTTAGTTGTGGAGATAATGTCCCTTTGGAACATGGGAACCATGAGGTCAAACCTACCTTTATTTTGTATTTTAAGGGACCGGATGGTCTCCCAGGGCCTTCAAGTGGGACTCTGGTATGTTACTTTCCTAGCCTTGTTTTCTACATATAATCAACATTTTACTTAAATGATCTTTTTATAAACCATGGTTTTAGAATACTAATAAATAAATAGAAACTATCACATTCTGTACCATATTTATCCTTGTTGAAGCGCGTCATCTAATCTAGTAAGTTTCAGGTTCTACTTCTTAACCATGTCTGTTACATTCTGGTGCATCCGTTCCTGAAACATTCAGTACTGATTTCGTGCCTTTTTCTCCCCCTTGCCAAGCTGGATAACATGTCAGAAAAGGGGACAAAAGGGGAAAAGGTAACATCTTCTAATGTCATAATTCTAGATTGTAAATTCTTGGGGGGACTGTGTTTTGTGTTTGTTTGTACTGTGCTAACACAGTGGGGGGCGGTGGGGGGGCTTGCCCATGACACTTCTGTAATACAGATCATCATCATCAAGGGAACCGTGCCCCTCTCTGCGGGAGAATTGTTTGCTCAAAATGGAAAAATGAATTATTTGTACATAGAAATGTGCCACTGATTGGCACAAAAATAGATTCACGCCCACCCATGGACAGAGCATACACACCGGCACTGTGCTGTGAGGTGTGTATTGCCATGAGTTCGGGATGTTCACCTTGCTGCCACGTCGCTGGACTAGGAGTGAGTCATGCAGGTCTTCCCAAAGAGAAACTGCAGCTAAAAAGCTTTAGAGCACACCACACTGTCAGGTACTTTATTGATGCTACATATTGCCGCAGTTGAGACCCTAAAGGGGAAAAAAAACTCTAGGTGCCATGCTCTAGGCAGTGCTTGGAAATTGTAGAGTCAAGATGATTGGAGACAGAGTCTAATTGCTGACGTGTGTGTGTGTGTGTGTGTGTGTGTGTAAGGGGATGGATCTGGAACACACGTGAGTTTAGCAGCCATTTTCTGTCAAGAGGATCACACTGGAAGCTCTTTAAAGAGCAGGAGGAATGGAGTAGGTGTATGCCAGGGCAAACCCGTCATGGCCTAGTGGGTTAAGCAAAAGGCCAGGGTCCAAGTGCTCCTCAATTCTTTCCCCACCTCTGCTAATGGCTGGTCTTAATTCTCTGCACTGATATAGCTCTTTGCAAACATTCAGGAGGTAAATATGCTGAGCCTCGGGGTGGGAATACGGGGGGGCCGACTGGCGAAGGGAATTGCCCAAGTCACATGATTATCCAGGTCCCATGACTCTCAAGCCAATACTTTCTTGGAGTGGTGTAACCATCTGGGTGGTCTCTGGAGCCTCTTGGATTATTTTCTCTCCTGTGGAAATGTGTTAAGTGGTGGAGGCCACCCCAGTCCATGGGTTGCTGGTGCCCTTCATTCCACCGGAATCTGTAGAGGCAGAAACCAGATTTCAGTGTAATGAAGCCCATCAGACATGGAATTCAACCCCTCACTTCAAGCCCCTTTCCCCCTTGGAGAGAATGTTGACCAAAAGCCCATGTGGGCTCTCAGCCCCGTGTCCAGACTCTGTGCTGCCCTGCTGCCAATTCAGTGGCTGCAAGTTCAAGGCTCCTGTTGCAATGGTGACTCATCTGCCCTGCACACGCGCCATATTTCCTAGGATTGTTTTTTCTAATTAAAACTGCAGCTTAATATATTAAAGGGGAGGCGGCATGGTCCCAGGATGAGACTTGGAGTGAAAAGATCTGGGTTCTAATCCTGGCTCCGACCCTTAGCGAGACTCAGTTTACCCCCAAGGGTGAAAAGTGAAGGACGATAGTTACCATCTCCACTTCCCATTGGTCTTGGGAGGCTTAGTCAATGGGTGTTTGGGATGATCCTGAGCTACCATAATGTTGCTGCTGGAGCTCTGACTTTCAAAATATCTGACTCCTGCAAATCTAACTGGGCAGCACTAACATTGCCTTGGCAAAGGTCCTAGCATTGAATAGGTTATGTCCTGCATCCCTTGGTTCTTTCACATCTGCGCAGGGGACTCGACACACTTTCATTCTCTGGGGAGGAGCATCGATACTATCAGGCTATGTCCACACTATGAGTTGGGATGTGATTTCCCTGCCTGAAACTGGTGGAGGCAGCCAGGCCTCCTCTGCCATTACCCGTGCTATGGCGGCGACACTGCTGTTTACACTTGCGCTAACTCGATGAGCACTAGTGCAAATACGTGTGCACGAGCAAGGAAATCACACCCCTCGCTTGTAGTGTTGACATAGCGTGAGTGGGTTGGACGTGGGCCTCATCTACCTGTCGCTGGTAAAATCCTCTGCTCTGAATTTGTCACATGTCCTGCACTTGCTCCATGTGCCAAACTGCCACCGATGTCATTGGAACACCAATTTCACACCTGGGAGAAACTGAGGCCCAGAGCAATGGAGGTGTGGCTCTGATCTGAAAAAAGTCTTCAGTGGGGTCCTTGTGGGTGCTTGGCTCCTGGGAAAATGTGGCCAGGTTTGAAACTGTTGGTCTATGACCTGAGTGTGGTCAGACAATGAATTAGTGACGGAATTAAAAAGAGAACCGAGTGCCTTTCTAGCTACAGTGAATCACTCAGGTGTTGTTCTAGATTTATACACAACAGCAAGAAAAGTCTGCAGAGCATCAATACAGCAGGTATCAGCCTTTTGTTATATATCACGGTAATCATGCTCACGCTAATAAAACGGGAAATAATGATAGTTTGACTTGCTTATGTACCAGTACAAATTTCTTGTGCTGTTGTGTTCATTTGGGTGGAATGGCTGGACCTAAAAGTATTTACATTGCTCAGTCACTGTCCAACCTTAAACAGCACTAAGGTTCGGCATTTGGTGTACAGAGACCTTAGCCTGCTTTGGACGATGGCAAACACGCTGTTAACAATCCTGTTCACCTTTGTGAAAGATTAAGAAAAGAAGGAAAAACTGGTAAAGCATTTGCAAAGTGAAGTATTGACTGAAGCTTTCATTTTAACAGCCTCCCTTGTTCCCGTTGCCTTTAGGAGGAGAGAGTTTTTAGAAGGAAAAACTCCCTTTTCCTACAGTCTCTCAGGTGGCATCAGAGCTGGTGATAACGGTCCTTTTGGGGAAAAGGGAGGGAGTCAGTTGAGATAGGCTGGAGCTGCTGCTGCTGCTGTTAAAGTCTGATCCTGTTTCATCCCAGGTGGCGGCTGGGATCCAGCTGTAGCCAGCAAAGGTGGCGATGTCATCTGGGTCCCTCTCTCTGGCTTGGCCTGGTCAGGACATCTCTCAGGATTAGGATGAAGAAGTTCCAGGGTCCCAGGAGATGGTGGGGGTGGGGGTCATGATGGTGAAGCTAGCACCAGTGGCCAATTCCCCGCCCCCCCAAGTCTCTTCTTTTAAGGACCCAAAAAGGGAGTGATGGGTGGAATAGCCCACCCCCTCTTTATTGGTTCATTAATTTCTGGTCCCACATTTACTGGTGTACCAGACATGCTCTTACCACAGCCTTTGAGTTATATCAGGCCTTTTTGTTTGGACAAATTCGTTCTGTCTCCCTTTCATCCCTTTTCCCATCAACATTTGTAGTTATACATTATTGTGACATCTGATGGACCTACTTACAGTGGAGCTCACCGTTTGGGTAATTTTGTAGGCCCAGTTATCCCAACATCACTCACGCACTGGGTCACAGACTGAATTAGGCAAAGCGCAGTGTGGAACTGGCTGATCATTCAAGGGTTTCGCTGTCTGAGGTGTATGCTCCAGTGGACCGAACACCTGCAGATCGGCCCAATGTTCTGACACGAATCCAAGCTTCCTTCAAGTTGAAGGGCATTTGTGTCTGAGGCTCTGGTTCAGGCGGGGCCCAGCGAAAGGGGACTAGCTGCCAAGTTCATTGGAGGATTTCAAAGACCTTTACAAACATTAACTGGAGCCTCTCATCCCCACTGTGAGGTAGTTAAGTCATTGCCCCACTTTTACAGATCGGGGCATTGAAACTAAAGGCATGTCGACCCTTCAAGCTGGGAGTGTGATTTCCATCTCAAGAAGACGTACCCGTGCCAGCATGCTAAAAACAGAGTGTAGCCATATGTCTCTCTGCACTAAGAATCACTCCACCAGCTCGAAGTGCGGACATATTCAAAGTGACTTGCCATGGTCAGACAACAAGTCACTGGCAGAGGCAGGACTAGAACCCCAGAAACCTGACTGCCAAACTTCTGCTCTGGCCACTATTCAGTGCTCCTGTCACTGCATTTCTTTGGGCTAATGCTCTTGTTAACCAGCTGTTGTTTGTTCGTTTTGTTTTTAAAGGGGAGATCCAGGTCCACCCGGCAAAGGAGTGGAGATCAAGGTAAATAAAAAAGTGGAAAATTATAATATTGATACACTGTCTCTCCATCCCTGTTTCTCTCACTGTGTCTCTCTGTTCCTGAGTCCCCCCCCCCCCATCCCCCAGGTGAGGGGATTCAGAGACAAAATCCTAAGAAAGCCCGTGTAGAACAAGACACTGCTGAGCTAGTCATAAATCTTACCCCATTGCTGTAGTAAAATGAAATTGTTTGGCTTTCCGGTAGGATCCAGGTTAGTGACATAAACCAGGATGGGCGCTGAGTGGGTCACTGCTGCAGCTCTGTAGAGAAATCCCTTGTGAAATTTAGTATAAGCTAACAGGCAGCTATGAATGTGGATCCCTGCCCTACAGCTGAGCAGAATGGGGGTCACTGGTTAGGATCTGTTGGATTCTCAGGCATAGCAAAGGCTAAAAATGTTTTATTGCCCCTGTGGCTGACAGATTCCAACCTCTACTCTGGGGTATTGATCTCACCCTCATCAGGTGTGCGTTGGTCAACTCTCAGCTAAGCAATTGTTGCATCACTTGGGGCTACCCTTGAGAGTCAGCTGGCAGCTTACATATGTGCAGAACATCTACCTTCTAGCTAAGGCAGACAGACAAGAGCGCATCACACCTGTGCTTCCATCTCCGGGCTGAACCAGTGAACAGTCAGGTGTAAATCGAAGGCTTGGCCATGGTCCGTGAAGCCCTAACTGCTCTGAAATGGTTACTGTATCTCAGAGATCACCTTCCTCCCACTGCAGAAGTTGCAAACAATGGGATGCTTAGGTTTTCAGCCTCCCGGGATTACAGCCCTGGGTCTGATGTAGGGCGTTCCCAATAGGGCTCTGGCATTTGCTCCCAACAGGGATCCATCAGGGCACAATGCAAGGCACATGTTTATACAGCACCTAGCACAATGGGGCGGCATTTTTGGTTGGCCTTTAGGCACCACCATAATAAACATGATTAATTATCATTAATCTCCATCAAGGTTTTCACCTAACGCTGAGTACTGGATTGTCTCTACCTGTCGGTTTCTTTCCAATGCTGCCTATTACCATAGTATCTAAGAGTGGTCTCCTGGCCCAGCTGCCCCAAGGACACGATCTCCTCTCACACAGCATTTTCACGCAGGTGACAGGGAGGAGGAGTGTATGGTTCCTTACTTTGGGAAGTGGTGTGTCCTGTTAACCACATTATGTATCCAATCATTGTGGCCTGTTAATAAGAACACAATGGGATATTTGCTGCTGAAAGAGCCGATCGGCCCACGCATGTAAAAACTCTGCACCTACCCTAGTCCCGTGATGCAAGGTCTGATGTTATGCCTGTCCAAGCCAACTGCAAAGCTTCCATGAGAGCAGAATCCGGCCATCAGTATCTAGGGGCTTATCACTGCTCATCTGTGGAAGTTATACTTTGAGTTATTCCCTCGGTGGTAAATTGTATAGTCAATTGCTTGACCGCACTTTGGTTTGTTATGAAAAATACTCAAGAGACTAAATAACCAATATCCATCCGGTTTATTGCTAAAAGACACAAATCGTGTAGTAAAGGGAAAAGGTTCAACATGATACAAGCTTCTGGGAAGCCGTCTCGTGCAGCGTGGTTGAATTCAGCTTACACAGAAGGCTCGTTTCCAGAGTGACACATTTCAGCTAGGAGCATTTCACAAGTTCCAAACCTCTTTGCATATCACGAGAATTCAGCAGTTCATAGCAGTTTCTTAACTTGTTGTTCTGTACCTTCCTTATCCTGGAGGCTAGTTTTCCAGGTACTGGTACGGGACAGGACCTCCCCAGCTTGTACCAGGGCAGAACATTAACGTGCTTGCCTTTGACAAGTTTTCTATTTTCTATGCCAACACTGACTTCATCTTTGCAAAGTGTTGTGGGATAATTGACAGGGGTGAACAGAATTCAGTGAACATAACTTCCCAACACATTTTCTTTTGTTCTTTCGTTCGTTCGTTCTTTCTTTCTAAATGTATATTATATCCATGCTCATCATATCTATTAATGTGGTGTATGCTACGCCCAATATATGTTCATTGGCTAACACCCTTCGTTCCTAATTCAGGATCTGGAGAGACTTTTTGAAGCATATGGGATCAAGGTATGTGAATATTTTACTTTCCTTCTGAATGTTTGGCCCACTGCTGTTAGATGTAATTGCTTCCTGAGTTGAGATTGTTACCATTAAACTTAGACAAGCCCTAACAAGCCTTCATCGCATCCCTCTGGCTTCTGTAGTGTTCTGGAGAGAGGGTCGGCTCTTCTGTTTCCAACACTGAAGTTAATGGGTAGGTGGGGTTATTTCAGTTCCTGGGGCTAGCTATCGATAACATTCAGATTCATATATGGCAGCTTTACAGTGCAAGTATTATTGGGGAAGGAGGGTCTTGTGGTTAAGGTTACAGGCCTGCAACTCATAAAATCTAGGTTCAGTTGCTAGCTCTGCTAAGAGATTCCTTGGGTGAGTCATTTCATCTCCCTGGGTCTCAGTTTCCCATCTGCAAACTAGGGATAATACATCTTTTGCCTGTTTCGAGTGTAAGCTCTTCAGGGCAGAGTCTGTCTCTCACTGTGTGTACCTAGCCTAGCACAGTGGGACTCCAATCTTAATTGGGCCCCAGGTTGTAATACAAATAACAATGAACTAATGTTGAGTGATGTAGAGTCACTGGTCCAGAGAATCCAACTATCCCCTGCAGAGCAGGCTAACAGACTCTGGGTGGTCCACATGGGGTGCTGTGTATAACCTGGGATAGGACACAGTCTGGACCGCACGTGCAGGTCTCCAGCTCCAAGAGCCAGCAGACGTCTCCCTTTGCTCTCAGCCTCCAGTCCCCTCCAGCCTTGGCCATCTGGCTCAGAAAGGTCAGCTGTCCAGCTTGGCAGCTTTTCCAGAGACCTGTTTCTCCTCCAGTCTCCTGCCTGTGGCAGCTCTACCTCACCAGGTCGCTCCCAGCAGGGTCCCTCTCCCTCCTCTCCCAGGGGCTCTTCCTGCTTCTGGCCTGTCTCCCGATCACCAGGGACCGCCCCATGGCTGCTCTTCCTAGGGCGGCCATATTTCCCTATGCTGAATACGGGACACCTGGTAAAATTACTCACATTCAAGTGAGTTCAATGGCAATCAATTGTACAGATGTTCAAATTAACATCAAGGTGACTGAGCCCCTGTTAAAAAGAAATACCGTGTAGTTGGGATTCTTTTTATTTACCGTCTTATCTTTAAGGCTTTAGGGTTCACACAGGAAGGGGTGACACACACACACACTCCTGCACGCTTCTCTCACACGGGGTGTGTGTGTGACTGACTGACCCGACCCTCCCTGCCCGGCACTCTCCGCCCTCCATGCCTGGCTGGGCCCCCAGGATGGACCCACCTCTCCTGGTACCTGGCACCACATCTTCCTGAGGCAACACATGGGGGGCATGCAGGGCCACATGCCCCTCTCCTGTCCCCAGATTTCTGCCAGGGTTCACACCAGAATGTGGCCAGCAGCAGCCTTTCGGCATGGGATGGGAGGGAAGGGACGGGAGCTGCTTCCAGCTGCAGGGGAGGAGGAGACAGGGGAAGGGATGACCTGGCCTGTGTCTTTGCAGAGCTCATTTCTCCCCCTTCCCCACCTCTCCTGTGTGGCTGGAAGCAGCTTGTCCCTTCCTGTCCGCACAGTGTCAAAAGGCAGCTGTTGTCCACCAACATAACCCAGCTGCCTCTGCTTTTCTCAGTTACCTTGGGGAGCAGCGGGGGACAGGGAAAGAGGTGGTCATTGTTTGATCATTGATTGTTGATGTGCGGCTGCAGTTGGGGCTGCTGAAGGAACTGACTGATCTTCTCCTGAGGGAAGGGTTTGAAGCTCTGATCCAGCGGCGGGCCAGCTCCGGGAAAAGCAAGCCAGCCAAGAAAAAGGAGGGTTTTACACAAGCTACGGACTATGCTGTGAGTATTCATCCCCCTGAACTTCTGCAGGATCAGAGAGAAGAAGGGGAGGAGAGCTGGGAAGAAATGGAAGCACCGAGAAATGGCTAGTTCAGGGCTCCAGAGAAAGTCGTTGGCAGAGCCAGGAACAGAGCCCGTTTTCATTGACACCATGTCCAGTGGTTTCAATGTCAAGATCTTCTTTCCCTTCCCCTCCTTTTTGGTGTTATCATTGCATGGAAGAGTAGGACTGCTGGTAGCAGTGGTAGCTGGGAGCTGCAGGAGGACAGTTTATTGTCATGCAGATTATGATGATTTGTAGTAGCTAATACTGTTATGCCATTATATTATGTTGGAAGGTATTAATGCCTGCCATCAAGTGGATCTTTGATCTTGTTAAAGTGTACGGGTGAGCTAACCACCCTTCAGGCTAAATGAAAGGAACAAGTAAGCTACTTTATGGAGTGAGATAATTGGAGACAATAGAAGCTATCGCCCAAGGCAGTCAGACACATGGTGAAACCTGAGCAGGGCTAAGCCATGTGGGCTGAGGGGGTTCCCTGGGACTGGTTGCAAATCCAGGGACTAGAGGATTGCTTGGCAAGCTGTTTGTGTAGGTTAGACATAGAAAGCCAGCAGAAAATGAGAGAAGCTGTCATGGGCAAAGCCCTCACAGGGACCAGAGACAGAGATCCTGTTGGCAAAGGACTGGCTGGAAAGGCAGGATTGGAAACTGTGAGCAAGGACACTGCCTGCTGTTGTTTGTTTCCACTGTGTTCAGGGAAGCAGGACTTTTTCTACATTCTTTATAAATAAACAGGATCACTCCAAAGAACATATCTGGCTCGCATAATCAATTTCTACCCCTAACAGAAACAACCCAGCAAGGCCCTGAATGTTGGCTGATTGCTTGGGCCAAAGGGAGAACAACGTTTTCACCTAGTCACAGGGCTTTTCACCTTGAAGGATTCCAGAGTGCTTTGGGCAGCCACTGACTGCAAATGGCCTGGAACCAAAACACCAGATCCAGACATCCTGGAAACGTGCGGTGTTTGAAATCTGAACCCAGGTCCAGATGGCCCTTCTCTTGACAAGCGAATGCAAAGCCTGGAGGTGAAAACCCCCAGGGGTGTCTGAGATTGTTGTGCAGAATTTGGGTATGTCTACACAGCAAGTGACAGCAGGTCTCCTAGCCCCGGTCTACAGACTCCAGCTCGTAAGGCTTGCACTACCGGTGCTAAGAATAGCTACGTAGGTATTCAGGCTTGGGCTGGATCTTGGGCTCTGAAGCCTAGGGCGGGGGATGGGCTTCAGAGCTGGAGCTGCAATGTTTACACCACTGTTTTTAGTGCTGGAGCCTGAGTCTGGGGCTTGCTGCCGCGGACTGTGTAGACGGACCCTTTGTGACCCCATCCCTACTGCACCCATGCGGCCCCAATGAAATGCAGCCACCTCTGGGGAGGGAGAGTAGCAATCAGCTGGCGCACAGCTATGGTAAGAGGGGCAAATTTGTCCAGTGGTGCTGGAGCTAATCTCTACTATCCTCGAGAGTGGCAGGCGCTCACCACACAGAGCGGACAGGCTTCATCTGCAAGACCTTCAAACAGCTGGTCTCATAGAACTCAATTAAATCTACCTGGAAAGGATCAAGGTCTCCTTTGACCCACTGGGAGTCCATGCTCAGATCGCTCAACTGGGTCTAACTACTTTTTTTGGCATTTACAGGCTTCGCTGAAGTATGATTTTTCTAGCAACCCTCTTACCAGTATAGAAGTGACTGAAGAAGACCTGAGTATGGATGTCGGGCCTCAGCTTACAGTTCCAGAAGCTGTAGGACATCCTACTAAGGTAACAATAAGTTGAGGCGGTCTGGTAGGATTCATTCTTTACATTTGGGGTTAATGGGTAGCTCCTAGGTTACTTAGCCATTACTAGGCTGTCTTCTCTAGGCTATATTCATGTTCTTGCACCATGCCCATCACCATGGTAATCCGAACAGCTTCCAAAAGATAAAGTCAGCGGTTAGCATCTGTTTCTCCATTTGAATAATATTTTCAAAAGAGCCCGGCTTTTTTCTCTCTGAAGTCAATGGTACAAATCTACTTGACTTCACTGTAGCACTGGTAAATATCACCCTTTGGTGTTGCCATTTCCCAATTTCCTGCATCCGTAGTGGGGCTTTTCTAATTTTCTGTGGATGAAAGGCCAGCGGCAACTCGCTATCCGCGTACCTCCCCGCACCCGTGAACAGCTCAGTGGCAGGAAGTGATGCTTCTAACTGTTGCTATTTGAAACCCAGATACCAGTGGCTTTATCGAGGAGGATTTTCACAGGAATGCAATATCTAAGGAACACTCCTCCTGGTGCATGATGTGCTTGCTTTTAGACAATGGTGGGCCCCAAACCAAAATGGAGTCACATGAGCTCACTTTTCCTTAACAATCTTCATTTGGTGTTGGTTGTTTCATAAAATCACTGGCAGAAGGGTGGTCCATTGGTTACAGTGCTAGCTGGAGACTTAGGTTCAATTCCTGCTCTGCTACAGACTTCTGGTATGGCCTTTGCCAAGTCACTTTGGACCAGATTTTTAAAAGTATTTAGGCATTGCTGCGCTCAGTGTCTAACTAATTTAGAAACCTAAATCTCATTGAAAGTCAATGGGACTTAGAAGCCTAAGTCAGTTAGGCATTGCAATGTTGGGCAAAGCAACATCTAAATACGTTTAAAAATCTGGGCCTTACCCTCCCTTTGTTTCAGTTCCTCATCTGTAAATCGGGGATAATAGCATTTCCCAGCACTGCTGGGGTAAGATAAATGCATGAAAGATTGTGAGGTACTCAGATACCACGTTGGTATCAGAGCTCGATAGCATTAAAGTGATCACAGCATGGGATTATTAGCACTTCTGTAGCACACCAACATCAAAGCGCTTCGCAAGGTGGATGTGTAGCATTATCCCCATCTCACTGAACGGGGAAACGTCTGTTCAGAAAACTGAAGTGACTCACACAAGATCACACAACAGAACTAAGGTGGGAATAGAATCCCGGTCTCCCGAGGCCTAGTTCCAGGCCCGTGGACCCATGTGAATGCAGCTCTTTGGAAGACGTCGGTTATCAGGAAGCCTCTCGTCATGTTAGATGTGGACGAAGAGTGGTGAGTTCCGCTCACACTCAGATATTTATTAAGGCTGTGCCTCTTCAGCCCCCTTTCCCTGTTTTGTTAGGATGTAACAAGCCAGAAGAAACCTCTGGTTGATGGGGCAACAGCCATCAGTCTTGGTGACTACACCGAAGTGGAAGTAATGGTAAACCAGACGCGCTCATGTCAGAGACAGCCGGAGGCTAAGAAACGGAAAGGCAGCCCTAGACCTCTGAATGCAACCCGGCTACAAACTAGCCAAGAAGAGCCCACTACAGGGCAACAACATACTGCTGAAAATACTTCTCTTGAGTGCCAGGAGGTGGATGGGTCAGTAATAAGGGAGAATGAAGAGGTAACATTTAAAATCCCCTTGCCTGCTTAGCATATATTATATTTGGTTTATATTCCCAAGCTAGACCTGTTTGCTTAGCATATATTATATTTGGTTTATATTCCCAAGCTAGACCTGTTTGCTGTTGAGCGTCTCACACACCAGGTCAGACCCAACAAAGGTGTTTCTGTGGAATTTATAAACAGAGACGTTCCCTGCCTCCAGTATCTTCCAAATAACCCCAAATGAGACCAAAATGTCCCCACAGGCTCTCAGAATATTGCTTCTGATGGTCATTGAGGTGCCCACCTCAAAAAGCCCCATTGTAAAGCAAAAGGATTGGTCAAGCAACCAAAGGAAATGGGCTGACTTGTCCATACCTTTCTGAAGACACCAACCACACAGCTTGCTTCCTTCTAAGGGCCTCATGTGTGGAGAGGGTGACACTTATATAATTTTCTTATTTCCCAGAATGCCATGCCCCAAGCCAGGACTAAAACATGGCAGCCAAGAGGGACTACATTTGCTAGCCGTCCTGCCGTCTTGGATCTCAGAGTATCCCTGACCCTGACTACTCCCTTTCTCTGTCTGCCAGGGGAGTTCCAGACCACCCTACTCATGAGACTCCCAGCCCTGGGATCAGCTGCATGAGCCTTGTCATAAACTTCAGACTGTTTCCCCACAGTTAATTCCTTCCCCTCAGCGCCTTTGCCTCAAGACCCAGGGGAATTTTTAAGTGGCAAACATGGGACAATGTAATGCTGGCCCAAGAGCACTCCCTTGGAAGTCTCAAAGGGCCTACTTAGTCCATTGCAGCCAGTGAGGACTGTGTAGCCTACAGGAGAGCCGTCACCCACCACCACAGAGAGATTCCGGTCATGGTCTGTGCTGGGATTTTTAAAATTAAATTAGATTTGCAGAGAGGTGCAGCCCTAGACACAGACATTCTCCTTTTATCTTCAGCACAAGCAAACATGCCCTGCTCCAAATATTGTCCCAATCCTGGCCAAGAGGGATCGGCCCTGAGTGGTCTAGCGCTGAGAGGGCAGTTCAGTCTCTGCCCACTCCTCTCTTGGCCTCCATTGAGAGTGGGTGCTAGCTGCCATGTGGATACAGGACTGGTTTTGAGATTAACAGAAACCCTGCCTGGCTGATGGAGCCCGCAGATCAGATGGTGAACTGCCGAGTTTATAGGGTCCCAAGAAATCTCTTTGGTTTTTGTGCTTAAATTCAGCCCTTTGCAGACATCTGTTTGCTGGGAATTGAGCTTACCTTGTGTGACCGGGGTCCCAGTGGGGGCCAGCTGAGGTTACTCAATTAGGGTGAACTGCAAAGAATGGGGCAGACAGACCCCAAAGCTGGTGGATATTCCAGTACTTAGATTTACCAAGCCAGCATAAAACAGCTTCTTTATTACCTTACTGGTTGCCCAAAACCCAACAACACAGTTCCCTTAAAGCAACCCAGCCTCAGGCCTCCATCCAGGTACTTAAGTCAAATATGATGAAGATTTCTGAAAGCCATATTTCATCATATTAAGAAAAGGTTCTACCAATCCCACAGGATCGGACACGTTACCTCCCAGGTTAATGAATATTCCAGATCTTACCCAAAGACACGCTACAGCCAATTCTTATTAACTAAACTAAAATTTATTAAAAAAGAAAAGAGAGAGAGAGTATGCTTAAAAGGTCAATATACAGACAGACATGAGTTCAGTTCTTAAGGTTCAGATTCATAGCAGAGATGGTGAGCTTTGTAGTTGCAAAAAGTTCTTTCAGAAATAGTTCATAGGTTATAGTCCAATGTCCAATATCATTGCAGGATGTTCCAGCTTAGGACTGGAATCTCAGTCCTTATGGCTTAAGCTTCCCCTGTATGAAGCCTCAAGTAGATCTGAGATGAACAGGATCAGGACCCAAGGGTCTTTTTATACAGTGTCCTAGCATCCACTTGACCACGCAGTCCTGGGTAAACAATAGGCTTTTGTTGTAACCTTTTGCTTTCTAAACACCACCAGTAATTAGTTACCCAAATTAACAGAGGGCAATTTATCCATTAGGCAGTCTATCACAAACTTCAAAGAGACATATAGACAATGACATTACTTCACCCAAGATCCATCTAAATGTTAATATTCCCATTTGAACTCTGAATTAATAGGTATAGTGACAGGAATTATCTGTTTACATGGCTAGCTTCTAAGATACACACAATTAGTGTCAAGTATCAGAGGGGTGGCTGTGTTAGTCTGTATCCACAAAAACAACGAGGAGTCCGGTGGCACCTTAAAGACTAACAAATTTATTTGGGCAAAAGCTTTCCTGGGTAAAAACTCACTTCAGATGCATGGAGTGAAAATTACAGATACAAGCATAAATATATCGGCACATGAAGAGAAGGGAGTTACCTTACAAGTGGAGAACCAGTGATGACACTTCTAACTTCTAACAATCAGTAGCGCAGCTGGGGGGGAGCGGGGCAGCGGCCGCTCCCCCACTGAGCAGAACTGGTGCCTGTTTAATTCTTTGGCGCCTTTTACATTTTTACTCACCCGGCGGCGCTCCGGGTCTTCAGCAGCACTTCGGTGTCGGGCCTTCACTCGCTCCGGTCTTCGGCGGCATTGCGGTGGCCGGGGGGGGCCCTTCAGTGCTGAAGACCGGAGCGAGTGAAGGACCCGACGCCGAAGTGCTGCTGAAGACCCAGAGCGCCGCTGGGTGAGTACCACGGGGTGGCGCCTCTTTTTATCTCCACTCCCCGTTTTTTCCACCTGGCTACGCCACTCCTAACAATACAGGTTTGCATTTCAAAGTTCTAGCCTATCTACCATGGATGGCCCCCGTTACCATTCACATACCTTTCTAACACGACTTTAAAGGTGGACTTTGGGTCATTCTGCCTGCAATAGGGTAGTGGCTGGGCCCTCACCTGGAGTGTGAATAGCACAAGTTTAAGTCCCTGATCTTCTTGCCTCTCCCACATCCCACCTGAATGCCCTAACCTGATGGCAGTTCTGGTCTTTTGCTGCATCTCTGTGGCCAGAAAGTCCATCCTGGACCTGCAAAACCTTCCCCATGACATTTTTGTCAAAAACGATATCGTTCCCTGAGAAGTTTCGGTTTCAACGAATCGGCATTTTCTGACCAAAAAACATTTCTTCAAAAAATTCCCACCCAGCTTTAGCCATAACTAGCCTCCTGAGCGACTCAGACTGCCCACGGTCTGCTTTTAAATAATACTCTTGTTGACAGCAGTGTGTCCTGATTTACGACAGAGCGCTCAGGAGTCGGTCACCTTGGCTGTGCATCATTGTACGTATAGTGTTTAATTGATCGTCATATTGCTACTGAATATCTGCTAAAGGGAAAGTGTATGTGTGAGAGAGTAATAAGAGTTCTACCCCATGTCCTGTATGTGACATGGGAGAGACGTGGTGCCTTAAAGAGAAATAACCTGCCTTCTTCAGGCTCGGCAGAGCCCAGCTGGTCTTGCTCTGGGGTCGGAGCCTCCCGCACTGGGAAACATTTCTGCGGAGACGCCAGAGCCCTTGAAGAAGAGGAGGAAGGAGAAAGACGTGAGCAGAGTAAGCGCTTTGTGTGGAGATGTATAACAATGCCCATTCGCTGACTTTCAATTAATCTCTTCCCATACATGACCCTAAAATTGACACTAAGGGAAGCTGCACCCCAGGGGCTAGCGTTGATTGTTGGGGATCTACAAGAAAGTTTTGCTTAGGCTGGACATTAAGAAAAGCTTCCGAGCTGTCAGGGCAGCTAAGCACTGGGACAAATTATCTAGGGAGGTTGTGGAATCTCTGATAATGGAGGTTTTTAAGACAAACACGTCAGGGATGGTCTAGATACTTCAACCTGCCTCAGCGCAGGGGACTGGACTAGAATCATAGAATCATAGGACTGGAAGGGACCTGGAGGGGTCATCTAGTCCAGTCCCCTGCACTCCTGGCGGGACTTAGTATTATCTAGACCATCCCTGACAGGTTTGTCTAACCTGCTCTTAAAAATGTCCCGTGATGGGGATTCCACAACCTCCCTAGGCAATTTATTCCAGTGCTTAACCACCCTGACAGTTAGGAATTTTTTCCTAATGTCCAACCTAAACCTCCCTTGCTGCAATTTAAGCCCAATGCTTCTTGTCCTATCCTCAGAGGTTAAGAAGAACAATTCTTCTCCCTCCTCCTTGTAACAATCTTTTATGTACTTGAAAACTTATCATGTCCCCTCTCAGTCTTCTCTTCTCCAGACTAAACAAACCCAATTTTTTCAATCTTCCCTCAGAGGTCATGTTTTCTAGACCTTTAATCATTTTTGTCACTCTTCTCTGGGCTTTCTCCAATTTGTCCCCATCTTGCCTGGAATGTGATGCCCAGAATTGGACCCAATATTCCAGAAGACCTCTTGAGGTCCCTTCCAGTCCCATATGTCGATGATTTCTAAGATCCTGAGCCTGTCATATGCACTGGCAGTCACACTAAGGAGCTTTGCCTGGCTGAAGAAATCCCCTTGGCCCCCAGGTCAAACACATGCCTTCTTTCCCATGAGTGAGGCCGTTGGCTGCTGGACAAATCTCCTCCCCGTAACACCCGGCTGGCAGCTGCAGCTCCGGTGTCTCCAGTTATCGCAGCTGTGCCGCAGTCGTGTGGGCGGAGGCAGCCTCTCCCCTCGGGAGGCCCATGCCAGTCAGCCCTGCCTCCGTCAAAGGTGACACCTCAGCCTCCACCACAGACTCTGCCTCCAGTGAGGCTCCTAGATCTCTGGCATTTTGTGCTCCCAGTGAGATGCCCCACAGGCTGGACTGCCTTTAGCTTCTGAGAGGGGGGCCCCCTGGAGAGTGCACCGGGACTAATGTCTTCTCCAGGTGATAAGGTCGCAAATCATGATACCAAGGTCCCCCCGTTCCTGAAGAAACAGTCCCCGTTTCCTGGGCTAAAGGACTGTTTTGTCCACTGCTGCCATTCCCTTGTCTAACAGCAGCTGAGAATCTAACCAGCCCCCTGTAAGAAATGCAAACCTTGGTGTCAAATGATGGACACGCTCTCCATCAAAGGGGCAGATAGATTCTTCCCCATAACTTTTGGTCACTTTCCCTAACCTACCCGTGTGAGGTCTGCCTTGTTCGAATTGAGCCTCCGACAGCTGACTCCCGTGCATGCCCCAATCTAGACCAAACGCTGGGCGCGTTGCTCAACCGCCCGGGAAGTAATGGAGGCAGATTGTCAAAAGAGCTCAGTGTCCCGTGTCCTGAATCTTCTTAAAGTCCATCCATAAGTGCTGCAACGGGAGCTGCTGGATCCTGAGCACTTTTGAAAGCCTGAGGTTTATGTAGGAGCCCAGATGGGAGCTGAGTTCTGCCCCACATGGTGGAAATGGAGCCCCTTAAAATCTGCCCCTGAGCGCTTTTTGAAAACCTTGGCCCTAGAGCCGGCCTCCATAGATGAGCTGTGGCGCCATCTTAGAATGGCTATGGCGGAGTTCAGGGCCAGATGATGAAACTGGTGTAGCTCCATTGGCTTCAATGGAGCTACGCTGATTTACACCAGCTGAGGATCTGGCCGTGTCTCTGACTGTCTTGGAGCTGCACAGCTCCGTCCTGTAGTTAAATTGGCAGCGCCATGTCATGACTGATTGGAGGTCTAACCTGGAAATAATGCCTTTGTTTGAGCTGAGTGGCACTGCGCCTTTAAGAAAAGGCAATAACAATACTTAGGACCTCTACCGTGCTTTTCATCTTCAAAGCACTTGGCATGTATTGACAAGCCACCCCTGATAGGGAAGCTGTATCCCTGTTTTACAGAATATGGGGAACCGAGGCACAGGGAGGGTAAGGAATTTGCTGAAGGTCACAGTAGAAGTCAGTGTCAGAGCCTGGCTTACGAACTCCTGAGGTCCTAGCTCCGCATTTTCTCGGCTTCAATCCATTGGACCAGGCTGCCTCTGACTTGCTGCCTTCATTCTCTGCTGTGCTCAGCCAGGCTCCATCCAGAGTCAGAATATCACTTCCCAGGAAATGGGTCCAGGGAGCTTCTGGCACCCCTGAAGAAAAGGCCCTAGGGAGCGAAGGAAGGAGAAAGGAACCAACAGAGTAAGCCCTCTGCACAGGCAGGGGGTTGGCACCCTATGCCGTGTCTGGAAAGCCGTGAGTCTCCCTTCTCCCACCTGAGCCTGGTTCTGGGGGCCCTCGGGCAGGGACTTCAGGGTAGGAGCAGGAGATTTGAGGCTTTCACTCCTTCTATGTTGGCATTTCACACCTTTGTATTTCTCTGCCCTTCTGCATATGCCTAAACTCCATCCCCTTCTCGGAGCCTGAAACAAGCCACTTTGGTGTGTGCGTAGCCCAATGCCTGCAAGCCACCTGACAATAATAAACCAGCATGTGCAGTCTTGTGCCCCGAGTGACCCTACACTGACAAACAGCTCAGCAGCTCTCCAGCAGTAGAACATGAGAACCAATGGTCCCTCTAGCCCAGCATCCTGGCGTCCAAGAGTGGCCGAGGCCCTATGCCCCTGTGGGCTAGTGATGGGGCTAAGAGAAGCACAGTAAGGAAATCCACTGTCATTTTCAAGCATCCAGGTGTTTATTAGCGAGAGAAATATTGTTTTAGAAAATACTGGGAGATACGCTGGCTGGGCCCTTTGAACTGAGCTGAAAACCAGTGGTGTATCCTTACAAATGCTGCTGCAATGGGCCGTGGGTTCTGCGTAGTTCCCGGCAATGATACACATCAGGAAGAAATCCAACCCTGATTAGAACAGACCCGTTGAAGACCTGCTGCCACTCCCCTCGCTTCGTGGTCAGTCTAGATGATCTCCTGAGGTCCCTTCCAACCCTGGTATTCTGTGATTCTGCATAAAGCCCTGCTCTGTCCTGAGATTTCAGAAGGAATTCAGATGCAAATCAGTATAACTGTGAGCTAGCGGTCAGGGACCACTAGAGGGCACCCAACACACACAGGCCTGGAACATATCATAGAATCATAGAATATCAGGGTTGGAAGGGACCCCTGAAGGTCATCTAGTCCAACCCCCTGCTCGAAGCAGGACCAATTCCCAGTTAAAGCAGGACCAATTCCCAGTTAAATCATCCCAGCCAGGGCTTTGTCAAGCCTGACCTTAAAAACCTCTAAGGAAGGAGATTCTACCACCTCCCTAGGTAACGCATTCCAGTGTTTCACCACCCTCTTAGTGAAAAAGTTTTTCCTAATATCCAATCTAAACCTCCCCCACTGCAACTTGAGACCATTACTCCTCGTTCTGTCATCTGCTACCATTGAGAACAGTCTAGAGCCATCCTCTTTGGAACCCCCTTTCAGGTAGTTGAAAGCAACTATCAAATCCCCCCTCATTCTTCTCTTCTGCAGGCTAAACAATCCCAGCTCCCTCAGCCTCTCCTCATAACTCATGTGTTCCAGTCCCCTAATCATTTTTGTTGCCCTTCGCTGGACTCTCTCCAATTTATCCACATCCTTCTTGAAGTGTGGGGCCCAAAACTGGACACAGTACTCCAGATGAGGCCTCACCAATGTCGAATAGAGGGGAACGATCACGTCCCTTGATCTGCTCGCTATGCCCCTACTTATACATCCCAAAATGCCATTGGCCTTCTTGGCAACAAGGGCACACTGCTGACTCATATCCAGCTTCTCGTCCACTGTCACCCCTAGGTCCTTTTCCGCAGAACTGCTGCCTAGCCATTCGGTCCCTAGTCTGTAGCTGTGCATTGGGTTCTTCCGTCCTAAGTGCAGGACCCTGCACTTATCCTTATTGAACCTCATCAGATTTCTTTTGGCCCAATCCTCCAATTTGTCTAGGTCCTTCTGTATCCTATCCCTCCCCTCCAGCGTATCTACCACTCCTCCCAGTTTAGTATCATCCGCAAATTTGCTGAGAGTGCAATCCACACCATCCTCCAGATCATTTATGAAGATATTGAACAAAACCGGCCCCAGGACTGACCCTTGGGGCACTCCACTTGATACCGGCTGCCAACTAGACATGGAGCCATTGATCACTACCTGTTGAGCCCGACAATCTAGCCAGCTTTCTACCCACCTTATAGTGCATTCATCGAGCCCATACTTCCTTAACTTGCTGACAAGAATACTGTGGGAGGCCGTGTCAAAAGCTTTGCTAAAGTCAAGAAACAATACATCCACTGCTTTCCCTTCATCCACAGAACCAGTAATCTCATCATAAAAGGCTACATATGTATTGTAGCTCTGGGAAAAGGTTCTCCAAATTATGGGAACGGGCAGGTTTTAAGAAATTACTAACTTGGAAAAGCCTCCAGTTCCAGATCTCTCCTGCTGGCATATTTGTCTCTATTTCACTTCCCTGATTTTCCTTCTCCCTTCTCCAAGGGATATTTGAATGAAAACAAAATTCTTGTAGCTCAGGAGCACAGTCCATGAGCCAGATGTTCCTACACTTCTAGGAGGGTTGGCCTGAGAGTTCAATCTGGCAAAGATCCAGCGTATTTTAGGAGCTTCTTGGTGCCTCTCCCTGGAGAGGAAAGTCTTGTGGTTAAAGGGCTACAGCAGGAACCAGTAGATCTAGGTCTATTCTGTGC